AAACAATGATAGAAAAGGTTTTCCAGAGAAAGCACACTAGCAATAAAAATCAAAGAGGTGTGTGAACCAACGAATTGTTTAAACAGCTTCCGTACAAAGACACAGTTTACTGTAAAAGGTTTTGGTAAAGCAGACCTGTCAGCACATGAAAGATGCCAAATGTAAAGGGAACAAATAATCTCCCATGTTAGGAGGAGTCATCAATCCACACACCAGATAAAGGAGAACACACTAAAAAGATAAGGTTGGCGCTCTTCTATATATTTCATACAACTCCCATGAAAAGGCAAAAACCAAGCCCATTCCTTTCTACTTAAGACTTAAAGGACACAAATATGTAGTTTCTTTCATTTAAATAAAGCAAAAATAATTTCCTAAAACAGCTGGGCATTTTTTTTTTTTTTTTACAAATGCTAGTCGATAGTGGATTTAATCTCTTTAGTTTTTTTTGTATCAGCATCTGAGTTGTTAAAAATATCCTTATTGTAAATATTACGTAAACATGTGCTTGTATTACTTGTTTTGTGACCTTTTTTACACATAACAAGACCCTTACATAACACAGACATGTGGTTTTGTCAGTGTCCACATACAACAATGAATAGAACGCAGAACTAATTTGGTTAGATGAAGGCCACAAGACACAGCAGAATGACCTGGAAAAACATTGTGGCCAAACCACTGCAAAATAACAAGATCAGTCACTGTCAAGGAAGTTACTATATAATATCAGAGACACGTATAATACATCAAACGCATCATTAAGATTAGAGTCCAGTGTATGAACCCTGGAAATTGCCTCCTTCCCTCCACCTCCTCCTCTCTCCATCCTTTTGTTTCTTCGCCCGCTGTCTCATCCCTCCGCCCTCCTTCAGCTGCTTCCCCTCGCCATCGTTCTGACAGCATCATTAACCCTGTGTGATTGTGGCTGCAGTATTCACTGCCAGAGGCCTCTCACACATAAACACAGTCTCAATTAACATGTGCTGCACTAGAAACATCACTGGGAAGTATTAACACATTAAGGATGAAACAATAAAGACAGGTTAGGGGTGTCATCAGGATCATGACAGTGCCTCCCTCCTGCTCCTGTGGTGATATAACAGATTAAGTTTACTTTAAAAAGCAACCAGATTCCTCAAATAAGCCACGAGGATTCTGGATATGAGTGATCAGATAAGAGCCTCCGTGGGCACACAGCTCCTTTCAACAGCACAGAAAAGGCTTTTAAAAGCTTTCTCAAGGGCTTGTAACTTCTCTTATGACACTCATATGATGCATGTAGCCGACACTGGTTAATTGTTATTGACCTCTTCAAATTAAATTGCTCATAAAAAGTGAAAAATTAGTTAGAAAATTAATTTGGTAGGGTGTTTGGCTAAAAGTTAAAACCATACAGAGGTTTAGTGAAGGGGAAAATCACAGTTTTTGCACTGTTTTTAATAGCAGAAACATTTTTCCACTCTTCATCCTGGCTGAGCGGGCTCCATTAAGATCATATCTGTGTGAGAGATAAAATATTATTACAATATTTCCAGCCTGAGTGCAGGAGGAATGTTAACTCAAAAAGCTGGAAAAGCCGTTTAATGCTGAGTAGAGCAGCTGAAAAGGTTTCTCCTGCTTCACCTGAACACATTACACCAGTTTGTCTGCTCCTGCTGCTCACCTCCATCCTCACCTCCGCTGAGAAACCCAATCTATAAACAGGAAGGCATTGTTTCAAAAGGAGAAATCAACTCTGACCCTTCGACTCGATGCCAGTGTTCACACAAGAGGTCAAGCTGCAAAGTCAAGTTGAACCTGTTCTACTTCCCTTTATCCTGGCATACAACGCTTGCATGAAGATATGTGGGAGGCAGCTGCTGTTCAGCGGTTGAGAGCACTCTTCTCAGCTTATTTTTGTTGAAAGTGAGAGAGCAATTGCACAAAAATATGGAAAGTTTGATTACAGCGAAGAGGTACAAATGCTATTAAGTGTAGAGAATTGAGAAATTTGTTTCAAGCAATGTTTTTGAGACATTGACTAGATTTTAAAAATGTATTTGTTCTGCTTTAAATCAATCACCTTGACGGGTCAGTCCACCCAAATTACAAACAAAAACCCTTTTTTAATCATTTACCTCAAGTGGTATCTGTTCATGCAGATAGTTTTGGTTTTATTTGTCTAGTTCTTTAGATTTCTGCCACCAGTGCAGGAGACTAAAGATGAATGGAATTTAATCACACCACTGAAAATGACTTTTAATTAAATTCAACAGCATCTGTCACTGTTAGTCTCTGTGAACTGTTTTCATTGGAACTACTTTCTCCCCAAGAAGTCCCTGTGAAAGCATCGCTAGAGACCACTAGACATAGGCCACAGGGCAGTAGCCAATACTCAGATCACCAAACCAAATCCTCCTAAGGCAACCCCTCTTACCAGACACCAAAAATAAAGTCTGTAAATTTTATTTCCCACACTACCAGGAATAAATTATGATGTGAAACTTTTTTTTATTTGAATATATTCGGAACCTAATGGCTTTATTACTTACTAATACTTTATAAATCAGTTTTAAACCAATAAAAACAACACATTTTGGGTGTTAAGTTTAAAAAGAAATCCCTTTTTCTGATGTTATCATTTGTATTTAATAATGATAAGGTATAAATGTGGTAAGTTGATTGGAAATGGATTCTGGACCCAATCCTGTGCAGCCCTTTTTAATGACATAAGTGGTCATATGGTCCAATCAATCAAACTACCTGGCAACCCGAAAGTTGGTCTAATTAATGACTTTTAACTGATCAATAAAGCTAATAGAAATAGGTACCCAACACTATAACACAGATTCCTACTTTTCATAAGGGAAATGATAAATTGTAGTGTATAAGTGTGTTCAAATCCATGCATAAGTAGTGAAATAAGAGAAAACAACGACCACTGAAGTGCCACTGAGCAACCTACAGCTGCTGAAATGGAGCTGGGTATTGTCTGACAGTCAGGTTGCTCTATGAAACAGTAGCCTGTTGCTGGAACAGGACTAAGCGGACCTTCCTGGACAATTACCTGAAGATCTGCATTCTTCAGAAACCCCTTAAAGCTTAGTGTAGAGAGCCTTTATTATTTGAGCCTCCTCATGTCTCAGTGAGAAAAGCCTGCTGCCCCTCCCAACACGGAGGTGGCTGTGAGTGCCTGAGGTATAGATCCATACAACACCATTGACACTCTGAGATGAGTCTTGTTATGTTGGGTCAGGTCGTGTCTCAGCCTCTGGCGCTGGGTCGTCAGGTTCACGAGCAGGCATGCTAATCAGCACACAGGGCGTGCGGCCGGGCGCCGTCTTCCGTCTTTGAGGGCATGTCTGTGTGTCACAAGGCTGGTGCAAAGTGCCTTGACTTAACTGATCATCTAGATGTCTGACCTTGCAGTTCATTTTTCAAAATCTTGCCTTTCAGTTGTCAGGAGACTCACTCAGACGGGGAATGTGCACATATAGGATGCGGCCATTTTAGTGTGGTTGTCTCTACTGTGTGGAATAAATAAAAGTTGAAGTAATAATTTAGATTTTGTGTTGTTTCCTGAAGGGTTTGATTTGGCAGAATCAGTACTGTATCTCCACTTTCTGTTTCCACTGTTATTTATTCGTCTTTCAGGTCATTTTTTCTTGTGTTCCCCTGTTTCTATTTGATCTGTGTTTAAGGCATGTCACACCTCAGTGGTTGCTTTGTTCAGTTAGTTGACATCAAAGCACAGAAACCCTTAAATCTTAATTTATGTTTTCCATGGATTTTATTGACCTGGAACTGACCTAAAAACCATGGTAGAATGCAAGTATATTACACCATACTTAAAAACAAATTTGAGGTACTTTTACTTTACTTGAGCATTTTCTTCTTATGCCACTTTCTACTTCTACTCCACTACATCTCAGGGGGAAATACTGTACTTTTCAATACATTTATTTGATAGACTTAGTTACTAGTTACTAGATTTTTGCATACAAACATATTTTTTAAATTAACCACACAAGCTAAAACAAATGCCAGAAAATTAATTGTTAACTATTTTGATAATCGTTTCAATCATTTTTCATGTAAAAAATATTTCATGGTTCCAACTTTAATGTGAAAATGTGCTGCTTTCCTTTGAATTATTTTCATAATTTTATTTATTTTGAAGATGGTTAATTGGTTGGACATAAAGATTGTGAAGCTGTCACCTCGGGCCCTGGGTAATACTCTCACTGTTTTCTGAACTTTTACAAACCAAACAATCAATCAGTTAGTTAAGAAAATAATCAGCAGATTAATCCATAACGAAAATAGTCATTAGTTGAAGTCCTATACAAAACAGTTCAAAATGAGCTCCAGCTCAACCAACAACATTACAATCCTGCTTTTACAGTAAATCATAAATAATATTAATCTAATGATATAATCTATAACAGTATAACACAGGGGACTTTTACTTTAAATACTAAGTACATTTCCCTGATTATGGTTATATACTTTAACTTATTATCAATAAGTATTTTCAATACAGGACATTTACTTGTAACAGAGTATTTTTACTCAAGTAAAGGATCTGAGTACTTCCTGCATCATTGATGAAAACCATGTTTCTGTAATAACACATACAGCTAATGAATATTTTGGCTGCTGGTCAAATGTATTTTGTAGTTATCATAACTCTTGACTTTGGATAAGAAGTTTCATGTAATGCAGCTGCTGTGAAGCAGAGATCTGTGGTTGGGCCTGACCTCATGGCCATGGAATGTATTCTTTGTGATAAAAATATCAAATGGACAAGTGGAAAAACAAATCTTGTTTGTGATGGCGAGTGATGAAAACAGGGAACTCCCTGTAGCTCTTAATGCCATGTTGAATTTTGGATTTCCATATTTGGCTTCTCGTGTTCCCAAAGATTTGCAGATGTTTGACTGATAACAGTTTCAGGTAGGATGTGGTTATGAGAGAGCTGCTTGCCCAAAATGTCCTCTTATTCCTCAATGAAACTGCTGTTCGTGTGCGTTAACGTATAAAACGCGCTACAGAAATGAGACTGAATGCGTAATGTCAGAGGTTCAGCTGTTGTTTGCTCACTCAGCTTCATTTTTCGGGACATGTGTCCTCTGAGCGGCGTTGATTGGTCCTGAGGAGCAGTGATGTCACCGCCTGTTTATGATGTCCCGGCCGGTGCAGCAGCTCGTGCAGGCTGAAGGCTACAGAGGAGCGCCAGATGGAGTTGGCGCGCGACGGGAGTTGAGCCGTGGCTCGTGCTACAGACTTGAAAGGCTGCCTCGCACTGCCTTGATGAACCCGACCTGGTCCCGCACACAGCGCAGCAGCCCGTCATGGGGGACGGTGGCGCGTCCTCAACGGTGAACTTCCAGAATGTCTCGGGGAGCGGCGCGTCGGACGCACCGGGCTCCGCCGCGGCCGCGTCCGAGCAGTGGATGGCGGGGATGAGCCTGGTGATGGGTTTGATCGTCCTGTGTATCGTGTTCGGGAATATCCTGGTCATCATAGCCATAGCCAGGACGCAGAGGCTGCAGACGCTCACCAACGTGTTCATCGTGTCGCTGGCGAGCGCGGACCTCATCATGGGGCTGCTGGTGGTGCCGTTTGGCGCTGCGCTCGAGGTGCGCGGTTCCTGGCAGTACGGCTCCTTTTTCTGCGAGTTTTGGATCTCCGTGGATGTCCTGTGCGTCACCGCCAGCATCGAGACCCTGTGCGTAATCGCCATAGACAGGTACGTGGCCATCACCTCGCCTTTCCGCTACCAAAGCTTGTTAACCAAAGCTCGGGCCAAAGCGGTGGTGTGCATAGTCTGGGCTATTTCTGCGCTGGTCTCCTTCCTGCCCATCCTGATGCACTGGTCCCGGGACAGTGTGGACACAGCCTGCTACGAGGACCCCGAGTGTTGCGACTTTGTCACCAACAGGGCTTACGCCATCTCCTCATCCATTATATCCTTTTACATTCCCCTGCTGGTCATGATATTTGTTTACGCCCGCGTATATAGAGAGGCAAAAAAGCAGCTGAGGAAGATCGACAAGTGTGAGGGCAGGTTTCACAACACCTTAACCGGACTGACCTCCAAGTGCAAGAAGAGGCCGTCTAAAATCCTGGCGCTCAGGGAGCAGAAGGCGCTCAAAACGTTGGGCATCATCATGGGGACGTTCACCCTGTGCTGGCTGCCTTTCTTTATAGTCAACGTCGTGCGGGTGTTTTGCGCAGAGGTGGTGGACAAGGACCTTTTCGTGTTCCTAAACTGGCTCGGGTACGTGAACTCGGCGTTTAACCCAATCATTTACTGCCGGAGCCCGGACTTCAGGAAGGCTTTCAAGAGACTGCTGTGCTGCCCGAGGCAAGCCGACCGCAGGCTGCACATCAGCTCCTGCGACCTGTCCAGGTGCTCCGGCGGGTTCGTCACCGCTCTGGAGCCCGGCGCATTGGGGTTGTGGTCGGACTGCGCCGGCTTGGACAACAGCGACAGCAGCCTGGCGGGGACCGTAAAGCTCACTCACTCTCACTCTGAATCACAGCTGTGAAGGAAACAAATCAAATAAAACTTTTTTTTCAGGTGGATTATTACAGCAGCCTGGAAAACAGATAGTGACATCAAATGGGCGTTGACTCCTTGAGCATGGGGTTTCTCTTTGGCAAAGGTATGCGCAAGAGCCGTACCTTATAGTCTAAGTGGATCCCTTTTTTATATATATCTGCATCGGAGGAGCGAAATTACCAGAGATGTATTTGAAAGCCATATTTTTAATGTTATTATATATAATGGCCAATGTTATTTCAAAGGTTCCCAAATTCTCTCCAGGACAGTTCAGTGCTGAGGAGATGATCCAATTTGCCAAATAATATCGACCCTGAAAAGGTAGTTAGATGGATCTGATAAATCATAATGGGTGCATGCACTTAAAACAGGATCCAGAGCGCACGCACGCTCCTGCGGTTTATATCATTTCTTATGTTATTGAATCAGCAGTTCAGTATTGAGGAGGACAATCTATGTGGGTATCCTATTAATCCCCCCCCCCCAAAGGATGGGTCACAATTCGTTCTTACAGTGACCGCTCGGACGCACTGTAATAAACTGGTTGTTATTTAAAAGCATTGGACATGAGAGAGGCATTTGTCAGAGGGACTGTACTGTAGTCATGTAGTGCTCACAATGTGTTTTACCTCACAGACATTGACAAGTGCAATTTGTATGACAGGTATTTGTTTATATTAAACATTTATGTAAAATAGGTGTATTTATTCCGCGCTGTCTTTTACAACCAAGAAAGTAAACGTGGGTCCGATTCCCACGCCCTTTGTATATATTATAGTATGTGGTGTTTAGTACTGAAGTGAGGAATTTGAGCCTCTCTCTTTGTCTTTCTCCTTTTAGCTTGACATACTGTTGTGAGGTGGTGTGTTGACTCCTGTGAAATAAAAGGAAGTTTCATTGTTTATTACTGTTTGAGCTTTATTTTGTTAATATATTTCAAGTTTATTTTCAGTTTATTTTTATTTTTTTACCCCACATCAAGCTACAGTGATCATTAAAATCGCCTGAGGAGAAATAATTTCATTCCTTTCCTCCCAGCTTCATTCACAAAATAATTTACAAGGATGAACATCAAGCCAAGAGCTTCTTTTTTTTGTTTAAACAGCAGGACATCTAGAGGTAAACAATGGTTTTGCAGGATTTGTTCCAGCTGATGTGATGTTAAACTCCTCTGTGCTGGTTAGGATTGCACTGGAATCTGATTGGCCTCTGGGGAGAGACGAGCCATGAAAATCAGATGTTTAAACAATGGATTTTGTGCATACTCATGCACAGAGGATCAGTATGGTTTTGAATTAAGTGTTTACATGTTTAACCTGCTTTGTTCTCAGCTGTGTCCTGATAAAGGTTCATTCATACACACATCTGCATTCTAAGCACTCTGCACAGGCCATGGAGTGCAAATCAAACAGTGAACTAGTTGTGCTGAGATAATGATGAATCAGTTTGAGAAAGAATATTATTTCTATCAATTCAAGTGTTAAAACTGCAGCAGGTAACTTATAAAAATAACATTTTGCCATTTGCTGTAACGTTTGACAAAACAAAACAGCGAAAATAACCAATTAAAGCTGAGAAAGAAACTTGATTGTTGAGTTTAATTCCCAGCTTTGGGACCCAAATATAGGTATTTGACGTCGTTCTCTGCTCTGATTGATTGTTTTTGTTCAGATGTGGTGGATTCTTATAAATGCAATTAGGAACCAATCAGAGGAGCCAACATTTTTTTCACAGATTATCTGTCTCATGTACTACTGTCAGGATATAGTGACATTTTCAGCAAATACAACAAAAACTTATGTTTACACTACAACTTTAAAGCCTCATTGCTTGTCACACTCAAACTGGACAATTGGAGGAATTGATTTGCTGCATGTTAGCACTTTTAGTGCATTTAACCTCAGTTTAATGTGTTTTGACGTGGTTATAAAGGGGTAAAAAGAACACGTGCTTCATGTGACTGTTTTTCAACATTCTAAGTCAATGCAAGTTAAAACGTTAAAAGGTAACCATAGCGATGTAGTATTGCTCTTCCATAAATTTGGGGGACTCATAAGAAACAGATCAAATGGTGAAAGAATGGTCAAAATCTGTGCAGCAGAGGCCTAAATAGTCCCTGGTGTGTGTCCTGTTCTAAAAACACTACATTTCCTGTAATGCAACATGCCAATGTTTTTTATTAGACCCTCCCTACCTCCTAAACTCCACATCTTCAGTTTGCTTAGGTGTTTTTTTAAACTATTCGCCGCATACCATCTCATTCAAAAGGTTAGATAGCTCTTGAGTGTTCCTGTTTGATTGTTGCCTCATCCACGGGGCCTCACTCTGAAAGCCAATAGAAAATGTTTTAGTAAATATCATGACAGCTGGTGTTATGAAGTGGCTCTTACAGAGATTTACAGTTCTTCCTGGGGAATATTAATTAGCCCCTAAGCTGGACGACGTCTTTAAAATGCATTAGGATGATGTGTTCTGCTAATGATGCTCTCCCAGAGGGGCGAGCCGCACATTTCAATTAGACCAGAAAAGCTGAATGGAACTGAGCTCAGCTGTTTTGGCTGTTTAGATATGATTGGCTGAACTAATGTGTGTGAATGAGACTCAGCTTTTAGAAAGAAAAAAAACAAAAAACAACAGCAGTGCAGCCAGTATCATTGATGGCCTCCTGGCAAAGACCCACTTCATTATTAAGCATTGTTTGTTTGGCAGGAAGTTTGTGTTTGGGCAGTGTGCTCACAGATGGAGAAGCTAATCAGCGGCTTTAAGAGTAATTGTTTTCAAATTGCGTGTGTATTAGTGGACATTTTAGCTGCTGCAAGTCAAAGTAGATGAATTTATATCAGTGTGACCTCTGCAGTAACAGGGGTTACTGCTTTAGAAATGATTTACCCCTGGTGCAATACTGATAAGTGGAGTATTAGGGTATGCCCCTAATCATGGTTCAACTAATTTTAGTAGCTGATTTCCCTACAAACTCACTAGTTACTAAACCATATGTACATACATATAGATACATAGATAAGAGTCCAGAGGAAGAGGAGCAGACAACCTGGAGGGACAAGCCCCTACATGGCACGTACCACCGCCAGGTTGGGCTGGACTCAGAGACAGCACAGAGGCACTGATCATGGCAGCACAAGAACAGGCCCTAGGTACAAGAGCCATAGAGGCCAAGATCTACAAGAGTAGATCTGACCCAAGGTGCAGACTATGCAAAGTATAGATAGAAGTACCCAAATCCCAATGGGCCACACCACAGAAGGTGGCTGAGAACAACAGGGCCAAGGTGCTGTGGGACTTCAGCTTCCAGACTGATAAACAGGTCCTGGCCAACCAACCGGACATAGTGGTGGTAGACAAGGAGCAGAAGAAGGCAGTGGAGATAGATGTGGCCATACCAGCAGACGCCAACTTCAGGAAGAAGGAACACGAAAAGGTTGAAAAGTACCAAGGGTTGAAAGAACAGCTGGAGCAGATGTGGAAGGTCAAGGCGAGCGTGGTCCCCGTGGTAGTAGGAGCACTCGGGGCAGTGACCCCCAAACTGGGGGAGTGGCTCCAACAGATCCCAGGAACAACATCAGAAGCCTCAGTCCAGAAGAGCGCAGTCCTAGGAACAGCTAAGATACTGCGCAGAACCCTCAAACTCCCAGGCCTCTGGTAGAGGACCCGAGCTTGAGGATGACACAGATACCACCCCAAGAGGGTGAGAGGGAAGTGTTTTTTTTTTTTTTTTTTTTATATATATATATATATATAGCCTATATATATACATATATATAGCTGGTACAACCCAGTGCAGGAAATTACTGCTACAGCCAACAAATTGAAAGAAACATTACCCTTCAGCAGATACAGGCTAGCTGTTTCCAATCTTTATGCTAAGCTAAGCTAAGTGGCAACTGGCTCAGACTTCTTAATTAGCGCACAGATGTGAAAATGGTATTGTTCTTCTTATCTAACTCTAGGTTTGTATTCTATTTTCCAAAACGTGAAACTGTCCCTTTAATTGTGTTGGAGTTGAATATGGGGACATTTTACAAGACCTGGTGCAGTAAGTCGCAATTTCCATATTCCCAGATGTTAATGCACCCATAAAAATAAATGAAACCATTTTTTTCACGACATCCCAAATCACCACGTCCACTCTGCACTGAAACTTTAAAGGACTGTCTGGAGTTCTTTCAGATCCTCTCAGGCAACAGGTGTGAGATTTCATTCAATTATTACACAGGCTGAACCTCCTCTAGTCCAAATCATGAATATTGTCTCTGCCAACCACCTCCCACTGCCATCTGTACTTGATTAAAGACCGACACAAACATCACCGAAGAGAATTAAAAAGATTACGATTGTGAGACGCCTTTGTGAATCTTAATAATCTTCTCATTTCCCAAATGCTACTCAGATATTGACGCTAAGACACATTTGCTTCATAACATATTTTTCATTGGATAAGCCTTTAAATTATGATTTGAGTGTGATTTACATAATACATGACACATAGGACCAAAAATTGGATTTTGACAGCAGAGATGGGTAATTCAGCTAATTACAGCAGAGATCCAACAGAAGCATGATTACAAACATGAACCTATAAAATGCTATGCAAATACAGTCATTTTTCTTCAGCAGTTGGATTGGAGGGGAGGTTGTTCCAAGGCAGAAGGTAAGAAAAACAAAACAGCAATTTGTGAAAACCAGAAATGTCAGCACCTGGAGATAATTATTGCTGATTGCTAATGATTACAACCTTATCATTTCCCAACAAATATGCTAAATACATGCAGTGGGACCATAGAAGTGTACCTTTGGCACCCCTGTGCCCATTATGAATCATTTGTTTGTCAACATCAAATGTAATTTAAGTGTTGTTAACATCAATAAAAGACATATACATAAAAACTGTATTTTGTCAGCCTTTTTGAGGCCACAAATCCGAAACCAAGTGGTGGATTTAGTGGACGTTTTGAAAGAAATGTACCTACTAGGTAAAACAGCATTTTAAATCATATTTATGAATGTACAGTAAAGCTAAACAAAAAAGCATGAACTTGTGGAGACCCTGTAGCTGGCACATGCCTCTGATTCAAAACATTGATAAAATTCAGCTTCCATTGGCTAATAAATGCCTAGTAACCGTGTAAGACAAAATTCCCCTGTGATTTTTTCTACTCTAAATCACGCTGCGAGTGTCGAGGTCCCGTGCCAAAAGCAGGTGCTACACTTCATGTGTCCATCTGTTTGGATTCCCATGTGAACTTGGCGCTTGGCGGCCTCCATCTGGTGTGCTTTGGCTTGCTTTGATTGTGGCTCACGTAAAGATTGGGCAAATGTGGTCAGTCATGTTCAGCATTTCTGTTGAACTTTTATAATGTAAACTGACGTTGTACTTACATAAATATGAACTAAGACACTGAGCATAGCACACTCATGACTACATAACTCCTTTTAGAAACATTTGCAGTCACTGAGGTCCACTTTTTCCATTTATTAAACATATGCCTCAATACAGTTAAAATATTTGCATGAATACTGAGCAGGGATCAGATGGTGTATCAGATTTGGATAACCGAGTTACCAAAAAGACTGATTGTAGCTTAGCATATTTAAGGGAAACACAACTTTTGAATTTGACAGTGAATGAAGACATGACTATAACGTAAAGCGAGTTAAGGCAGCCTTTAAGTGTTTGCTGACTGAGTAGTGCACAGGTTTCTCTCACGAGGGTCCAATGCACACTTTAAGGTGCAACACAGATGAGCCGTTTTTCCGTGCAGTGTCCAGCATCATCTTGAAAATGCAGAACCCATGGTGAGCAAACCAACCAGGAACAGCTGTATGTGCTGTATTCTTCTATATTTCCTTACTGGCTCAATGGTTTCCTCACTCCAAATTAGAAATGTTTGGCACAGTCAGAACATTGACGCAATGTGGCTCCAAAAGCCTACTCTGACTTTCTTCCCAAATTGTACCTCGGGGGGGTGCCAACCTAGTGAGGTTGGCACCTTTCACTAAACCATACGCTTGAATCCCAATAAGCTTATGATTCAGCATCTGATGGTGCAGGGGTCCTTCATGATGTCTTAAGATTTGTGCACAGGATGACAATGTGTGTGTCAACAGAGATGGTCATCACAGGAGTGGTTCGACATTTCTTTCTGAGAGTCAAATGAGAAGATGCCACACCCATATCTGTGTGTTCGAAAATATAAAGCTACAGCCAGGATTCAGTTAGCTAAAGTTAGCATAGACTGGAAACAGCCTATGTGCCTATGAGGGCTGTGTGCTAGATTTTTTTGGCTGGCTGCAGTGACTTCCTGAGGTTTTTGAATTTTTGTTGGACAGAACCAGGCTAGCTGTTTCCCCCTGTTTCCTGTCTTTATGCTAAGCTAAGCTGTTGGCTCCAGCCTCAACGGATGGATTTGAGAGTGATATTGATCACTCTCTGCATGTAAGCAAAAGTGTAATTCTTTCAAGCCACCAGCATTAAAACTCCTGTACTATGTGTCGTAAGTGTAAGAAGTGACTGCAATAATAAAAGCAAGCATTATTACTGAGTCCATTTCTAACCCCTGGAAGACTACAGTATGTGCTATTCCAACAGATGGCAAACACAGTGAGATACCATCCTCAGTTTACAATTTCTAATCAAGAGTTATCTTCTTTTCACCATCAGCTTGCAGATATCTGACCACCATCATCACACATGCAATCAATTTTTGACACAGATGTTCACCATTTAGCCTTTCTGCATCCCCTAGTCCCTTTGAAAGCCTCTTTCCTTCTAAAGAATCATGTTAACAGCCCTGGCTGGATTAACAGTCTTTCACATTGGGGTTCAACAGGTGGACTTGCTCACCCATGATGCGTGGCTTCACAGAGTGTTCAAAGCCCTCTGAGAGGCCAGCCTTAGTCTAAAAGGGGAAAAGTGCCCTTTTGCCAGACCACCAACTGACATTGGGGCTTTTACCCCTCACAGTAACGGCTGGTGTAAAACATCACAGTGGTGCATTAGACCCCAGAGCCCTCCTCAGCTCCTCAGTTGCTCATATGAACTTCTGCTGACCACCTCTAGTTCCTGCAGCTTTAAACTGTCTTATCAAGAAGACAGAGCAAAAGTGGTGGAAGACATTTTTTACTGAAACAAAAGTACCAATACAACAATGTTAAAATACTCCATCTAGTCAAGTCCGTTATTCTAAATAAAAAGGCTCATTCTGCCGATAAATGGCTACTGATGTATAATTATATATGACATTTTAAGATTTTTAATAATTTACTGAGCTGGTCATGGTGGAGCTATTTTTAACTACTTTATATATATTTAAATATAGTCCACTGTTTTCCAACCCGAGGGTCAGACCCCCTTTAAAGGATCACAAGATAAATCTGAGGGGTCAATGTACATCATTTATGGGAGAAAAAAGAAGAAAACTAAAAGTTCTGTTACACAAATTTCTCTAACCTTAGTTTTTTTTTCAGGTCTCACGCAATTATTTAAATGAAACCATCTGAGGAGTTTTTATGGGAAGTAACTCCATGTTGGAACTGCTGACAACTCAAACACATCTCAAACATGACAAGAGGCACCAAGTACAAGAATACAAGTACACAGCTTTTTTGTAAGGTGCCACAAGCCAAAACCTTTTTTTTTCCTGTAATATCTTAAAGTGAATTAGCTACAGCTGTCAAATAAATGTTGTGGAGCAAAACGGACAACATTTTTCTCTGATATGTGGAATAGAAATATGAAGTACCTGCCTAGCATGCCTCCAGCATAAAGACAGAAGACAATTTCCAGACATGTCATGAGTGCATGTTATATAACTAAGGGGAGGTCTGGTTTAGGCATTGGTTAGGTGACTTATATTACTTAACGGGTATGGTACCCTTCCATAGACATATTGAGACCTTGCAACTTCTCCTCCGATGTTTTGCAATTAGTTTCTTTTTGGTGGAGGCTTTATGACTCGGCTATGACTTGCTCATAGTATTCTATTTTTCTTATGATTCATATATTCTTATGATGTGCTTTTAGTTCAATCTTTGTGTCATATCTCACTGCCCAATGTTATGTTGTGCAAAAGAAAATTCAAATAAATTGCAAACAGATAAAAGCCATAACACAAAATCAATTTCATTCATGAATCCATTCAGAAAAGTGCACTCTGCCAAAACCTGCAGTTCTTTTTTTTTTTATGAATTACAAATCTGAATGAACACAACAACATTTTGGTATGGTAATGTATTGCAGGGGAAAATGAATACTCTCAATTTTCATTGAAGCATCCGAAGAGGCAGAGCAGGAGAGTGGCATACAATCAAAGCATTACTGACAGGTTCCACATATAAGAGGGCTGATTTTTCTAATGGGACAGACTGGATGGATACATGCATATTCCTTAGGTCTATTTTTGCACACAGACTGACATAACACCGAAGTTAAAAGACAATTAGTGGACTGTAATAACACTCATTATGGAGACTCATTATATTCAAAGGTTTTTATCGTAATGTTGCAGCTGTAACTGTGCTTGTGTTTGGGGGGGGGGAGTAAACAGAAATGGACTGACAAGGACAGGATAGGCTTGTTATCTCTGCACCTTGAGAGCTACTGTCATGGTTGCTGCAGCGTCTAAAGGACACGGGTGACGCTTTATGAATTCAAGGGTGGTCATCTAAGCTGATAGGAGAATCCATTATCAGCGAGCTAAAAATAGGCTGTCAGTAATCATTGGCCTGAATTGGATATTTGAACCTGCCGCATGCCTCTGTGCCTGCAGAGAAAATAGGAAATTTCACCCATGCGTGACAAGAATGTCCAAGAAAGCCAATGTCTTATTTTCCTGCTAAATTATGTGCTGTTTTGGTGACAGGTTGATGTCAGTTGGTCTGTAGGTGTTTTTCAATGTCTGCACATGTGCATGCGTGGGAATAATAATTAAGAAAGCTCATGCATGATGTTAGATTTTGGTGGGTGCAGATTGAAAGGGTGACTAAGGATATTTTTCAAAACTGCTTTTATAACTACGATTTTGATCCAAAACAAAGGACATGTGAACTAGAGCTGAAACCATTAGTTGATCGACTAATTCATCTGCAAATATTCTCATGTTGGATGAGTTTGAGTCATTTTTTAAAGAAAAAATAAAAGCATTAAAAGGGTACGCCGCCGATTTAGCATAACACTGTGAGAACCAATCTTCAACATTCTTCTCCCATGTCAAAACCTGGCATCTACATTTCCCACAATGCTATTCAACCCCCAACAGTTCAGAGATTCAAGTGTGTTATTCTACCAGCAGCTATAGCCTTGAGCTGTTAGCCTCAAGCAGAGATGAGGAGCGGGCTGCAGAGGTCTGGTGAGCTCATTTCTTTCTTACTCCACCCCAACCAACGTTGACTCAAACCGATTTATCAGACTTTTCGCAGCCACAAAAGGCTTTAAACAATTTCTTTAACATATGCAGCAGTTCTCCCCAAGACCTGTAAACAGATGTTGATGTATAAAATTGGTGGAGTTCCCCTTTAACTTGTTCCAGCTTCCTCAATGTGAGGATTTGTAGCTTTTCTTTGTCTTATGTGATACAAATGTTTACATCTTTGGGTTTTGGATTGTTGGTTGAACAAAACAAGCTATTTAAAGGCATCATCCTGGGCTTCAGGAAACTGTGATGAGCACAGTCTAACCCATTATCAACAGTGAAGATAATCATTAGCTGCAGCTCTAATGAGAACTGTTTCATATTTACTTTTGTTTGTATGTTTTAACGTTTGTAACTCGAGCGCCCTTAATAAACTAAGTTACTTACACAAGAATGAGGCCTTCTGGTACTCTAAAATGACAGTTCACCCTTGACTTGTTTTCATTTTGTGGGAGTATTCCCATAGCGTTCGGTTTTAAATCATCTGAAAGGCTGCCTGGTGTGACTGACAGTGGTGCAGCGATGTCTGTGACCTCCAGCACTGCTGACACCGCTGCTTTTGAAGCGGGACCTAAAGCTGCATCCCCCAGTAAGTCACTGTGTGAGAGGTTATGTGTGCAAAATTTCCCAATTATCCTAATTATACGTCATTCCACTGTAACTGGAAAACAGAAAGCAGGACAACAGCTGTTCGTGTCAACCTTATCTTTATGGCAAAAAAAAAAAAACTAACAAAAAAAAACTGTGGAACATTCAAGAGAAAGTTAAGACTCATCTCCATTTATTCCCTGTTAACACCATATATACAAACATCATTCAGAATCACTATTTTTAAAAACATCTCATCATAATTTTACAGACTGACATATTTACAAATGTATATTATAATCACAGTTTGAATATTTCTACTAAACAGAGCAGGGGGGAATCATTGCACAGCAGGAAGAAAACCCCAAAAAAAAAAAAAAAAAAAAGGGACAAACTTCTCATTTTGACACTCACACATACTGAACATCATTTTTTCATACCCATATAGTGAAACATGAGGTTCTATTCATTTATCCACACAATGCTGCAACATGGCTTCGTTTCAAGGCTGTGGAAACGTGTTAAATCCCAGATCAGCATGATTCTTACAGGTGAACCAAATCGGAAGCGTATTAACATGCCTCGGAGAATTATGAAGAATTAATCAGGAAATCCCATGCGAGTGTTTTGCATAGGTTGTTTTTTTACTTCTGTACCAGAAAACAGAAAAAAACAACAACTCACCTATTCAGCAGCAAGCAGCTCATTTTCACATTGTTTAAGATGCATGAAAACATTCAGATGAATTTATCTTGAAATAATCAACCTGGCTTGTCAGGGAAAAAAAGGAAACCTAAAATTCAACCTTACTGAACTTTTTGGAGTTTAAAAGGTTACTAAGTTTCAATATCAAGGAGAATCCAGATGTAATCTGCAGGTTTGCCGTCTGTACGTTTACACATTGATCCCACGTCACGGAGAAATCAGTTTGGATGAAATAAAAGTAGAGGTACATCAAACAGAGAGCACCCACTGGAGCAACAGGGAGGCTTTTAAGGACTCCATGACCTCAATCCTGGAAACTTTCATCTCTATTCACATAGTAGGCCATTTCAACATAGCCTCAGGGTGTACGGGAAGGGGATCGGCCTTATAACCATTCATGACCCATAAAAGCCTGTTTCTGATTAGGAGGGGGGTTTTGTGACAGCTTCTGCGATCAGATCAAATAAAGACAACGGAAAACTTTAGTGTTGTTTTATCAAACTAGTTACCTTCTCTATACCCTCCATCCTGGTGTTTGTACAATACACTAAACAGCTGTGAGAGAGACAGAAGCATTATTGTGTATGGCTGAGAGGTACGGGGCTGCAGGTGTGTGTGTTTTTATTCATGTGGCTGCCAGACTCTGGTTTAAATGCAAATTCTGTTCAGCCCCCTGGGGTACCCCTATGGAACTTCATGGTCAATCTGGTAAAAGTCCTACAGCTGAAGCATGTACATAAAGTACACAAAAGCTTGAGAGGTTTAAAAAAAAAAAAAAAAAAAAAAAAAAAAGGCACACATGCAGCCATGCGCGCACACACAATTTGGACACATTTGAATATTCAAACACCAGCATAGTCGCATGTTGCATGTACACAAGCATAAAAACCGGCATATAAAACAGCACACTGGCGCACAAACACATTCAAATAAAGAAAAACGACAAAAAAAAAAAAACGACAACAAATAAATCAATGAAAGGAACAGCATTGCACTTTGTCCCTGGATATATTTCTGTAGGTTCCATTGGCTTTCCTGAGCTACAGCTACAGATCTCCTGTTCCCTCCCTCCAATTCTTCTACACTTGATTTATTTCAACGGACTCAGTGACACTACGAAGAAAGAAAAAAAAGAGTTGTGTGACAGGAATACCTTAACATTTATTTTTTCTTTTCTAACCCACCAGATCGTATTGTGCACACAGTGCAAGAAAGTCTCTGCAAGCTGTTAGCATGTCTGTGCCTGCTGTTTGAAATGAGGAATGATGATGATGCTACCAAAGCACTCTTAAGGAAGCTGAAACATAAACATTTTTAGATGCTCATGCGTGATTAAGAGATTGTTGTTGCCAGTTGGTACTAATGAAGTGCCTTAGAGTGGAGAATTTAAACAGATTACAGCGAAGGAAAGACAAGAATGTTCAAGGTATTCCAATTGAGAGTTAAGAGCAAAAAGTCTTAACGAAAACCTTATAATAGCGTGATAATAAAAAAACAAAAAATAGACAACCAGATGTACTAAAATAAAAATGACATTTTAAGCCAACAAAAATGAAATAAATTAAAAATCACACTCAAATCGGCCAAACAAAAAGACCAGCTCTACATTTCAACCTTATCGTAATAATATAATTTGTCATATATTTTCTTCAGTCTCACGCTGCTTAACGTTAGGACACTTCCACGCTGATGGCATAGTGCGGTTGGCTGCATTTAACATTGCAAAGACACAGTCTGCTTCCTTCAGTCTAGCACCGGTGTCACACAGATAGGTGGGTCTGCTGATGCGAGGCACCTTGCTCCACCAGCTTGGTCCTAAGTGCTGGCTGTGCAGAGCAAAAAAAAAAAAAAAAAGATGATGAAAAATGCGCAGGTGGCACGCAAGTTCCCCACAAGCCGTGGCTGATTTTCACTTTTCGCTTCATATACGGAGAGCTCTGTGAGTCAGGCTGCAGGAGCAGTCATTCAAAAAAATACATTTGGCTTATTGGCAGACGAGAGGAGACGAGTAGAGAGAGCATGCTGGGTGATGATCATCTCAGTTACTGTACGGTGGAAAGAGCTACGAGGCTCAGTACATTTTATACTAGATAAATAAATTGGCAAATCAGTTGTGTGTTTTTTTTTGGATTATTTCCCCAGGTAGAGCTTGCTATACATTCACAATTATGGCATCTTCTGTCAAATAGTTTACAAGGCAATCAGAGTTTCAAGCTTGAAGCAACTGGCCCCAAGAAGATTTAATCTTGGGCCAGGTTCAGGGGGAGGTTCGCCAGAGGAAGATTTTGTTGTGTCGGAGGAGAAAAAAACGGAGGTGGTACAATGTGGATGGAATAATGACAGTTCAAGTAAGTTCAGACACGTTCGCCAAACGCACGGGAAAAGTTCAAGAGGTCCTCCAAAAAAGCAGCCGGAGGCGCTACTGGCACTTACAACATTCACTTTGCTCTTTCATATGTTGGGAGAATGAGTGCGTGTGTCAAACTGTTCCGTTCCTTCAAAAATGGTGGGGGGGGGTTGAGATTCCTTCGAGTACTTCTTGGTCCTTCATTTCTTCTTTCCTGTGACATGGTTGTGTCACTTCCTCCTTACTCTGTCCTCGGGATCTCTCTGCTGTTTTATGAGCCTCTCGATCTCAGCCCCAAGTGTCTGCAGATTCTCCTGTTGAAGACAGTAAAGACTTTTAGACTCATTGAGTGGCGATAATAGAGGGGGGAAAAAAGCTCAGTTATCTGTCACAGTAAATCTGGAGCCTTAGTTTGGCTTTGTCTGTGTTTTGTTTTTAATTGCCATTTTACTGTGCCCATGTTGGGTGTTTTTATATCATTACTTCCTGCTTACTGCCAATCATCTGTCCACAAAAAGAAAAGAGCCAGAAAATACTCCCACATTACAAGTTAGGGTGTCTTTAAGATAATTTTAACTCGATAAAAAAACAATAGGAAGCTGCTCATTTGAAAAATACGAGTATATTTATTAAATAATCTAATGTGCCAACGCAAACAAAAGTGCAAATAGATGAAACATCAAAAGGAGGCAGTAACAATACACGCAGACAGGATGGAGACACGTTTTGAGACTTCGCCTTGTTTATGTGGGCGCAATAGAAGCTTTAATAAATATTTAAACATTTTAGCTTTCTATTATCCTAATGTTGCGTCACTCTGGGCCTGTTTGGTAGCAGTTTTTCACCCACTGTATTTTGACGTGGATTCAAGATGCATCTGGTACTTTCCACTATGTAGACATGGTGAGAAATAAATAAGTCGTATTGCAGCACATAAAGGCTATATTGCACACTGGCTGTGGACATGGTGGTAAATGGGCTGTAACTCACTGATATGATTTCTTTTTGAGGTAAACACATCAACGGATATATATTTAGACCTACATTAAATCTAATGGATCAGCAAGAAATCGGTAAGCCAAGTACAGCACAAACTGATTTTCCCATAATTAATGTACAAAACATGTTTTTATGAATCCAAATCGACTCGAGATAACAGCCTTTATGTTCAACTCCCATGAAGTGATGAAATATATGTAAATAGAAGTCAATCAAATCTAAAAATACCTACATAAATACTAAGGACAAATGGAATGTATACATACTCTAGCTGGGTGGTTAATGTCAACGTTTAACAAGGTAAATCAGGGAGATGTATGCATATTTCACTGAGGAAATAAACTAGTCACAACAGGCTGCCGCCGTCCCTGCACTACATTTACTTATGGATACAGTGCACCATCTGGCCAAATCACCTCTTGAGACAGGCTGCTGACAGGTGGAACCGATTGATTCACTTAACACTAACACATCAGGAAATTGGTTCAGTTGAAATCCTAATCCAACCACATGATCAAAAGACTCTCAGGAACAGAAGCTGGACTAAGCACACACACACACACACACACACACACACACACACACACGCTCACGCTCAGTGAGGATAAATACTGTGAATATAGGCTTTAAATCAACAACTAGTAAAGGGGAAAACACGTCTCAGTTACAGTGAGGTACCACTTCCTCACATAGCAAGAGCACCAATCAGGTCGGTTCTGAATTGGATCACAGTTTCCAGCTTGTTATCTTTCTAAGAAGTGAGGTAGCTGATAGACAACCTGACGAGCACACCGTCCTGACAGGACTGTCAGTCGGTCAGATGAAACAAAAAGTCACGTACAATGTGATAAATGCTACGGCAGACTTTAAAGGTTTGGGAGATACGACCCAAATGTCAGACAACCTCACTGGAGAAAAAGGAACAGCGGACTTGCAATTCCCTAAGTCGGGATTTAACTCCTAAAATCAACCACGACACTGTCATATATAGTATTTTATTACCAGCCCTGTGCTGTTGTAGTAATTTAATTTAATGTAGTAACATTAATATTGATTTCACATTTTAACTGCGCTATATCTGTTGTGCGGACTGGGTTTGATTGAGTTCCATTAAGTTGACTAATAACCATTAAGTTTTATTTTTTAAGCTTTGTGACTTCAGTCAACAAAAATATTCATCATTAATCAAGATTGTGTTTAAAATGAATTCCAATGAGTTTCTCTGACAAGCATTCAAGCAATGGTGTCATTATATAGGAAAATATAGAGAAAAAAGGATTTGTTATGGTTTATGTACAAAGCTGTCAAATTGTTAAACCAGTGAAAGCAAGTGGTATGTCAACATAATGTTAAAAAGGTACCAGAAATGTTAAGTTCCAGTGCTGAACCCAGCGCCAAATTTATTTTGGCCATGTCAGAAAAACAGGCTAACGTTTATTTTCTGACACGGCCAAAATAAATTGGTGTAATTGAGATTAGTCAAAGGTTTCCCGCAAATCTGTGTGTGTGTGTGTGTGTGTGTGTGTGTGTGTGTGTGTGTGGGTGTGTGTGTGTGTGTGTGTGTGTGTGTGTGTGTGTGTGTGTGTGGGTGTGGGTGTGCGTGTGTGTCTATGTGTGGACTACCGTTTATGCCATTGGATGTTCATACTGGGTTCAGCACTGGAACTTAGGACTTTGGTTTAGCACCACAAACAAACACCTAAAATGTGTCAGCGTGGCAATCTCTGCACCGAGCTTACCTTTCTAGTATAAATGGCTTTGAGAGGAAAATTAGTTAAAAATCGGTATCACAGAGCATGATCACTTTTGCAGGGTCTAAGAACTAAATGAGGCTCTCCATCAGTATCCTGCATGGGCCATTCATACACTGTGCTACAGTAGAGGCAACCAGGGATCCTGCAGTCTTTTGGGCTAGTGTAGGTGTTTTCAGTATGAAAAACATCTAAATGCTATAAAAATGATAGGTACAGACCCTAACAAAGATTATTTTTGTGCAATAAAAGCAAATAAACTGCAAATACAAAGGAAGGCTACATACATTATAAATACTGTTGTGCATAGTATTTTCTAATTTATGTGTACTGCAATATACCAAACTGTGAATCCACTAACCTAAAATTAACACAAACCAAAGCCATCTGCATTTAGATATGACTGAATGTTTTTTCATGGTGATGGCAGCACTTCCGCACTTTGATAGTCACATCAGACTGTGCGGCTCCAAAGGGTGGAGCATGACACTGACAATTATCCACTCAGGTCAGCTGAGCTTAAACAATTACACACTCCTTGCAAATGAACAGGCTTGGAGCACATATGGTGGAGTATGGTGCCTGCTGGGGGGGACGACGACACACGTACCTTTAGGGTAATGTTCTTCAGCAGGGTGTCCTCCAACACAGCCTGCAGCTTCCTGTTGATCTCAAGCGACAGATCCAGGGTCAGCCCACTGTCCGCCGGGTGGGAGGTGTAAAGCGAAGCCATGATGCCTCCACGCCGGCTCAGGTGGGCCTTGTTAATGTCTGACGCCTCTGATGAGAGGGCCCCCGACTCCTCTCTGAGCACATAGCTCTGGATAATTCTGTGGGGAGGAAGGGGGGAGGTGATGAGTCAAACGGTGTGCTTCAAAAGGAGGGGGAAACGAAGTGAATGCGCGGCATCGGCTGGAGCAAAGAAAATTGAGAAAGTTTGGATTTAAAAAGGTGGGAGCGTGGAGCGCTCCTACAGAGCAATAAAACCGTTTCCAGCAGCAAAAGCAGCAGACGTTCGTAGAACAGTAATTCCAGTGGGATATCTTATTGAACTCATGTGCACTGGATACATTCAGTCATAGGTAGAAAGATTATTATTGTGCCGGTCAGAGAAGGGACGGTAATGGAAACGGCTGCATTAGAATGAACTGCCGGGATTCAATTAATCAACTACGTGCCCGTGTGAGTGCGTGCACGTGCGTGTGAAGGTGAGATAAATCTTCATTTTCATAATATGTTTTCATCTCAATGACAACACAGTGTCGAGGTTAAGCTATGTTTGTGTCAGAGAGAGGGAGAGAAGAAATTCATTAGCTTAACAGCTGTAAACTTCCTGTTGTCCAATCTTCCCAGTGCAGCTCAGAGAACACCGACATGCAAGCGTGTTTCTATTTAGAGGAAAACAGACCCAGAGAGAGAGAGAGAGAGACGCCATTGTGATTGAAATTCATTACCGCCTCCTACATTATTATCTTTTTCTTAATAAGCGACGGGGAAATGACAAAAAGCACTATTCAAGCTAGGGGAGATGGTTAGGGAAATTAGCGTAGTGTTTTTTTTGCATGTCTACTGCCATTAGAATGAGGATGCTTGGGCTTGACTCCAGGCAACAAAGATAAAAAAAAAAAAAAAAAAAAAAACAAAACATAAGGGCTGGAACTACAAAGTTTTTGCTAAAAGAGTGTGGGCAGGTGAAGAGGGTTGTGTAAGGTCCTAAAGAAAAGGTCAACAACCTCCTGTACATCTGTTTAGATGGGTCAGCAATCAGTTTTTTAAAGCTGCTCTCAACCCAGCTGTATACCTTAAGACCAAACCTGAAACATTCAGCCGCATACTGGCATTGTTTAGTTCAACTTCAGACTGATATTTTGAAGGTGGGTAAGATTTCCACTCAGTCAAAATCAGTATTTCTCAAAAAAAAAAGCTGAAATTTCTCAAGATATCTGGAGTGTAGATTCATTGGAAGAGAACACTTACATGTTGCAATTTCTAATAACACAACTATTATTACTACTGCTTATACTACTGATCATTATCCAGCTACCAAAAAAAAAAAAAAAAAGGAATAAAACAAGAGCATAAACACGACAAATAAAAAGAAACAGGAAGCAGTTTGTGTACTACATCCTCAAGGATATCCCCTTTCTGTTCCATGATGGCCTTGAATAGAGCAGCTGTGTACGGATACACTACATTACGGTCTATAACAAGTCAATAACTTTATGGATCCAATCTTGACAATTACAGACTTTAAGGGATCTCTTTAAATGTCAAGAGCCAAGATTTTACAAGGAATAGTCGCTCGTTGGGGTCTAAATGACTAGAAAAAGAGCCTTCCTGTTTAACTATTGCTGTTTAGGAGGGCATTTTATTGTTGTGAAAGGGATCTTGGAAGGGTTGAAAACATGTCAGTGACTTATGTTTTCAGAATATACCATGCATTAACAGTGGTGGCTATAGCAAAGATAAAATAGATGAATTGTGTTGCGCATACTACCGGGCATGCAGCAAGGACACTCTCAAACCTCCTTAAAACGTGAAAGCTTTTATCAGCATTTTACACATAATGCAGATATTAAAAGGGCAACTGTAAGTGCACTCTGAAGGACAGAGGATAATATGTTGGCATTGTAAGCCTTTTTACACAAGTCAACAAACTATCTACATCTACATAAACCTAACACTGTACGTTGCAGTGTATGCACTACAAACTAACAAAGCATAAACAATGAAATGATAGAGTAGCAAGCACTATAAAAGAAGCCACCATCATAAACACACACATACACAACACACACACACACACACACACACACACACACACACACACACACACACACACACACACACACACACACACACACACACACACACACACACACACACACACACACACACACACACACACACACACACACACACACACACACACACACACACACACAAGACTTACCTCTGACTAGACTTGCAAGGGTCCATATTTGGACCCCAGTTCCATCACGACAGTGTTTAGTAAAAACAAAAAAGTGACAGAAATTAAAGATGTGGCTACATGGTGTGCTGAATGGCATGCAGGGGTCGGCGGGGGGGCAGGGATGTGAGCAGCAGGTCGGAAGTAAACAAGACAATGGCTTATTTTTGTATTGTGAGTAATATTTTTTTTTTTTACAGCTGAGAGTGTAAGAAATGAGGGCAGCAAGTCAAGCATGCATCAACTGTAGGGATGGGGAGTGAGATTTTATTGATACCATTATTGATTCTGCTGTCTGATTCTTTGTTGATGCACTTACTGATTCTTGATCAGTTTTCTGTGTGGAAAAAAGTCGGCCCACACAGGTTCCCGGCATTAACGCAACCGTTTTATTATCTGAGTCTGAGCGTAGTGTAGAAAAAGAGTAGAGTTATAGTAGTTTGAGTTTCTGAAGCCATGCTTTGGGCCGTTTCTTCCTCTCCGCCATGACCTCTTGTTGCAAGTTTCCAGCAGCACGACGCGTTCATTTGACGTCATTAGTTTTGCAAATGCGCAACGGTAAGACAAACAGGACTGATAAACTCGGTGGCATACCTTTGAGATTGTTCTTAAGGCGGCTAAACCTTGTGCCCAGGAAATGGCAAGACAGAAAGAGGAGATGCAGAGAAAGAAAGATATGCCTGTGGTCTGAAAGCCTTTCAACTATCAAAGCCATGTTTTATCTAAACTGTATTCAGAACTACACAGGCCTGAAACCATGAATTTGAAGGCAAATATGAGTTTCATCTTGAATGTTTTTTGTTGCAACATGCTGTATAAAGTTAGATACCCAAGATCAAATCTTAAGAATTCAAAAATATTTCCTCCATACTTTATACAGGCACTGGCTTACCTACCAACTAAAATCAAAAGCATCGAGAAACTTCAAGCCAGACTGGCAATGGGGAAAGAAATCCTTGATAACCTTGAAAGGATCAATTATATCTTAACAAATTCAGCAGGTGTGGATCCATAATAGTCTACAATGGAGCTTATATTGCTCGGGATTCCAATGATTACGAACCTAACAGAGTAAAAAAGGATGCTCTCGAAATAATCAACCATCTACATCTCCTGAATAGCAGCCCTCCACCTGCTTTGTATCAGCATCATTTTAATTCAAGTCACACGGATGAATCGTTTAGACTTAATGGTCATAATAGGCAGGTGTGGGTTTTGAAGGACGAACATCGTTGCCCTTGGAGGATGATGCTGCTGTTTCTGCATGTTTTAGCTCATTTACTACAAATCACATATACTGTATAAACACTGCAGCCAATGACCTGTCTTTGACTTCTTAAAAGCACATTAACATGCCACTTTAACACGGCACAATAGTTGCCCAATTCATCCCAAAAATAATGATCCAGAATCTAAACATTAATTGAAGTAAGCTGCAGATTTAGGAGTTAGTGCTGCGCATAAAAGTGTTTAACACTGTGTGATTGCACCTTGGAACTAGAACCAGGGGTATCCAAAATATATCCTCCCACTTCATAACAATATATTCTTTGGAAAATGAGCTTAAAGATGCAAAAACGCTGCTGTGATCACACAACAGAGGGATATGGATGTGGTAACATAAATCAAACATTAGCCTATTGACTTTTTTCCCACAAACTGTCCTTTATCAGAGACCCACTAAAAGACCCGCTTCAGGCTTAAAGTTAGCTTGTCGGTGTTCACCAGGCTGTCCTGGAGGGATAGGAAAAGAAAGGCAAAAAGGACAAATTCACATCCTCATTCTGGGTAGTGCAACACCCCCCGCTTAGCTGAGATTTTACAGAGCTAAATTTAGCCCAGCAACCGTGGGATTCGTCCTCAATTTTAACTCTTGAATGTAGGTTGAGGCTAATTCATTCAATCCGAGTGTATAGCTGCGAAACAAATGAGAAATGGGAATGATCCAAGTAGAACTGTCCCAATATATCATCTGGCAACAAGAGCCAATGTGATACAGAACTTCAGGTGAACAGTTTGGAGTGATCTGAGAAAAATCTTATACACACACATCACATTTTATGCTGGCAATGGCCCACAATTCACCTCAGGGCCTAACCTATACATAAAGTTGTGATGTGATTAAGATAGCTCCAACATCCTTCACACTGTCTCTTTAGTGTAGGTGATGACCATGAATATGGATGGAACATCATTAAGGATCCATACTGATGCATTCTCTCCCCCCCTGCCCCCCGATCGGCTCAACTATAAATAGCTTCTGAGTGAAGTTTGTCACGAATAAGAAGTACGGTGCATGAGTCAGAATCTAAAGATGACAGCGAGACGCAGAAGGAGGTAGGGGGCCGCAAACTGTGTGTGTAAGCATATACTGTTTGTCAAGGTCAGCTGAAGCGCCGCTACCCCAGGGAGTGAGGTATGGTGTGCCTATGCACTTGGTTTAAATGTTGAGAAAACAAAATTATTATCCCTTTTTAACATTTCCAAACAGCTGCAAGAAGCTGCTCTCCCTCCTGTGCTAAGGCAGGTCACAGTATGCACGGGATGTTTCAGGCTATAAGTACACAGTATTTGATACTTGAACTGTGTAAGCGTAATTAAAGAGTGGTGGAGAAGCATCCTGGATCTGTCTCGGAGCATTCTCTTCTCATTAGTGAGCAACATCTTATATTTTGCTGACTCTTCTTTTATGTATTAAACAAATCATAGTGTTGAAGGGTTGACCACCTTCAGCAAAACTGCATTATTACATTAAAACTGCTGTAGCGTCTGAAACACTGTAGCACGTGTTTTTGCATTTGCACTGAGAGTACTGTCTGAGCACAATACACCACCATCCACTGCACCAGTAAAATCTGGACACCCTGCATTCTATGGCCAAAAAATTCCCTCAGCGTTATAAATTGCAGAGAAAAAAAAAAAAAAAAAAAAAATTAAATTAAGTGTTCTCGCCATCTCTCTTTCTCTGCTCCTTGTACTTTGGTCTCTGCCACTCACTTGGTCTTTTTCCGGATCTCCTCTACCAGTTGCTTGATGTGATCCTCCATGAACTCAATTTTTTCCTGCTTGCGAGCCAAGGCCTTTTGCAGGCGGACAATTCGATCCACAAGCACAGCCTTGTCGACTTCTGGGAAGCTGTCCACGACCACCACTGACGGACCTGACTGGCTCTCTGGCGACCTCTCTTCAACACCACTGCTCCCACCATGGCGTGCATTCAAGGAGCCTGGGGAATGGAGCAGAGATGAACTTAGAAATTGTTTTTTTTTCCCCGTAACGTGATTTTGGTCATGTATCAACTAGCTGTGAGCTATTATTTTCCATGAAAAACTCTTTATATTGCCTTTGCACTATGATTTCATCAACTTTTGTAAATAAGCACCACCTTTTGGGGGGGGGTATTTGTGCCATCAGAGGAGAAAAAAAACTTTACAGGACGAATATTACAAAAACAGAAGTCTTTTATGATATTACTTCTATGTGTGTTAAATACTAATACTAACCAAATCCAGAAGTAGTACCTGAGGAACTTGAGCGACTGCCCATACTGCTGGCATCCCGGTCGCAGCCTCCATTCTCAACCTGCTCCAGTCTCTTGCGGGCTGTACGAGAAGAGAAAGTAAACAACTGTCAAACATAGATTTACACTAGACAGATGTGAAAGTTATGATACATGGTTTAACAACATTATTATGGGTATTGCTAACTGCTGAGTGTAAAATTTTGATCAGACGTTCGCAAAAAAGCATGATGAAAGCTGCTCGACTGAAGTGAACTGAAATTTCCACTGTGAAGGTGTCTACCTGAATAAATGTGATGAAGCTTGCTTTTTAGGAACAGTGCACGCTCAGCAAATCTTCCATGCATAAACAAAGGCTTAAAATGACAGTATAGTAATGAAAGTAACTGCAACACTGATGAACGATCACAGGCTCTCCTAATTAAAATGTCCTCATTGTCCCACATGCCAACTCAAAGTGAAAAGCTAGTGCATACAAGATGATGGTGCTGAACTTCATGCCTTTACGTTGCTGCGTTTGCCCAGAGAACCAAGTAGGGGAAGCTGGCTCGCTCTATTAAGTATAATCCTAGCATGAGAAGAACATAAGCTCTCTATGCACCGCACCTATCTGTACCCTTCCATCTCCCTTGTTTCTAATCATCCTGCACTTTCTCCTCTTAATCCGAGTGTGTGACCTGACATCAAATCCCTGGGAGGGGACTGTCTCGCAGTCGAGCAATTCTATATAAAAGAAAAGATGTCACAGTCAAGTGAAATTAGATGATGGACACAATGGCCACTTTGGCACGGCTGGAAATTCTAAAACGCTTTTGATACCTTGCAATTAAACAATAATTCTGACATAGCACATATATTTTCTTTTAAGGTTTGAATCCGACCTGTGGCCCTGCGCTGCGTGTCATCCCCTCTCTCTCTACCCCCTTTCCTGTCTATCTTCAGCTATCCTATCAAATCAAAAGGGAAAAAAACATCTTATCATATCATATCTGTTATAAAGGCCATAAGCAGCGCCACAACCCATAACCACGTCTTGTCTAAGCCATATGGCTCTCAAAAAGTGTAATCTTTCTTATCTGCTAAGGAAATAGCTAAATTAAGTTGGGTACTGTACCGTGAAGGAGATACAGAAATAGACTGTACTGTAAGGTGGTTTCCTAACCTTGTGTTAGTTGTTTCGTCAGGTCCTTGATGTTGGCCGCTTGTTTCCTTTTCTGTGTCACCAGCTCATCCCTCAGCTCTTCAACTCTGGTTTTTAGCTGGGCCACCTCTGTTTGCAGTGCTGTCCGCTCATCCTGCAGACCTTGCACCTCCTGCTGCCTCAGCACCTCTTCCTGTTTCAGCTGCCGTGACTGCAGGATTAATGGAGACGAGACGAGGCATTTTAGTAAAAATGCAATAACAGCAATGATAGAGTGGTAGGGTATTGTGACAATGGTTGCTTGTTCCAAAAAGGAACATTTCACTGTCTAGCAACCTGTAATTGAAATGAAAAATATATAGCACAAAGATTTTCTCCTGAATGTCAAGCCAGAAAATATATTACTATTCAAGGACACTGTGTGTTCTAGGACAGACAACTCAGCTGTTACGAGTATGTCAGAAGCACAAATCATACACTCTACAGTACATTTGTACACAACCTTTATACAGAGACTGAAAACTGACTAGAATCAACACATTTTAATAATGACATGATTTCCTCAAGGCATTCCTACATGATTTTAGTGAACAATACTCAGTATATCAGTCTTCTACATCTCACTGTATAACTTTGTGCGTTTAAAGCTCCCCCGACCTTGTCATCTAGTAGTCTGTTGGTCTCCTCCAGCCTCCCTTGGAGCTCCGTGAATCTGCTGGTGAGCTGATCCAGCTGAGACTGTAGTGCGTTACTCTCTGACTGGAGCTGGGCGTTTTTGCTGCTCAGCTTCTCAGTAAAGCCCAGTAGCTCAGCTTCGCGCTCCCTGCTGCCTTGTACATCACGCTGGAGGTCAGCCATCTGGCTGGTCAGGCTGTCCACTTCCTCTCGTAGAGACGTGATCTCCTGTTTATCACTGCAGGACAAATAAATGATTGCCAAGGTGTTAATAAAGACTCACATTAAATGGGTGGTCACTATGAACTTCCCTTCTTATGTGGGTGTGAAATGTGTATTAAGGATACAATTTTAGTATTGTATGACAAACAGGAAATTATACATAGCAAGATACAGCATATGGCGTTTTACATAACCCATTATTTAAGCCAAATCGTTTGCATCGCCATGCAGTTAGACCTCTGAAACTATAGGCCAGATGAAATGTTTAATGTTTGATTCGGATTGACAAAATAAAAATGAGCCATACATAATCTTCCAGGATGAACGTCACAATCTTCACTGGTAGTGAAGCTGTCTATGGACAAAAAGAACTGGTGGCATCAAATCATTTTTTTCTTGCCAACAACTAAAAATGTTGGTGCAAGTTGTGAATAAAACTTCCTGCTTCACAAAATGAAAGCCAGAACAAAAAGTAGAGAAGCTTTTGCATAAATCAATTTGGGTTGGCGCCACCTACTTATGGCACTCTGGCAGACACAGAAAGAAGCATTTCAATAAGTGGAAAAGTTTCTCTATCAAGTCATCTGCACATGGCTGGCAGAGCCACACACCCACAGAGGGACCCGAGTCCCTTCCTGCCCTGTGTGCTATATCTGTCTCTGGCCTATCTTAAGGTACTTGACAGAAGACAAAAAAATAAAAGGGCCAAGAACTATATTACAAGCAGTACAGTTCTATGAAAACCAATTATGTGTGAATGGTGTTACAGGTGCACATGTCAAGAATTGTAATTTGCCTGCAAGTTCCTAGAAAAGTTGCCCCCAATGTATCACTGACTGTTCTACAAAAGTTTTATCAAACAGTCACAGGACTGTTTTTAAAAATCCATTTAAAAACATCTAAATAAGATGTATCTGTGCACTGTGAAATGAAATCCATCATTTTAAAATGTATTCCAAGCAGCCAAATATGACATTTGGCCTTTCACAAAATGGACTGGGGTTATTGTAGGACCCCATCATAATTCACTACAAATAATATTTGCTTTAGGTTCTCTTAACATTGTGGACATCACACAATGCTGCAATGTATCCATGTATCCTATGCTTGAGCTTTTACCTTCAGTTCTGTTCATGAAAGATCAGTGTGAGAGAGTGTGTGTGTGTGTGTGTGTGTGTGTGTGTGTGTGTGTGGGACCGTTCATTCTGCTCCTGGAGCGCAGTGATCTCTTCCAGCTTTTCTCTCTGACGGCCAATCTCAGCCTTCTGCCGGTTGATGATCTCCCTGTACTTGCTCAGCTCGTCCTCCCAGCGTGGACGCTCGTCCTCTAGACACTTTAACTACAGAACAACACACACTTATTAAGCCAAAGAAGACCTGCTGATATCATGTGGACACACAGATGTTCAAGCACTTATCTATATGACAAACCTTGGTGCGTAGAGTACTGAGCTCATCCATTGCCTCTTTGTAACTCCTTTTCAGGTCCTCCAGCTCTTTGGCTTTCACTCGGTGCACCTGCCAGATGCATTAGGTTTTGCGTTAGATATATACCCACTGTTATGGCTTTTACTTTGAGTCTACTCATATGAGCAATTTATGTTTCTAAACCTCTGAATCCAAACTGTAAAAGGATGCCTTATGCTAAAAAGGTTTCCTCTCTACCAACTATGACAGATTAAATGTCAGTATGTAGGAATCAGTGACATCTAGCCATTTAGTTGCAGGTTGCCACTCCCTTGCCTCATTCTCCCCTTCCAAGCGTGAAAATCACGAACAGCCCTATCTAGAACCAGTGTTTAGTTTGTCCATTCTGGGATACTGTAGAAACATGGTAGCCTCCATGGAAGAGGACCCGCTCCCTTTGTAGATAAAAACGATACATTCTAAAGGTAATGAAAATGTACAGATTCATATTTTTTAGGTGATCATACATATGCTGATAAAAACAAACCAATACTATATTCCATTTCAGGCAATAGATCCTCCTAAATGTTAACCACTGGACCTTTAATACACATTACCAATTCATTTCAATAGTTTTAACCATCAACTTGAGCCTCAGTCAGACTGAACAAAAAGTATTTCTTTCTGAAAAACAATACAAAAAATGCATTAGATAAATAAATAAAAATAATAAACAATCTTACAGAAGAATCGTTTCATTACAGACGCATTTCCTGGCAATCCAAGTGTAGCATTCATTAACGTTATTATGTTTATGCACTCATTATGCATGTGAAAGCAAAGCTCAATAATGTTTTCGTCTCATCTTTTTTAACAAAGCCGTTAATGACTAGTGCTACTCAACTTTTCCAAGAAGCTATTAGTAGCCTGTGGTATCCAAGACAACATGTCAGTAATGGAGATGCTGGCAAATTTACTGTCTATGTCCTGCATCCATCCTTTCCTGTCCCGGTTTAATGTTTAAACCCACACAGTAATGGGAAATCAACTGTTATGTTTGCATTATTTATGAGTGAGTTGCATCATAACTTGAGCATAACACACATACTAAAATAAATACAGGCTTGGACCAATTTAGTCATCAACGAGGCAGCGGTATCTGCAAAAAATTGAGGTCCTACACGGTAAAACCTGTCCTAAAAACAATCTGTACAAAGTATCAGGAATAGGCCACACTGCACATCACCATTGGAAAGGTTTATTGATAACAGAATGTCTGATACTGCAGAGTTAATCGTATTAATATTTTTATGATCAAATATTTCAAAACTTTTCACCTAAAATGAATACATCAGAATATAAATTCAAAACCATTTGATGGTTTTGATGGTCTGTTATTTATGACAGACATGATGACATTTTAAGGACTTGTAAACACCCTGAATAAACGAACCAGACTGTGGAAACATAGCAAGAAATGTGTGATTTCCTCTGGGTTGTTGTTGAAAAGCACAGCTTCATATTGATTATTTCTAGGCCATTTATTTTTAAAGCGTGATTCCCATCAGAATGGGGCAGAGAGAAAAACAGGCCATTGTGTTTGGAATGAGTCCATGTCTGTGCCTGTGTGCATGTGTGTCTGCCTGTAGAGCCTATGTGCCAGTTTGTTACTCATTCCTACTTAAGGCAATTACACCTCTCAAACTGATGAAAACAGCTGAAAATAAACATTTTTACTAGTAGAGCTGGCATCAAGACCATCAATAAAAGGCTGAATAATGGCCTTGTGGAACAGAAAGTATATGTAATTTTCAACCAATAGCAAACCTGCATTACTGTTTATTTTGTCCAGGAGTTTTAAGTGCCTACTCACTGGCCACCTTAAGCCGGTGTATACACATCAATGACTTCTTGTGTACACACGCGTGTGAGAAAGTGTTTGTACGTGTGCACAGCGGTTGTCACCTCTAATTGGTCTGTTTGTTCCTGCTTATGTTTCTCCAGCTCTCCTTTGGTCTCCCTCAACTTAGCATCCAGCTCGTTGGACTTGAGTTCCTCCGATTCCTGGGGGGTAGAGGGTTAAAAGATTAAAATCAACACAATAAGCCGGCAAGCATTCCACAGCTGAAACAACAGTAAAAGAGGGGCGAACTGAATATACGACGTGGGTAAAGGAGGCAACCAATGACGATGAGACACCAAACCATAATATCCATGTTTGCATCGAATATATCTGGGTGGCATTTTGGTTTTGGCTCAGTTCAACTCTTATTCTTAGTCTTATTAGCTATATGCTGCAAGTTACTGCATACATCTTTTTTTAAAAATGCTAAAAATGTGTTTTTGTTTTTCATGTCATGCGGTTTTATTTTGATGCCTCGCTCTATTATATGCTGACACTGTAGTCTGATGAAAGAATACAGCAGCATTTTTTCAACACAGAGAGAGAACTTAGGCAGCTCTTTACTACCATCATAAGGTATAAATGGAAACTGCCGTTCACCTGAAGCAGAATCAAACCTGTTCCAATTTCAGTTTGGCTCATTTAATAGCATCTTTTAGTATTTTAACAGAATAAAGACATGCAAACAGTTAATTTAGAGAGGAGGCAATGAACAATAATAAGCACGACATTGTGACACAAAACATGCAATCTACATCACACAAATCCAGACATACACCATGTTTCTCAGACAAAGATATATTACATTTGCTCACATTCTTGGTCATGAGCCAACTAATACTTCTGTGCGATAAATATCACAGACCTGGTATGTTCGGATCATGTCCTGGCAGTTCTTGCGGATCTGTTCAGTCTCTTCTTTGGCCTGGACCAATTTGGATGTGGTCTCTCTCAGTTTGTCTTTAGTTTCCTGCACACAGATTAACATTAAAATGCTTTTGTTTTAAGGGAAAGTAAAGGCTGTACTGTACAAAGCCACAGTAATGATTTAAAGGAAGGTTCCCGTTTGGTGACTTCTTACATGCAGAGTGATTTACACACACATCAACCACACAAACCAAAACAAAAGGAAACATTACTGGCACCAGTCCTGCGGCCTTCAGCAACTTTTTTTTTTTCTTCTTCTCTGTTTATAGTTGCATATTTGCTCGGAGGCGGTTTAAAAATAAAAGCATTATTTTGAAACAGAAATCGTCAAAAATAGCAACGATGTTAATGATGGCTTCCTTGCAGGATCATTACTGTACACATTACATTACTTTTCACCCCATTTCATTTCGCCCTGAATCAAATCATGTCTATTATGGAGCGGATGCAGATAAAATGACTGAAGGGGATGTCATTTGTATACTGGAAATACTTAGCGGGTATACATCATTGACATGGTGTCTAGACTAAATGAAGAAAACCAACACTAACCAGAAATTTAAGTATGTTCTTTCGAACTGATATTGGCAATATAGACACTAGAGCTACAATGACTTTAGGTAGTCAACCACATCAGCAATGTAAATGTGTAAACTTATTACACTATTATTTATTTAAATCATTATTTATAAATACAGTGCTTTCTTCTCTGTAACCAACAGCTCATACATTTTTTTTCCCTTATGTTTGCCTATGAAATATTTCTATTATAAAGTACATTTGGGTTGTGAATTGTTACATTACCTTGTGTGCATCAGCCTCACTCTTTAGTTTGTTCTGGGCCCATTTGACCTTGATGAGATGCGAGTTGATCTCCTCCTTCAACTTTTCCACCTCTCGAGACAACCTGCTAACCTCGCCTTCCTGAGAGCACAGAGAAACGGGACGAGCAGAAACAATATCAGAGGCAGCAAACGGAAATTTGGCTGAGATGAGACACTTACTTATATTAAATAACTAGTCTTGATGCTTTTCCTCTGCTAATTCCGTAATATTAATACAAAGCATACAAGTGGGACATCCAACGTACTGCTGACTCACAGACTCAGATCGGCATAATTAAGACTAGGAAGAAAAACACCCATCAAACAAAGTTTGCTACATCTTTAAATAATTGCTATGAAGTATAAATATTGAAGTAATTTTAACAAACTAATGAGTGGGACAGCTTTGTTTTAATGTATGTTAGTGGCACATTATGCTAAATTAAATTCAAGTTCAAAGGGATACATCAAAAGAATTGTATGTCTTTGTACCTTATAGAAAGAGTTGGGTAAGCAGAGTCCCTATATAAGTCCTTCTATAAACAGTTTTCAAAATAAAAATTCTTTAACAGGGCACTTAAAACTGACAGAATATTTACCTTAGCATCATAGAGCTGCTGCAGCCGGCCCTTCTCCTGGGCCAGCTGGTTTCCTCGGAGGGCCTGGCGGTCCACCTCCTTGGTGGCTTCCCTCAGCCTCTTCTCCAAACTCTCCTTATCCCGCCTCAGGTCGAGGGCCTCTTTCTCCCCACGCACATATTTCATCACCATGGCCTCCTTCTCCTGGCGTGCTTCGTCACACTTCTTGTTAACCTGAGACGGTTGTTTATATCATGAGGTTTATACAATATACCACACTTCAGTCAGTGAGCAGCTTATATTGTTGGATCCTACAGAGGAACAGAAATAAGTGATGTTTCCCTTAGAAATCCCTAAAAGGAGTTGGCTGGGGAGAACATATATGGGCTACTCTACTTAGCCTGCTGCAACTTCAATCGGGACTGGCACACATCATGAAAGATGGACTGTTGGATAGACAGATAGACAATCTAGCATTGCAGTGTGGGTGGAAGTCAAAACACTAACTTACAGTAAGACTGTCAGCTTGTCAACCTTTTACAAATGGAGCCAACATGCTTTGACTTGGCTGCAATATGACAACAGCACTTTTTCTAAACAATTTAGAAACTTCATATTTTCATTTTAAGTGCCAGTCTGTTTATACCTAAAAGCCTTGATAAGCATAGCACTTTTATGTCCAGGGCACACCATGGTACATGTACTATACCAACACCTCACCCTCAAACCCAGTGGTTCACTCACAACTTCCTCTACTGGTCTCACACCAGTGTGTTCATTCCTCATGTCAACGAAGTGCCATTTCTTAGTTTGTCAGTTTTATGCTGCTATGTCTGATCTTTACTGCATTCTGTAACAAGTTGGACTTTCAGGAGAGCAAGAGAAGGGTGGAGAAAATGTGTGTTGCTGTTTCTGCGTTATATTTTTAAATCAAATAATATAACACAATAAAAATAGACATAGCACATTTTGTGTCTATAAATTGACAAGGCCAAATGTTTCAAACTTCAGGGGCAACAATTGATTAGGACTGGGTCACCATCTTAATACAAAGGAGGACTGATACAAGGGAAGAGAAGACAAGAGTGCAAGATCTACCTCGTATTGTTCACTGAACAGTGAAATTAAAAATTGTGAAGTGTGGAAAAACTGTCAAGAGCGAAGTACCCTACAAGATTTCAACCAGGTGTGCAAACTATTGGATGAAAAATGTGCTTTCCGGCACTATTCGCTTAACAAGTGATTAAAGCTGCAATAACAAGAGTTTGGTGCGCAAAGACCTTGACCGTTCAGCTGCTTGTTTTGTGCAAACGTCTTCAATATACGTGCGATACAGTTTCTGGCAAAAAAATAATGTAAATTTGGTCAATTAGCTTCATTTCAGCTATTTCAGCTTTTAATTATTTTAATCTAAAAAGATGAATACAACATTTTTTAATGCAATGTAATGTACTTGTACTTACTGGCTGTCATACTGATGCACAGGTACAACCGCTTAGATAAGAGAAACTACAGATACTGTAGAAGGAGATAGAATGCATTTTGTCTGATGGTGATGCAGCAAATGGGGCCAATTAAGAAAAACATATACCACAACACAGCACACAAAAAGGTGAACGCTACATCTTAATTATGGAAATACATTCACTTGTATACACACACAGCATATACAAATACACTTTATTGATGTTGTATGTGTTGTGGATGATAAAGAGAGCCAATTGCTGTGCTGTGGTTTGATCGTCTTCATCAACTGTCAGATGCTGACAGCTATGCTGCTGTTCATTTCTCTCTGACAAGCTGTGGGCTATTCCTGAGTAATGACATTGTGAGTTAAGTGACAAACTCAGCCTTAGTTCAGCAAAATAAAAAGGTACTGTAGCAGCCTGAAATGGAACAAGGCCATACATGCAAATAGGGGCCAGACTGGGGCAAAACTAAGTTGTGTGACCAGCTTATCAAATATATTCTCTCACAGCATTTGAGCCCCAGTTATACCTGTTCTAGCCGGTATGCCATTTCCTTCTGCATCTGCTGGAGAGCAGCCTTAGCTGCCTGGTCCTGGTGGATTAGTTTATCCCGCGACTCCTTCAGTTCTTTCAGCAGCTCCTCCACCCTGCCCTCCAACTGCAGAAACAGGGAGTATAAAGGGTAAGCAACTTGTTGGGCAACATGTAAGCCTGGCCACACCTGGTCTAACCTGCTACACAGGATGACACCTGACACAATATGTTGGAGGCAAAATATATCTAGACAGCACAGGAACAGGAAGGCAGTTTGGCATTGTTCTATTCCTCAAAATCTGATATTGACCGTATTATTACCGTAAATATGACTGAAATGTCTCTAGCAAGATATGCCTAAAATAATTGCGTAAAATTAGAAAAGAAAAGAAAGATCTTCTTGTACTTTTTTGTCTATTACTATCTAGCGTAAATCTATGGTTGGAAAAAAAAGAAAAGAGAAAAGGGCTCAAAACATACATTGAGTGTATGTCATAAAAAATCCCTCCTATACCCTTTTGTTTGTACAGTGCTTAAACAAACGCTGTTACCAAGAAAGAAAGAATCAATTATTGTTCCCTCTATGGCAACAGCAATGCTAGCGTCCAGTGAACAGAAAATATTCCATGAACAGACAAGTACTTGTTGTGTTTTGGAGTGCAATGTAGACGGTAAGCCTTGTAAATCAAAGGGGTAGAACTCAAACACACAAAAAAAGACACAAGACATTAAAACACACAATTCACACAGATGAATACAGCCTTTCATGCACATGTGGCATGTTGAATGCCAGTAATCAGAACTCTGTGTCCTTTTCTTCTCCCCACCGGGCTGCTTTGTTTGACTTCCTTAATTACAAGCTATACAGGGCTGGACTCCAGATTGAATTGAATTGGAGTGTCACTGTGACCAGTGCTGCTAGACAGCATTTGTCCTCTAATTGTACTGTGTATATAATTGGTCCTTGAATTTTACATATATTATAAAAAGACTATTCTAGTATTCTCACCTTTTTCCTACTTTTTTTTACCCAATTAAAACCATATGCATTTCAAGTGTGCAATTTCTAAATTCTGGATCAGGAAATATTGTGTTAGATTTTTGTACATGTCATCCCTTACCACATAACATTGCAGTACTTCCTCTTTATCTTTCTTCATATTTTTCTACATACTGTGATTACTGTTATGCACCATAACACCAAGGCAAATTCATTGTACGTGAAAACCAACTTGGAAATACACCTGATTCTGACATAAAGACTAGCCGACACAGCACTGGTCACTCTAGAAGAGCCAACATGCATTGTAGGATTTTTTAAAGGCTGCTGTGGAGCAAAGCTTTTCCTTTCTTTGAGCAGTCCCTAACAGTATACATTAGAGCAAAATTGAAAATATATTAAAAAAATAAAATAAAAAATGCAGGTGCTATGTGATCACAGTTTGCAGAGGTCAATGTCGGCACGGGCAGGAAGTCAGACAAAACACTGGAGCAGAGCACTTCCTTGTTGATTAAAAACATACGGTAAACAGGCTTCAATTGTTTTCAAAAATGAATTAAAAATAGCTTGGAGAGACATGCAAGGACGAACAAAGCCCATTATTCTAGAATGGGCTTGCTTTGGACGAAGGGACAGGCACAGACCGCATCACTTGTGTTTGTGCTCCAACACAGAGTGCAATATGACAACAAGGTGAACAGAACCATAGAGAATGAAACTAACCTTTTTAATGGTGGCCATGTGCTGCTTTTCCGTCTCTGCCCTCTTTTTCAGCTCTTCCCTCATGTTGTCCTTCTCTGAACAGATACCCAGGATCAGCTCCTGATGCCGCTTGTTATCCTCAAGCAACCTATACACACAGATGCACCACACACACACACACAAAGTTTACAATACCAATGTAGGTCAAGTCCATACAAAGTACTAAAGAATTAAGACTTGTGTTGTAAATCCAGTCTCATTACTGCAAAAAAACACAATTCGGGCTTTAAAAACGATTTTTGTTAACTTAATTAAGACAGATTTAATACAACTGAAGTGAAGGAAAAGGGGAAAAACAATAGCAGTTAGCATGTAGGTTAATCTTTTGCTAAACTGATCCATTACAATGGAAGCAAAGTATTGTACAAATAACAGCTTAAAATGATGTGATGAAGGTGCCCTAGTACATCATAAGCTACTCTAGGCAAACCAGAGACATGGATTAATCTAATAACTGACACCACAGTACACCAACAGACAGAATAGCAGTTTACCTCTGAATAGCTTTCTCCTGCTGTGCATATTTGTATTGCACGCACTTCTCAAAGACCAACATGCAGTCCTCTTGGTCTGTAGGGAGTCCATTGACAGGTGGGCTCCCTTTCCTCTCACCTCCACCTTCACCCTCAGGCAGCTGGCAAGCCAACAGCTCTGACTCTAGCTCATCCAGCAGTGACTCCTGTGACAGCGAGCGCTGAATCTGGGAAATAAGCTTTCGGCTACAATCAGTGTCATACGGACTTGACAAGGAATGCGGGGGAGCTGAGGTGTTGGTCTGTGGGCTGGAAGCAAGCGAGGAGCTGACGGTGTCTGAAGTGGGGGTAGAAGGGCCATTGGAGATGCCAGAGGTGGTTGTTGAGTCGGTGGGGGAGTTTTTAGAAGCGTTTTGGACGGAAGAGGATGATGGACTCTCAACTGGACCGCTATCATCAGCAGGCGATGGCTCTGTGGAACAATTTGTGACCAAGACTGATGGCTGCTCATTGCTGTCTGGAGTGGTGCCATGAGAATCCTTTACTTCATCGAAAGTCAATACGGTTTCTATTTTCCCTTCAAGAACAGATGGAGAGCTTTCTATCACATTATCCACACTTGTGACTGGGGCTAGCAAAGCTCCACCAGCCTCATTTGAACACAGAGGTATCCCGCCTTCCAAGGAGACTGTATTGCTATCACAGCCGGTATCAGCATCCAGCTCACTCCTCTCTACATCTTCCTGGTTGCAAGTCTGAGCTTCCACCTTTGCGTCTGTCTGAACATCTGTCACATTCTTGATTAAGTTACTGTCAAGCTGTGCTTCATCTTTTGCCTGACTGCATTTTTCTGCCTCATCTGCACTGTTGTGAGAGATTTGTTCCTCCTCTTCTACATTAGATGTGCTGTCGTGATGCTGATCCGTTGGGTTCGATCCCTCCGACACAGACTCAACCTCTGATCCTTCCATCGTGTTTGTATCTGAAGCAGGACCAGGCTGTTCCATGGTCCCTCTCTGGTTCAAATCTGGCAGAGACAGAGGAAGGAAGAGGGAGACTGAGTTGGAATAATAATAAACTAATAAACTTTTGAGGTTTTTATTAATTGTGTGAGAACAGCTGCGAAAAGCCTAAAACTTTCTGGATGCCACCAATACAGGAGCCCTGTGCTTTTTTACATGTCATGCCTTCCTGGTAATTAGGTACAATGTGGTCCTTGTGTTGAGCCAGGAAAAACCCTGACAATCCCAACAATAAGCTTCACATTTCCTCGTGTTACTACTCAGGTGATTTGCTAGTTTATCTGTTGCCATGAGGAACACAACTTCAAAGACATGCCCAGCAGACACACACACACACACACACACACACACACACACACACACACACACACTCCCACCTGCTTCGACACACAGTAAGAGGTGTGGTCCTGTCATCACATGTGACGTATTTTTGTGGGCATGTGGCGCAGAACGTCATACAACTTAGATAGGTATTCAAGATTGCTACATAGGCAGCCTCACTGCATTCATCTTCAAAGTGTGTCACCAATTCATTTAGAGTTCATGGCTGACACACCTGGGAGGATCTGAGGATTTTGTCAGTTTAAAAGGCAGAGGACTGTACAATGTTTGATTTGAGTTTTTAAGTACAGAATATGATCCCTATAATCCATTCTCATGTTTACTTTATAGATTAGCTTGAGAACACCTTTCTTGTCCACTTTATTTTAAAGATATGAAGACAATGAACCAGCCACTAGACCTGCGCTCACTAAAATCATGGAAAAAGCTAATAAACGCAATCGCCCTGTCTCACATTATTCCCTCGAAAGGAAAATGGCTTTGTCAGCATCTACTGTGTTAATAATCACTCAGAGAAGACTGAGAATAGCTGGAAACCATGTAAACTTTAATACCGCTCTACAGAGTTACTGTCTTTGAAAGACAATATGTTATAGTAGATTCCCTTTACTCTGTTACACCATGTTTCCTGATCCAAAAGCCCCTCGGCACCATTCATCATACCTCTTTCAATACCACCTTCTCCATATTCATCCCAGTTGACCCCTTTCTGCCCTATTACACAAAAAAAGGGGATTTACATTTAAAGCCTTACCATCATCCTACATACTGCGTTAAACAGACCATAGCTCCACACAGCAACACAACCCAGCTTCTCATGTTAAAGCAGTAAGCAAGCACACCAGCTAATACACATGCAATGATGTTGATGCTCTTGTGACAGGTGTCATGGTGCAACTCAGAAGTGGTTTTAACAGCAACCAGCCTTATTGAAACACGTTAATCAGCTGTTCAATGCATCGGGCTGGTCACTGTGTAGTTAGCAAGCAGCAGGCCGATGTGCCACTTTGTGTTTACTGTCGTATTATTAACACTTCGGGTTCATTTATACCGACTTTAGCTCGCTACCTGTATAATTATAGCAATGCCATTAGGAAATCACAACACCTATCGTAAAACACAGCACACGGGAAAACCCAGCGAACTAACAATAGGTGGCTCAAATGGATTTAACGCTAGACTGCAGACTGACATATTGTATGGAGGCACTGCTCACTTTAGCTGGCTAAGCTAACGTTGATAAGAGTGGCGTTAGCTAGCCTAGCTACCTTAACTACTATCCGCTCACACGTCAGCTAGCGCGGCTAACAACGAGCATCCAGCGTCAACGACAAATAGAGATGTTTACATTTTCACCCACCGAATGAGAAGAACTCATGTTGCAGTTCAACGCGGAGACCGACCGGGATAAGTAGGAACTTTGAGGTTTCTGCCTTCCCCAGCTGAGAGCCCCAACAAGTCACTTTGATATGACACATCAACAAATATGGCTACTAAGGGAGAAACGATGAGGTCGTCTGAACCAATGAGAGCTCGGTGAGAAATGACGTGAGTCTGACGTCAACGCACGACAGGTACACCTCCACCTCATTCTGTCCAGAAAATGAAATACTCTTTAACACACAACAGTAAAGCACACTAAATACCACACACATGTTTTATACTATTGATATGATATATACAAATTATTTGTACTCTCTGATAAAACACTGGAAAACATTGGTTTGACTTTCTTGCTCCAATCTGATATCAAAACCAAAAGTAAACTTTCGCTTATATTGTTGAGTGTAAACCTTCAGAGGTTGGATTTGCTTTTAAACAAGCAGCTTAGGTGTTGAGAACCTTTCTTTAATTAAAAGGCAGTATAAAATGAACACAAATATTAATTAAATCAGGAAATATTTGACCAGATATTAACTGAGGAAGGCTAAATTTAGGCACCTGACAGTCGTTGATGCTCAGTGTTCTGGTTCGTACTCATTAAGTGGCTTTGATACCAAGCCCTTAACAAACATTTAATCTTTTGCTGCTTTGATAACGTTAGTCTAATTGTTTGTAGCCTACTGGTTGACGGATACGATATATAGAGAGATTATAATATAAGAATATAATCTAATATAAGAATGTAGGCATGGAAATTATTAATAAGGACTATTTAAGGTAGAAGAGGGTCAAATGTAAAATTAATTTGATTAACAGCTCAGGTTTTCAGCTTTCTTTCCTGTGTCAAAGAAGTGTAGTCCATCAGCAAATATGTCTCGTTTCAAGGCAACATCATTGAATAACTTAAATTAATAAATTGTTATTCCTACTATTATGATATCACATTTTTTTGCAATATGCTAGTTATTTACAATAATTGCTGAATTCTCCCCTTTGAAAACCACAGGCCTTCAAATGTTTGTTTAGTGCACTTTATTTATAGCTAACTACTGGCTTGAATCTTTGGGCCATCTTTAGTGTAGCTACCATTACCATGCGTGCATATTGCACCTGTATGCGGCCTCCACACCTTATCTTTGACTCCAATGCAGTTCATGAAGACAGTGTGCATTGTGCAGTGACCACATCAGTGACCCAGCATTCAAAGTACACGATGACACAGACAGACATGAGCCCATACAATATTTCACACTTGAAGGTAAATATGTTTATTTATGTCATATTATGTGCATTGCTTTTGGTTTTCTATGGTTTTAATAATTGTAAAGGATAAAAAAAGGTTCACACATTCCCACACTTGTGCGTAAATAAAAGCAAAGAACATTTAAAAATGATATAATGTCACAAAACAATATAAACAGAGTCGGTCTTAAAGCACTACTTCATAATAACATTCATCCTGACCTCTTTGTTTCCTCCTATTCAGGCTACTGCGCATGTGTAGTACTTCACCTCCTTAGAAACACGTGCATTCGGGTAAGATATTGACCGTGTAATTTCACACCATAAAATACAGATATATTTATTTATATGGGGTTAAATGTTTAGTTCCGTCTCGTAGCATATAATTGTATCTTGTTGTTGGAAGTTTTGCTCAGTTAACACCGTGTGTATTAGCTTGCTAACAGCGAAGTGTAGCCGCACAACAGCTGTTTCACCGTTGATTAGCTAGCCAAGAATTCAGCTGCTTTTTTTTTTTTTTTTTTAAAGAATAAACGAAAACTTTTGAGAACTTGTCATGAACACGTCATATCTTAATAAACTCTTTGACTTTATATATTTGTTTTAGGACGTTGACAGCTGTCGCCATGTACCACTCGGTTCGACCCAACCTGCCCTTGAGGAAACCATCATCGAGCCCCGTGGCTCTTTGTGCGTCGCCTTATCCGAGACTCTCTATGCCCAATGCTGCACCTGTGCGCCCGTCGTCCAACGCCATTGGAGACGGTAAATGTACTGCTGTCATTATCGGACTCAGCCTTGCTCAGTTACTATCTGGTCAAATATTGCCTCGTTTAATTCATATTTATGTATATATTCATATTTTTACAGCTTTTTAGTAAAGTTCAAGCTGTTTAAAAGCAAATCCAACCTCTGAGGGTTTATACTCAACAATGTAAGGTTCTGCTAAAAGTTTAGCTTTGGTTTGGACAACTACGACTAGTAACTAAACAGCAATAAAATGTTACTGTAATAAGTCGCTACTGTATTTACCATCGGACCTTACATTTCAGCAGGTTCCTTCCTCTTTTTCTTTCTTTTGCAGGTCCCACAAATTCACCACTCAGCAGAGATACAGCTGCAGTATGTAACAAATGTGCAGTTCATCATCATTGGCTTTCTGTTGAAATAAAGTTAGTTCTCTGTGCCACTTACATTTTTCTGTTTTCATAGGTGTTAGGGATGGTGCCACCAGCACTGACTGTATACTTCTGCAACTACTGTGGGCAGCAGGGTAAGTAAGTCATGGAGGGGCAACAGTATACAAGCATTCAGCAAAATCAGGGGCAAATTCTGGACTATTTACATTATGTTTATTGATGAGCAGTAATGCTTCTTAGCATGACATCGTCCAAAAATTACGCATGTCAAATTTGCAAATTAATAACAATATTGATCACCCTTTTACATAATTTATTCTCAACATTTAGAAAAGTGAGAGTATAAAAAGTAACAAGTTTATAGAGTGACATGCTTTTATGATTTGAGTATATCCTGACACTGTGGTGCATGGTAAGCATGGTGGTTTGGTTGATGTGATCGTTTTTGTCAACACAGCTCAAGTGCACTGTGTTGCTTTGTATTTATATTTGGTGAATTTAGCAGTTTCTAATGAACTAGTATTCCCTTGACAGGAAATTTTCGGTGCAAGCGCTGCAAGAAGACCCCATACTGCTCTGTGGTGTGTCAGACACAAGACTGGAAGGCACACAGACAGTTGTGCAAGTCCACTGATCCAGAACCTGCAAAGTAAGCTGGGTCAACTCCGAGTACCACTAACTGTCAGCTGTGACGATTCATTAATGTTAACAGAAAACTGGTCAGCTTGTGATTCAGCAACTAATGTTGAATCATTATGTAATATCTAATAAATAATGTGTTTGTTTCTCTTGATCTAAAGTGAGAAACCAAAGGAAACCACAGCTTTGCCTGTAGCAGGTGACAGAGCTGGCCTGCTTGACTCTAAGGTAGCAATGATTTGTAGATCTGCTAATGCTAGTAAAAATTTTAATTTTCATGAATTGAAAATCTTTAACATAGTAGTCAAGGATTTATATCCTACGTTTTGTTATCTACATTTAACCTCTGTCTATTGAAGCATGGTGATGCATCCAGCCTCCAGAGAGTCTATTTGAAGGATTTGCAGATGTCTAAAGTCATTAAGGGAACAGACATCCAGGTACAACATATCCCAGTTTGTCTCCACTGTAAAGACTGATCTAGTCAATGTTATTGAATACCAAACGCAGTGTCCCTTATTTATAATTGTATGTGTTTCTAGGCATCTGTTGTAGAGTTCTACAGCCCTGGCAGGTTTTTCCTTCTTGCCCAAAGACCTGAAGTGCTAGAAGCTCTGCAAAGCATCACCACAGAGCTTCAGAAAATATACAGCTGCCCCTCTGTAACAACATATGTACCCTGTGTTGGCGAGGTTTGCGCAGTTCAGTTCTCCTGTGATCTGGTGAGCAGAGACCTTCGCAATTTGACAAGAGACACACATTTTACACATTAGCTCAGTGCTTGACTGTGCCACTTTTGTTTGCTTCTATTTTTTTATGTGTAGAACTGGTACCGAGGCCTGGTCCAGACCTTGGCTACTGACCAGAAGACCGCTAATATCCTTTACATTGACTTTGGCAATGAAGAGGATGTGCCTGTGGACAGGATTAAGCCCCTGGCAACAAATATCCAGCCCTTTTGTCCATGCGTGAGTGCATATTCACACCACTCAAATTAGCGTCTAATGTGGCAATGATTAGTGTCAAAGCATATTTTTGTGAACTGTCACGGCCATAACTTTCCACAGTCTCCCACTACATAACACACGATAGTTTGTGGTGTCTTAAAGCTGGCATGATGACCCTAGCAATTGCATCTATTACTTCCAGGCAATGGAGTGCCGTATCACCGGGGTGGTGCCAGTGGCTGGTGACTGGTCAGATGAGTGCTGTATTTCAGTGAGACAACTTTTGGCCGGCAAGATTGTGACCGTTAAGCTGGTGGAAACACTAGAGCACGGTCGCATCCATGCTGTGAATATCCTGCTTTCCATGGGTAGGTTATATAGTGTTGGTAAGGCTGAAAAACCAGATCCATTTATCATGGGTGTAGTGTCATTTGTGATAGGGATACACAGGTAAAAGCTTTGTCAACTCTCCCTGACTCTTTTAGGAAAGCAGTTGAGCACATTCCTTGTTGAGTACGGTTATGCAGCAGAGGAAACAGTCAACACAACACCAACTGAGCAAGAAATATGTAAGTCAGCTTTACATGTACTTAACCATCTTATCTCAAGTCAGTCTGCCGACCAGGGTTGCATGGGGCAAAGTCTGGGAGAATCACTGTGATAGAAATCCCTGTTACACTGCACAGTTTGTTTGAATATGTAATATACAGACATGTTTTGGAGCTCTTAAAAGTCATGAAGGTCATTAAAATTATACCCAAACATTTTACGGGTACCCAGGCTAGATTAAGACCATGCATTTAGCTTTTGGTAATACAAAAAGGATTGTTCAGCATCTGGATTTGTTTTGTATTTGTTACCAATTCAGAGCAATTAAAGTTTTATTTTTGTCAAAGTATAGGCTGCACATTTGTGCTGCATGTTTAAATTAAATAATGGTAAATGTAATAATAATTTAAATTTTCCTCAGACGCCATGATGAGTGCATCCTTGGACAACTTCAGGCGTCTCTCTGATGGGAAAGATGACAACACCTGGGCTCAGCCACCCGAGCCACTGACACAGGCAGTGGGTGACTCATTCTCTGTTATGGTTACTCATTTGCTGTCACCCAATGAAATTATCGTACAGAAGGTGGAGAACGCTGGTAAGCAGCATTTGTTCTGGTACACAGAACATAAAGCTTTGGACTTTGACATGTATCTTTAACTTAGGAGGTTTTGGTTTACAGGAGTGATTCAAGAGTTGCAGTTGAAGCTGAGGGAACACTGCTGTCAGGTCCCAGCCCCCCAGAACTTCAGGCCAGCACCCGGCACAGTTTGCTGTGCCCAGTTCTCAGGTACAAACCCTACATACTTAATGAGAATGTAAGACTCTTTCAGACAGTTTGGTTAATGATAATATGGCTGATTATGCCATTCACTAAAGAAACACAAAAGTCAGTATTTAAAGTTGATAAATGCAACATTTCCAACTGTTGTGATTTCAGGAAAGATTTATATTTGCATTTCATTTAAGTTTACAATTTGAAAATGCTTCGACCCTGAAAGGTGCTCAAATTACCAATTCACAGATTAAATATACTGAGTGTGCCACCTCTGATTTTAAAACATTTCTACATTCAGCTCATTGTGAACATGGTTACACACATTATAATAGCAAATTAGTACTTTTCCTGTGTTTGACCTGCTCTGTAAACCTAACTCTGACCTTTTGGCGTTTCTTCCAGAGGACAAGCAGTGGTACAGGGCTAAAGTTTTGGCTTATTCATCAGAGGAAGGTGTCTGTGTGGGCTACCTTGATTTTGGCAACTCTGAGGTGGTGGATTTAAGCTATCTGCGACCTATCAGCACTGAACTACTGGCCCTTCCCATGCAGGCTATGCCTTGTGGTCTAGCAGGTAGAACATGTTTAAATTATTAGAACTTTACTAAACCAAAGTGAAGTAAACTGTGTTTGATGGCTCTGAAATAAGCCACAAGGCTGAAGATTCTTCAATTGTTTTCATTTCCTTTATTATGTAATGTCCTAGTGTACTCCTTTACCTTCTTATCTTATAAAATGTCTTGACTTGTAGTTATACATTCATTTTATTGCAGCAAATCCATCCCTAATGCCAACAAGCATTATATTTGAGGATATTATTTGTTTTGAAGGGTTTGATTTGCTGAATTTTACTGTAATTTGAAAACACATTTATGTCACTCACACCCTCTTAAATATCTGTATTTTGGGGCTCCTTCCCAGGGGTGCAGCCTGTTGGGGAGAGCTGGTCACAAGACTGTCTGTTGGCCCTGCAGCGAAGGGTATCGAACAGAATACTGCGCATTGAGATCCAGGGAGCGCATGAGGGCAAGGCTTTGGTGGCCATGATTGATGAGGCCAGTGATCCTCAGGCAAATGTGGCTGAGCTGCTAACCTCTGCTGGTTTCGCCGCACCTGCACCTGCTCCTGTTACCACCACTAGTGACCAGCAGGTTGACCAGACAACAACCGCGGAACCACATGGTGGGGATGGAAATAAATCTTACTTACTTTTATATAAAAATTATATAAAGTTCTATCAAATTGAAGCAGTGGTTCTTCCTCTTTTAAGTGTTTAACAATGACAATGTTTCCCTTTCAGGATTTTACAGGATATTAAAGGAATTAGGGAATGTTAATTTAAGTGAAATGTCATTTGAATATGTCTTTGTGGCCACCGTTTCATGAATCTCTAGCATATGTACCCACAATAGCCACAGTTACAGTAGACTTTACTTACTGATTTCAACTGAGGATTTTATAAATAATTTATACATTTATATTTTTGATTCTAAAATACATAGTTAGGTCTATATGTTAAGAATTTTTTTTGTGTTGCGATGTGCGCTAAAGCGCCATCCCCAGCCTGTGAGCCTCTGGTGTGGTCTTCTGCTGAGCTTCCCAGTGACGGCCAGACAGTGGCACTGCTGGCCAGTGTCGTGGAGAACCCTGGAGAGTTTTACTGCCGCATCAACAATCCTACAGGTATTTCTTTTTCCTTGATGCCAAATTAAGCTCAATATTGGCTTATAGTAAGTGCCATTTTGAGTCTTGTAATTTGTGGTTGCATATTTAAGTTCTGTTGCCCCACAAAGGTTAGTAGAGATTTTGTATTTGTGTAAAATGTGCAGTAATTTATCTGATTATTGATTATATTTCCTTTTTTCAGTTATTCTTTGTTCTCCCAGAATGATGCAAGTAGCATGAAAATCTGTGGGAAACCCTGCATTGTGTGTGATATTATACCAAGGTTCTACATAATTTCAGATGTCCATATAAGACTTTATTAGTTTTATATTTTGTTACTTTAATGCAGCCTTTTCCTGTGCCACTTTAACATTTGATTTCATGTGTTTGTCAGACCATCAGAGGCTGATAGAGCTGGGAACTGAGTTGAAACAGCACTGTGAGGGGCAGGCCTCACCTTTTGAGCCCAGAGTGGGAGAGCCTTGTTGTGCCATGTTTCCTGGTGAGACTATCTACTTGTACCACTGGTTGTGCTACACACTGTCAGCTCACTAGACAGACATTGACATTCAGAATGATCTTTTCTTCTTCTATGTTGTTTGGGGATTTAGTTGTGTTTCTTTGTCCCAAGGGGATGGAGCATGGTATCGGGCTATGGTAAATGAGTTGTCAGAAGACAAGGTGTCTGTAAACTTTGTGGACTACGGTTATAGCATGAAAGTGGAAGAGAGCCACCTTCGACCCATTACACCTCAACTCCTGACTCTACCCTTCCAGGCAGTTCGTTGCAGGCTCGCAGGTAGGGTGTGTGTGAGGGAAAGTGAAAGTCTTTTATCCATGGAAATATGACATTAAAGTAATTTGTGCAAATTATATACTGTCTTATTTAGCAGACAAACAGGTATCACAATATTTTGTTTCTTATTGGGGATTTGCTTTCAACTCCTTGTCTGCCTTATATTAAATACTTGAAATTTTGGGGCATATTTAGCCAAATCATTATTGTTATCACTCTGAATTTGAGTATTATAACATTTGTTTGGATTTCTCTCAGAAGTTAGATAAAAGTGGCATAAAACAAGATTTTAATATTAAGTTTCTTAGAAAGTTGTGTTTCTGTGTTTGGATTTAGGTGTGGAGCCCCTGGGATCAGAGTGGAGCAGTGAAGCACTGCTGTGGTTCCAGACGCGGGTGGATGGCGAGCAGCTCTGTGCAAATGTCCTTTCTGCCTCTGAACAAGGATACGATGTGAAGCTGGAGAGCAGAGGGCAGGATGTAGCAGCTGCCCTAATTTCCGAGCAACTAGCCAAAGCGCCTGGAGCACCTCCCAAAGAGACACATGCAACCACAGGCGCTGAAGCCAAACACCAAGAGAAAATAAAGGAAAATGAGCACAGCCAAATACATGTGCAAGCCTCCAACCAGACCGGAGCCAGTTCCAAAGAAGTACCAACTGACGGGACTGCAGCGCTATCAGAAGGTCAGCTGGATTGTACGTGCCCTAAAGATGAAATGCAGTGGTTTGATGATATGAGGAGCCTGATTGAAATTGAGTGCTGTAATCTTGTTTCAGCTCCATCTTTTCCAGTGGACTGGAAGACAGTGGAGCTGCCTGTGAATGAGACCTTTCAGCCATACATCGCAGCTGTCATTAGTCCTTCCCTCTTCTACATGATCGGTCCCAGCCAGGGTCAGAACGCTCACTCAGGCTCACTGCCTGTCATAAGAAGATGCACAAATGGTGAAAATGTGATTCTCCTTCCTGTTGTAATTACTGTGTGTTGTTGTGCAGTGGACCAGCAGAAGCTTCAGGGGGTGATGATGGAGCTGGCTGCCTACTGTAGCAACCCACGGGCCTCTTCATCGTCCACCGTCCTGAGCAGACCAGCTCCTGGGGCTGCCTGCTGTGCCCAGTTCTCTGGTGAGGAACACTCTCATAAAAATAAATACATTATGTATATCTTAAAAGGGCAAGTCAAGTCATCCAAATATTGATCTGCTCTCTATCACATTGCCAGATAGACATAAGGTGCCTGTCCAAACTGTAACACATGCAGCTCTTGCCTCCATCCCCCTCTCCAGTAGTTGTCCGCCATATCTAGAAGTAACTGTCATCTGCAACACCATCACAGCTGTTGAAGAGGCAGCTAGGGAACATAGCCAGCAACACAGACACATTGATAGGATGCAAAGCTCTCCACCCTACTGTAGACATGAATTATGTGTGAGTGAACCTAGTTTAGTGTTTGTAAGCATCGCCATGACCCCTTAAAGCCACTAGGTGTCAGACAGGCACATTAGAAGTAAATGACTATGTGAGGAAGCCTCTAACTCCATGAGGTGTTTCACACCCTAACATGATACTAAGCAAAGGTTTTACAAGGGATAACAATCAGAAAAAAAAAAATAAATGCTACTTCAAAGTATAATAGCTAATAATTTTTTAATATATATTTGCTTATAACCCAGAACAATGTAATCTTTTGTTTGAGGAATGTTTTGACAAATAATTACAGTTTAGTTCCTCTAAGGTGGATTTGTTTTCACATCACAACATGCTTTATGAGGAAGTTGCTTCCAGAGTTTAATAGATACAGCCGGGGAAAACCCCATCGCACAGACAGCACTGTTCCCAGGCATCGTTTAACGATTACAGGGTAAGAGACTCTATGGGGACGGAGCAGCTGATCCATCATTGAGCTATTACACCTAGAAATATACAATATACCACTTTGAATTCCATTCTCTCATTTACCCCACCAGTTTTTATGTTGCTCGCTGACTGCTTGAGACCCCACCTGCAGTTGTTGCCCCTGTAGAGCTAAGCTGGTAATTTGGTGTCTGCTAGTAGATATAATTACACAGTGCGTGTGCAGCCGAGGATAGGAGCGGCTCTTCGTTAAACACAGTATGCAAGTAGGAGACTATAGCCTGACATACATTCCGCAGCTAACAACAGGGTCTGTTTTAATGGATTTTTCAGTGCTGTCTGTAGGTTCTGAGCTGGTAAAGGCTCATCAATTTTTAAGGGCAGCTGTGTAGGTAGAGTTGTCTTTGTCAACTCTCAAAGGCTGGATTCAAGGCTTTAAGCTTTAAATCCTAATGATCAACAACATATGGAAGATAAACTTTTTCTATAGTTTATTTTACTGCACAGTCGAAAATTTCTAGTAAATCAGTTGTTGTAAATGTTGCCCATCTTGTTGTTGTGAAGTAAAATACACAAAAACATCCTCTGGATTTATGTAATTTGCATCCGGTGGCGCTCTCAAAACTGCTAATGTATGGAATCAAACACCCTGGTTGGACTTTTTTTGTTTGTTTTTCAGCTGACAATAACTGGTACCGTGCGGTGGTCCTGGATGTCGCTGAGAATGAGATGACTGTCATCTATGCAGATTACGGCAACACTGAGAGGGTGCCATTCTCCCGCATCTTGCCCATCCCCGTGCAACTGCTGCAGCTCCCCTTTCAGATCACTCGCTGCACGCTCACTGGTAAGGCAAAAGGGCTGTTATTCTTGTTCTCTGAAATTATATAAAACTTTACCACAGGTGTTTTTTCTAATTTCTCTGAGCTGTATTACTTTACTCCCTCATTCCCGACTCTGCCCCCTCTCTGCTGCCAGGTAAAGAACACTTCCCAGCCCAGTGGCCAAAGGAAGTGCAGCAGATGTTTGAAAGCCTGCTGGCGAATGGCGTCCTCGCCACTGTGCAGTCCTTCAGTGGCTCTGCTAATGTGCTCTCGCTCACTCTGCCCACTGAGAAGGGCGGGGGACAACTCACTGCCATGATCTTGGATGCACTACAAGCCCAGGCCAAGAGTAATCCTTGCCAACCCAGCACCCAGAAGGCTGAGCAAACTGACAGCAGCATACCCACTGCCAGCACTACAGTTGTTCCCGACTGCCCCCAGCCCAAGCTGACAACTGAGACCCAGAAGGGGTTGGAAAATACAACAGCTACCACTGGCCCAACCATAGCCCCAGAGCAGGCACCCCAGACTCCCCAGCAGAATTCATTCAGTGGTTGGTCAAATCAGAATTCAGTTGATAGTCTTCACTCTTAAATCATACATTCAACAAAATATCCTAGAAAACCCAGGATTGGTCTGTTTAATTTGGTTCAAATTACTTATTAGAAGAGCAGCAAGTAATTACCTAACTAATAACTACATCATTGATCCAGTCTATTTATATTTACTGAATAATCACAAAGATCCAGTAAGTGAAGTACAGTAAGGGCTGAAATTCAGCAGCAGTTGTAATGGTATTTTGTTTTTCAGATGATCCGGTTCAGAGGATTGTTGAGCAAATGGAGGCTCCATGTAGAAGTGATACAAAACCTAATGGTATGTATGCTTTAAAACAAGAACATGATCTTTGACTGCTCAACTTAAACTGGTTTTAAACTTTAAATTCCAGTTACAATTAGTTTGTGACTTGGCTTTCTGTTTGAATCCCAGGTCCTCACACCTGTGGCTGCTGCTGTCTGAGCCTGAAGACTAAGGTCAGGACTGGTTTCACTTGGATTTGGAAAGGATCTTTGAACTTTTATTTTATTTTGATAGGTTTGATAATATCGATAATGGGCAGCACTTGAAATTTGAGGTGGATAACATGTTTTTTGTTACTCACAGATGGACCACCTGGACCAGTTGGTGCAGCTGCAGCTTTCTCTCATCAAGCAGTTAGTGGGACAGACAAAATAAGATTTACCAAGTACACAACTTTAAAGTCTTGTTTGCCAACTTGTTGAAATTGAGGATGTTGTGTTATTTCCAACCGTTTCTTTAAAACAAGTTAACTCTGTGGCCTCCAGAGACAGCCACCCAGCTTGTATTTGAATTTTGTCACCATTCTCCAGAAGTTGCCATCCAGCTTTTAATTTTGCTTTTCAGGGCTTTTATGTTTTTAACCTCTGGTTAAATTTCACTCATTTTTCCACTTCTAATATTTCTTTTAGAGAATATGCTGAGTGCACTTATTCGGTTTGTGAAAGTTGAAAAATCAGCAACACAAGTTGTTCAACCTCAATTACCCAAGTGTGTGTTTGTCTCCTGTATGTACGCGGAGCTCGTTGTACTGCCATCTGTTCCTTTGTTCAGTCATAATCACCTGTTCAGGTTGGGATGTCCAGCCTGATTGATTTATGTTTGAGTTATGTTTCAGTTTCTACATAAAGGTTCTGTGACAAAAAAAAAGAATAGAAAATGCAGTGAAGTGATTTTATTTCCGAGTGTCTTTTGAATAATTTGCTTTGTGCAAAGTAAAATATAGAAGTTGTTTGACTTTGATACATTCCTCCAGTTCAGATAAGATAGACCTGTAACACATGAGGACACTCATGTGCCAAATATGTTCAGTAAATTAAAAATATACATTAAATATAATAAATACAATAGTAAATTAAAATAATAAGGATATGTATGGTAATGCTTTAATATATATGTGACCAAATCAGTTAGATTCCAGTCACAAAAAACTGTACTTCAGACCCATGTATGTTTGCTCAACCTCTGAAAGCAGAACCACTGTACAGTAACCCTTTCTTGCTGGTTGAAGCAAATTGGTCATCAGATAAAAAAAACAAAAACCTGAAGACATCAAGTTACATAAAGTAACTGAAATCCAGCCAACTTATATTAAGGTATGAAGTAACTTAATTACCATTACTAACTATTAAGTGTGAAGTCATAGTAACCTGATGTCTTTTGTTCAGCCACATACATTCACGGTACATCTCACACGAACCCATGCATTAAATCATCAAATCATAGTGAGTCAAACATTACTTATGTATATGATTTGCACCCTTAGTGTTGCCGTATATGTGTGCGTGTAAGGCAAATAGGGGGAGGTGAATGGGCCAACGCATGAATTCAGAATACTTGTATAAAGCATAAGCAAATGGACACGAAAGTGGAAAAGTTGCGTCTGTGTCGCAATATGAAAAATGAATTTTGTGTGTGTGAATGAATTCCCTTTAGAGATAACGAAAACAATTAGACGCGTTTTACAATGCGTCTCGGTCACTCTCCCCCCCGGTCTCCTCACTCGCCCTGTGCGGGGGTGTGAGGAGGACAAATTGGCCCCTACCGGCGCAGGTACATCAGAGGTGGGCATGCCGAGTAGGTGGGGTCGCTGCTCTCCTCCTGTCCGGAGCAGAGCAACCCAGCAGATCAGCTCCAGCGAGGAACCAGCGAGGTGCGAGCAGCCGGAGAGGACCGCTTTCTGCAGGAACAAGTCCAAGGATTGGGAACAGTGAGCAGCGCATGGTGAGCGGACACATTTCCCTTCACATAGTCGCTCATAGAGGAAAAAGCTGTGTATTTATGGCTCTTATTTTTGGGTATCTATTAATGATTTCACCTGATTGTTTGACTTTAAAGCGGCATCTATTAAAACGAGTGCAAACCTTTCAGTTTTGTGCTATTTGAAAATGAAAGCTATATGAATACTGCAGTTAACTAGACCAACAACTTGGCATCTAAAAGCATTTTTGTAGCTCCATCTACCTCTACATCTCTTAGTACTTAAATAGGCTGACACGGATCCATTTGTTTGGCTTCTTGAGTAAACCTCTTGTACTGTTGCATGTCAGGGTCACAACCTCTGTCTCCCCCCCCCATCTTAAAGCTGCTCTGACCCTTGACACCTTTAAGAGTGACCAGATGTTGGAAGATAAATGGCTAGAAGTTGAGCTTTAAGGAAAATAAACTCGTTTAAATAAACATTTGTGGTATTTTAATCTTTAAATGGTTGCTCAGGTTTATATTCTGTAAGAGCATTTGTCTTTTAACTTTTTTTTAATGATTCTTTAATATTTTAATTTTAATTTTTTAATAATTACCCAGTGGATGCTGGGGCTTTACACCCTCTGCGTGTGGTTACCAGCTTGCTCAACACACTCTCATGCTTTCTTGCATACCAAGACATTTTGAATTATAGTCAGTGGTTGGTTTTTAATCAGACAGTTGTCACATTGTGGAGAAAAAAAAGTTTCCACATTTGTTCTTCAGTTGTTTTTAAAAGTGGCTATTTCAGGTGACTCACCCTGAAATAATTTAAACCATTGTGGATGTTTACCAAAAGAGACACACCTCCAAGTACAGGTTAGGAGGATTTTTCTATGAAGTTGGTCCAAAAACTAGCACTCCTTTCTAATTATAGACCACAGAGTGGTGGAGGCACTTTCCAAGCCTGCCAACCAATACAAAACAGACACACATCTACGGCTTAAATCTTCTTTTTAAAGGTGGTTACTTTTTCAGGAAAGCCCCCCAGTTTGCAAGTTTAGTGTTGAATGTTATCCCTGTAGTTATGCACTGACAGCTAATCATCCCAGAAGCAAGATAGCAACATATAGGACTTTGTTTGCTCAGTTATTTTAGTTTTTAGGCGAGGACCAAAGCCAGACAGAGCAGAAAGTTGTTCACTGACAGGCAGAAAGTGAGGAAAGCCAAAAGATGAGGGGTGGAAGGAGCCAGAAGAATGCTTGTGAAGATGGAGCCAATTTTTGAGACAGGTGTGTTTGTGTGTGTGTATGCAATGTGTGTTTTAAATCTAGGCATGCATGACTGCTTCCTCCTACACTCATATGTGTGTGTGTCTGTGTGTGCAGTGCAGCTCCCTCCCCAACCCATCGCAGTAATGAAATCTCTTGTCCTCACGACGTACCGGCGAGTGCACAAATAGAGCATCAATGGCCCTCGGTGATGTTTATCAGTCGCGCGGCTTCTCAGTCGCTGCATGTCAGCACTGCAGATCTGTATCGCAGACACACAGGCTCCTCTTAAAGAGAGACTGCGTCCTGCACACAATTCTATCTCTGTCTCAGGAATACACACACAGCTTTACCTGTGGAGGAGGCTTTCTCTGGCACATCGGTCCTCTTTAGCCCACCCCAACACACACACACACACACACACACACACACACACACACACACACACACACACACACACAGGATATTATGGCCAACTTTATCAGCAGCCAGAGTTAATCAAAACCTTATCTGCAGCCGCTCAACTTGAACAGAATAAGGCAGGTGGGGTTGTTAATCCTTGATTTAGATGTCAGATTATTGGTATGGTTGACATTAACTTGTGTTATTCACTCAATTAACAGTTAATCAGGTACACCTGTGTAATTTAATTGACTTTAATGTAACAGCATTTTAGTTTTAGTATTTTTTGTTGTCACTGGCAGTTTTAATAGAGGTAGGATTAGATTGTAGAGGTAAGTAAACTGGTAACTTGTAACAGTTGTTGTAACTTGTAACTTGTAATTAATGATTTTAACAATTTCTTTTTCTATTTAAATTCTGTGATTATTCACTATATTCCCATCTGACAAGGTGTAAGAAGTTTTGTTTTGCGTCCTACAAACTTATTGTAGGTGCACCCAGCTGGAGGACCACCGACATGTTTCTTTAACCAACTTTAGAATATTAATGGCAAGATAAGGTATTAAGTCTATTTTTTAAATAATGTATGAATGCACTTGTGTGAGTCAGAGTGGATCTTGAAAGGTGTGTGTGTGTGTGTGGGGGGGGGGTTGTCCTCAGAGTGACATCTTATTAATTTTCCCACATGCCCTTGTAATTGAAGTTTTAAGTGGCAACCCACCTCCCAGGTGTACGCAGTGATAATCACACTGTTGACACATCACACTTTCACATCCATTCCTGTTAAAAACAAGCTCTCTTATGGGCTTCCTGACCACACACACATCAAAAGCAGATGAAATCTTTATTTATTTATTCATTTAATTATTCTGATTCTTACCAGACCTCAGATATAGCAAAGGTGCAGTTTTATTAACGGCAACTTCCTGGTGTTCCTCCATGGTAGCTGTCAGTCATCAAGTATCTCTTCATTCAGTTCTCTATGACAGGTCAGGACTCGACCTGCACTAAGCTGTGAAACCATGGTAATGGAGGTTTATTACTTTTCCACATAACCTGGTGAAAAAGTAAATATAAATGCAGTAAATCATCCTTCATTAACTCTCTGGTAAGTCGGCAGTTAACACCTCCGGAGTTGTGAACCACATTTGTGTCATTCCATTAAATTTGTCTTCCAGTAGAAATAATACAAAAACAAGCCTCAAAACTCACACTTATGACCACACTAACATCCACAACCTCTGATAAGGGGTTACAAGCAATATATTTCTTCATTTCGAGGGGTCATGAGGTTGGGAAACCACTGCAGTAGCCCACAATCTCTCCCAGCTTTCCCTCTGCTCTTTGGAGTATTTTGTTCCTTCTTTTTTCTAAGTGTCTGCCTTTTGTTTATCATTCCAGGTGTCCCGACATGCACCTTCATATCCACCCCTCCCTCCTCGTAACGCTGCTGCTGCTTCTTCCAGGTCGGTTGACTGATTTTATTACTGTTTTGCATTCGCTTTCAGTTGAGGAGTGCTCTCTGTACCTCTCTGGTATTCAGAGCTTTTTTGGATCAAGGACTCCTGTATTTAATGTTTTAAATGTTTCATGTTTGCTCATTTAAAAAACATTTGGAGCATGCAGCAAATATTAAAAAACGTGACATTGCACAGCCCTTCACTAATTTTAATTTGGCTTATTGGCTGTTTAAGCCTGGGTGAATACTGTACACCCCTATTTTAACATTCAGGTTTTTCCTGTTGAGAGTTAGATAAGAAGGTTCACCACTCTCATGTCTGTACAGTAATTATATAAAACCACAGTGTGTAGCCTGTTAGCTTAGCATAGCATAAGGACTGCAAACAGAGGGCACTACTTTGTGTTACAACCTGAGATTATTAATTTTTTTTTTTTTACGAGATATTTTACTGCCTAAACCTGTCAAGTCTCCAGTGCTGAAGAATTCCCATTATCTTCTCATCAAAGTGATTTCCTGCCTCCTGTGCTTAAAATACAGTTCTTTTCCAGGAAAATCTCATTTTGCGTCGCTTTTACAGCGTATTGCCAGTCGTTCCGTCGGACCTGGGAATATTCCTATTGGTATTTGCCTGAGGGAAGAGGCGGGAGTCGTGGAGCAATATAATCTTTGACTTGTTTTCAAAAATGACAGCTTTAGCACCATCTGAAGTATTTATTAGTGGCCCTTTTAAGACTTTGAACTTGAGCAAACCAGACTGTTTCACCTTGTCAAGACGCCCCCCTCCCCCTTTTCCTCCTGTGCTGACAACACAGATAACATGTTGCAGTGCTCCACTGGCCAGATATCCTTGTAATCCTGCCTGTCAAATTAAATTCCCCAGATATAGGTTTAAGCTGATCCTACTTTTAATCTCCAATTTCAACAGGATATTCCTTATATCCCCCAGACCATGGTGGGATTAATTAGACATGGACTCGTAGATTTTCATTCACAGACATTAAAGATACACTTTGCTCGAGGCACTCGGCTGAACAGACAGACTTTTTGTTCAGAGCTGTGGGGCCCCACAGACCATGAGAAAGCAGCTTGCCAAGACCCGAAACTTTCACTGTCAGGAGGACGTTGGGGCTGAACTGCTGGAGTAGGGGCAGATAAAAGGGGGGTCAGGATTGTAAAAAGGTGGGAACTGCGGCCTCTCGGTTGCAGGTGGTACTTTTTCTTTCTTGTTTCCTGACCTCTTGCAGTTTGCTCCTTTCTTCCACTTGGATTTCTTGGACATTTACAGACGGATGTAAAGTCAGTGGCTGTATTTTCTCTATAATAAAATGTCTTTTGGTACAAATTACATCAACTTCAACTAAGATATTTAGTTTTAGTCAAATTTTAACAATTAATCATTGAATCGGTTTTACTACTTAAATATTAAATTAAATATTTTCAGTGTGGAAGCTCCTTGCTCCCTAAACCTTATTTGTCTGGGAGCTATGAATATGTATGTGGAACGGTGCATACTGTGTGGGGAGTGGGCCCTCAGGTTGGCTGGTGGCCCAGAAATCACCCAGATTAATTACCTCCAGTAATTACCAACAAACCCCAACAAAGAAGTTAGTCTTCAACCTCAATGCCAGGAGAGCAAGACCATGTTTGCTTCTTCCATTATATAGATCATTTTTTGGGACCTTTTTTGTCTCATTATCTTTTTATGAGGATTAATATACTAATTAATCTAAAGAATGTATTGTTGCTCTAATGCAGCTTTCCTACATGCATGTGGCAATTCGCTGCCATGATGAAAACAAAGGAGCAAGTCGGCTGTGTTCTTTTTTTGAAAGAAAGATAAAGAACATGTGTCACTGCCGTGTCACCCCGACTGCAGCCATGCTAAGCAGAGGACTGTCTCTCTGTTAATCAACGTCTCTGAACCAAGCCAGCTGAACATGTCTCCTCTCCTGATAGTCCACCACGTGTCACATCATCTTCATGATCATGGTAGATCACAGACATGGGAGAAAGATCTCAGTGCATCTCAGTGCATTGCTAATGAGAGCTAAATCAAAGCTATAAACAGTTAGATGATTGATCAGTGGGTTGGTCAATTAATTGCAATTGTGTAAAATGATTTCCTCCAAAATGTGAGGATTTAGACCACATTGTGACATTTTATAATATTCTTTAGTGAATATATATATTGTCTGGACTGTTGGTCAAACGAGGCATTTGAAGCCATGTGACCTCTTCCTCTTTGAACCATTTTCTGACATTTTTAGACTAAAAACATCAATTCTAATAATAATAATGATAATCTTATGTCATATATATAATCCTAGCTAATTTCAATTTTAAGTAAAAAAAAAAAAGTTTTATGTTGTACAATAAAAAACTTTATTCATTAAACCACTAGTCTCCAAAAGCATTCTATTAAAAGTAGTTTCTATTAAATAGCAGCATTTTATTTTTATTTTTTTTATTAATCTTGTCTTGTATGTAATCATGTCATTACTTTTATTTTTGTTACTGATAAAATCTGTTACATTTCCCTTTTTTATGATATATATATATAAAATCGCCATGTTTCTCCCCATCCATCACTGCACACCTTCAGTGACAGATGAGCAGAGGAGGAGGATAAAGTCAATGTATTTGCACTAAATTCTGGGTTGCAGACATGTACTTATTACTGTTGAACTTTTGCACAGAGACCCTCTCTTTGATGTTTCGTTGTTTCGCTCTTTTGCCACTTGAAGAAGTCACTACAGGACACATCATCTATTTGAGCTAATTAGCCGGCACTAAATCAACCTGAGGCTGACAGCCTGAAGCGTTACAGTAAAGTTGGCGGGAACAAACTGACAATTTCCTCCTGTATTCCGAGTAAAGGGAGGGACTGTTTCCCAGGGAGTGGACTCCACTCCGTCTCTGTGCTGGACAAATGCCCCTGTGACTCATCGGGGTTACCAGGGACAACAAGGCATGTTCAAATGGCTTTCTGAACAGGAAATCACATGTCCCTCACTCCTCTCTGGACTGTACGTGTGCCTGAATAGAGCAACGTCCTTTCAGTGAATGGAGCGAAAGAATGGTTTTCTTTCCCTTGTCCACTCACATTAGCTTTGAATACTTAATTATCCCTCGCGGGAGGGGTCAAGTGGGAGTCAGTGAATTGTAATGGCTTCAGGGACAGAGTCCTGTTCATTATTTTATTTTACTTTTATTAAGGCTCTAATGGTGGTTTCTGAAGTAGACACAGTTGAGGTTTATAGAATGGTGACTTTCTTTTTCTTGCTTTTTTTTTTTTTTTTTACTATTTTCAGAATTTACAAGAAGCTTTGTTGGCCTAACTAGTCTATCTAAGTGTCTTATGTTGGTGCCATGCATGTGTCTTAACACATACATGTGTATATTTGATTGACCTCTATGTTGTTTGTCCCTCCTAGTCCAGCAGGGCAGCTCAGTGCAGGAGATCCAAACCAGCCATGAGAACATCGTAAAGATCAACTCAGCAGGAGAAAGTGAGTAGTGTCAGGTTTTAATGGCAGTGCTACACACCTGCATGTAACTGGACATTAGCGGTCAGCCGAGAGCCAGACAGTTGGTAAATGTGCCAGTGGAGCTCGGTCGGAAACTGCGGATGCTGATCAGCTAATGCAAGCAGGATGAGGCTGACAGGATGTGCAGGAGGTGGTGGGTGGTCTTACTAGGCTGGTGTTTGTGTCACAGAAAAAAGTGCTTGCAGGTGACTTTTCCGTAAGCAGACAGACGAGTGAGTGACAGACAGACAGACGGCGCACTATCCCCGTCTCTAATGGCTCTCTTCGCGATCAGCTTTTCACATGTACAAACATGATTGGGCGAGAGTTTTTGCTTGGTAATGGTTTTGTGGGTGTGCTCCTGGGGAGAAAAGAAAATTGAGCTCTGGCATGCTAAGCTGTTTTTCTTTTATCATGTCTAGGTATTATTTTCATCTGCAACAGCTCATTTGATCACTAACCAGGATAATCCCATAATGCCCGTAAAGAATAATAGAACAGTAGCTCTTTGCTAGAAATGCAAGGAAGACAATGAATGAGTTTAGACCTATGTCTTTATGTATATATCTAGTGTGTTTAACTCTGTGTGTGTGCGTGTGTGTGTGTGTGTGTGTGTGTGTGTGTGTTTTCATGGGAAGTGATGCAGTGCTCAGCAGCCATGGATATCCTCTTCCTCATGGATGGTTCTTACAGCATGGGGAAGGGCAGCTTTGAGAGGTCCAAACACTACGCAATCAAACTCTGTCAAGCGTTAGACGTCGGCCCAGACAAGGTTTGTTTTTTTCTTTCTGTCTCTTCTCCGTCTCTACTTTTTCTCTCCTGTCAACCGTTATTCTCGTAACTCCACCTTCGTCCAGGTCCGAGTCGGCTTGATTCAGTTTGGTTCCGTTCCTCGGCTGGAGTTCGCCCTGGACTCTCACACTACCAAACAAGACCTGAAGAAGCACATGAAGAAGGTTTCTTACAGGTGTGTTTCTTCTCTTCTTCTCTTGGAGTGGGTGATTGGATGGAAGTTTTTATGCTGCTGAAGAAATATGACTGAAACAATGATATACAAGGTATAAATAAAAGATGATATTCAAGCACATATGTAGTTCATAAAGGCAAATAAAATGTTTAAAGTTGTTAACTGTCAGTACGTTACCAGGAACATCTGCTATAGAGATGTCTTTTAGGAACTATCCATGGACAAAATTACTGGGACAAAAAATCACAGCAATTTCCATATTGATGTATTACGCACATTCAGAGGTAATACAAATGCTCCCTGGAAGGGAAAACAAATTAATTTCAGATTAGAGGAGTACACCACCACAGGTGGTCACTGGATATTGGATAAGTTCATAAGCCAAGAGAGAGGAAAGTATTTTGGTGTGTGTGTGTGGTGGTCAAAGTCTGGAAGTAACATGTTGGCATGCCATCTGGTTTGAAATAGCTACCCATATTTTGAACTTATTAGCTGTCACATCGCCTAAAATCAAACTAGTAGCTTAGCGTAGTGTAGCCTAATGCGGTAGGTGTAGGCATGTGTCGTTTGCTTTCAATCTGCACCTCTTCTTCTGACCAATCATATGACAAATAATATGAATAAAACAAATACATATACCTAACAGGACTGCAAAAGATATCTCAAACAGTTTAACATAAAAACTGTGCAAGAGACAGAATTTGGTAGACTTAAAAATAACCACAATAATAATAAATAATCAATCGTGTAATGATAATTACTCTTACTTAAGATGAGTGTTTATCCGTCATTGTTGTTTAAGTTTACCTACTGCCCTTAAGACAAGTATTTATGAATACCTAACTTGTCTAAAATATGAGTACAGTGTCTTATTTAAGAAGTATTGTAGAACTTAAAAGAGAAAGTCTTCATGCTGAGACTGTAATGTATTCAGTTGTTGATATACATCTCTGCAAGGGGGGTAAGAGCTTAAAATCATGCCTGAAGGTTTTGATGATGTGTGATTATTGCTTGTAGTTTCTGTGCTCTAAGCAGACAGAGCATCGTTTTCACGATAGAAAGAAAGTGGGAAAGATAATACAGTGGCTCACATCACTACCTTCATGCCACTGCTTTTGTTTCAGCAGTCCTTTCTCCTAACAATCATGAGTCACATGGAATCTGTTTCTCCTATCTCTTTATTTCTGACTGAAAGAGACCAAAAAATAGTGTAAAGTTTAAAAGGGTTTGTTGCACCCTAAGGTGAGGAAACTTAGCCAGCCACAGTTCCACATACATTTTCAGCCCAAGAACTAAAATATGAATCCAACCAAAGTTGATCTGTGGTTTATTTTGGCAGTGATATGTAGCAGATTATTGGCCCTGCTGGCTTCTGTAGTACAGCACATAATTCTCTAATTGTTCTGTCTCAGTTTTGCTTTAACAATAACATTTAAATAACCCTCTGAACTCCCAGGGGAGGCAGCACCCAGACAGGCCTGGCTCTAAAGTACGTGCTGAGGAAGGGTTTCGAAGGCGGTCGCAACTCCTCCGCTGCGGCCCGGATCGCCATCCTCTTATCAGACGGGAGGTCTCAGGGCAACGCGGTGCAGGCGGCTGCACAGCTCAAAGAGACGGGCGTGGTCTTGTTTGCAGTGGGCCTTCGCTACCCCAGGTATGTTTGATGGTTGGTAAAATAAAGATCACTGCCAATAATAATACGTGACATCTTTTTCTTTGCAGCGGTGTCTCTAAAAAAAAAAAAGTCTTTGTCTTCCAGGTGGGAGGAGCTACATGCTTTGGCCAGTGCGCCGATGGAGAGTCACGTCTTCTTCGCCGAACATTTCCACGACGCCGTCAATGGCCTGTACACCACGCTGACAGCCTTCTCCGTCTGCAATGCCACACCTACAGGTGGGAGTCAGCGCTTTTACCACTAGAGGCGATTAGGACTGCCACACATGCTTTATTATTCACTTGTATCCACATATATTCCTTCTCTTGTGTTGCTCTCTGCTTCCAATTCCACCTAAACTTCCTTCATATCACACCCGTCCCTACTCAATCCTCCTGTCCTGTTCCCCAGGCTGTCAGGTGGAGTTGTTTCCCTGCGAGAGGAAGACACTGGAGACCGTGAAAGAGCTGCAGGGGAATTTCATGTGTTGGAAAGGCTCCAAGGGGTATTCCCCATACACGTCTCTCTGTCCATACTACAGGCAAGTGTACACAAATTTATGAATAATTGTAATCTTCCTCACCTTGAAGTAAAAAATCCTTATGATGAATTTCTGAAGTTTTACAAGAGAAAACCCATCCCCTATATTCACTAAAACCAGACACAATTTTAATTTCACATTCCTTCATATTTCTATATAATCATACAACACATTTTCATAAATCAGCAATTATTTTTTTTATTTATTTTTTTATTGAAGAGGCCACGGAAACAGGTTTATGATAAAGAAGGAGGATGTTGTCAGACTGGGGAGGGAAAATATTCAACTCTCGTCTTTCATTGCTCAAAGAGCAACTCGACTGGACAACTCCCATCTGTTAATGCGCTGCGTCAGTGTGAGGGTGTTAATGAAAACAAGCAAGTGTAATACTGCCAAACCCTCCCAGGGCAAATTAAAATGGCCTTTGACGAAATTAATTTCACAGCACATTGCAACGTTACCACAGTGAAAAAGCCAAAGGCAGTTGGAGATTGCCAACTTTTCATTGTATCTCCCAAAGTGTTGGTTCTCATGAATACACTAAACACTACATTTACACTCATTTACACTCATTTTTAGGCACAACACAAACTACCACAGCTTTTTTTACAATATTTTAAAATGAATTAATATAATCCCATATAATATCTTTGTAAACAAAGATCAAAAAATGCCAAATATCTAACATAGCACCTTTTTTTAATTAATTTAAAAGCTGACAAAACAAGTGAATTTTGTGTTAATCCAAATGTGTGTTTTGCAGGTACAACAAGGTGTACAAGAGACACCAGACAGTCTGCCATCGGACTATCTGTCCAGGTAACAACACTGTTTTTCCTCTTTCTTTCTCCACTTTAGATGATATATATTTGTGAAGGTGCTTGTTCATATACATTTATGCAGCCTACTTCCTGTCACTCTCTCTCCCCCCACTGTATTCTAGATCCTTGTGACTCTCAGCCCTGTCTGAATGGTGGAACATGTGTATCAGAAGGTCCAGAGGGTTACCGCTGTGTATGTCCACCTGGCTATGGAGGAGACCCACACTGTGGTCCGTACACTGTCTTTACACTTACTGAGACGTTGGCAGACTGTAGAACAAACTAACTTGACCCTCCATCCCTCCTCAGCTCCGGCGTTATCACTGGACTGCTCTGTGGACTTGCTGTTCCTGGTGGAGGGTTCTGCCACGCTCACCTTGGAAGGCTTCCTCCGCCTCAAGTCCTTCTTAAAGCGCTTCCTGCAGACTGTGGTCGGGTCCAACAGCCCCAGTAAAGTTGGCCTGGCGGTGTACGGTGGAGAGACCAGAGTCGAGGCCCAGGTGGGCAAGTTCAAAGGGAACCTGAAGGGTCTGCTTAAGGCCGTGGAGGCACTTCAGCCGATCGGCGGCGAAACCCAGACGGGCCAGGCACTCCGTTACGTCACGCGCCACGGCTTTGTGAGCGCGCCGGTGTTTGCCGACGTCACGGACGATCTGCCCCGCGTGGTGGTGCTGCTTACCGCCACGCCTTCATCTGACGAGGTGGTGGAGCCCTCTAAATACGCACGGGACAGGGAGATCTTCCTGATAGCAGTGGGTCCAGACAGATTAAAGGGACAGCTGAATAATATCACAGGAAATCCCCAGAGGACTATTACCTACACATCACAGTTCAGTGCCAAGATCCCTGAACTCAAGGCTAAGATCTGCAGTGTGGATACGCAAGGTACTGACTCAACAACAGAGCACTTTTACTTAAAGAGGGGCTGTGGAGTTTTCTTGTTTCTTGTTTTTACATCCATGGTTAATACAAAGTAGTCCTCTTTCCCACAGCCCTTGCTTACACATTGCTACATATCACATTACCGCCACTTTTAGGTCAGTGGAAGAGTGTGAAACCATTGGCAGGAAAGTGTATCGCATCATTTAGCACGTGATGTAAGACAGACAAAATGGGGCTCCACTCATAAAAATACTGCTCAAAAGCCACAATAAGGGTACAACTGCACTGGGTACCTTTAACATAGCGCATTATGCAGAATACTCCGCCCAGATTGTATATTTTCCCCATTTGTAAATGATCGTTTCAAACGTGAATAACAATGTTATTTTATTGTCATTAATTGTGAGGGGGAGAAATGCACATCCAAGAAATGCACAAAATATGTTAAAAAAAAAATTCAAAATCAATTTTAAATCCATGGATCAGCATTAACTTAGGAACCTTATTAAGATGTAAAAGATAATATTTCACCTTTTTAAATTATTCCTTTTCTGTCTGACATGTAGATTAATAAACCCTCTGGATTTAAAGGAAAAAATGTTTTATTTTCAAATAATATTCTGTATATATTTTTACACCAAAATTCTTTTCGTTTCTTTTTCAGGTTGTCTGGGCCAAGCAGTGGACCTGGTGTTTGCTCTGGACGCCTCGGGCAGCGTCAGCCCAGACAACTTTGCAACCATGCGCGACTTTGTGCGCGGCCTCAGCGTCCAATTCGACATCAACCGCGATGTGGCTCAGATGGCACTCGTGGCCTACGGTCGGAGAGCCACCACCGTCTTCAACCTGGACACCCACGACACCGGCTCTGCCATCCTCAAGGCTGTAGGCGACGCCAACTACATGGGTGGAGTGGCCTCAACGGGCACAGCTTTGCTTCACGTCCACTCTGACATCCTGACAGTGGCCAAAGGCGCGCGGCCCGGAGTCAACAAGGCAGTGGTGGTGGTGACGGATGGTTCGGGTGGGGATGACGCTGCCGTTCCAGCTCAGAAGTTAAGAGACAATGGAGTTTCCCTGTTTGTGATCGGTATCGGAGATATACAGAAAGAGAGGCTGCTGCAGATCGCTGGTTCGGAGGAGCACATGATCTCTGTTCTGTCTTACGAGGATCTCAAGTACTTTGAAGATGTTCTGGTGCAGATGCTGTGTTCAGGTGAGAATGTGATCTGCAATCTATTGTTTGTGATTTTAATTTCTGTATTTTCTTCCACTTAAAAACACTTTCCGGATTAAAAAAGATTAAAAAAACACTCTGTACAAAATATGAGTTTGTGAACTTTATGTTACATTAACCGGTTGTTTTATGTACATTTCTTTTTATTAGAGGCTAAAATGCCAGTCAACTTGTGCAAGCCCAACCCATGTATGAATGATGGGGTCTGCATCCTTTCCGGAGGGAGCTTCCGTTGTCAGTGCCAGGGCTATGAAGGACCACACTGTGAAACAAGTCAGTGGCATTAAGTCTTCTTTCTTTATTTCCTTACCTCATTCCTTTGTTTCCACCTTTCCACCTTCCTTTTTGTGTTTATCAGTCAAAGCTTTTAATAAATTTGATAAGAAAATGGCTGTGATGCTGTGGGATACTTTGGATGTATTTTGGATGTATTTACTTTCTATCACAGTTCCCTGTAGCAACCGCTGTGTTATTTGCATATGCAGAAGTCATGACTTTCTCTGTGGTTTGTCCGTAGGGAGCAGCAGGCCTTCATCCAGGGGAGATCTTCCGAGGCCTGCTGGTCTCAGGAAGAAGAGCAGGCAGAAGAAGAGCCACCAGGAGCTCCTGCATCACTACAAACTGCACCGCAGGAGACATGCTGCCTGATAACACCATACGCACATAAAACACACAGAAACAAGTCACTTACGGACACTTAAAAACCAAGGATTTTTGCGGGTACACAGTGGAGTAAAGGGAAAACTAATGTAACAGTTTCAATATTTAAACTTGCACTCAACAAGTGCCTTCAAACTGTATGTATTTCTACTGTGTTTATTTGTTTGTTTTTGTTGAATGGCTCTATTCAAATATGTAAACTTTTCTATTATATTATTATATTATAGTGTATATCTGTGTCATGATTTTGTGTGTCTAATCACAACAACCTTCTTTTCTTTAAATTAAGACAAAAACATCAAATTTGTGCCAAAACCATGCTCTATGCCAACTGCTCTATTTTACACCGCTCAGCCATAAGATTATGACCACCTGGGCACCCTGGTGGGTACCACTTTTCCTTCCTTGGACCACTTCTGATAGGTACTGACCACTGCAGACCGGGAACACCCCACATGCTCTGACCCAGTCGTCTAGCCATCACAACTTGGCCCTTGTCAAAGTTGCTCAAATCCTCACACTGCCCATTTTTCCTGCTTCTAACACATCAACTTTGAGGGAAAAAAAGGTCCCTTACTGCCTAATATATCCCACCCACTGACAGGTAGCCATGATAACCAGATAATCAGTGTTATTCACTTCACATGTCAGTGCTCATAATGTTATGGCTGATAGGTGTATATCTAAATATATTGTGACATTCATTTTTACATTAGATGCTTCCTAAATTTACTCAATTGAGTATTTTTAGATGTTAAAAAGATTATTCTTTGTTCTCTCTAATGATCGAGATGTATAAATAGAATGTATATATGTATTTCATTATAAATTATGGTAGTGCTATATAACTGCCTGGTTTCTGTGCTTTAACTTACACTATACTTTACTAATATCACTTTTGGGGAAAAGAGAGTCTATATTTAAAGAGTGCAATTATTGTACCTGTACAACAGCTAACAAGCTCTAAAATGTATGAAATGGCAAGTCATTTAAATCAATAGCCAAAAGTAACATTTAAACATTCAAAAAGGTTTGCCAGACCAACATCCTTTTATCGAATGACTCCCCTTCATGAATGCTTTATTACTTCATTAGAGAGAAGTGACTGAGTTGACTCTAATTACCCGGTTAAATTTTAATGCTGCAGGCTTCCAGTGTCCTTTGCATTGTTTCTACAGTGAACCTTCAGTTTATTTTCAACAGACAAGCTGGACTGACTAAAGGGAAAACATTTTCATAAACCAATGTCAAGCCACTATTGCTGTCAGTACATTTTTATTTGAATAAAAAGTGCATTTTTAGCTAGCAATACAAGCCAAAAGGCTGAATAATGGTGTAAATATATTTACATCTTGGCTACCAGCATATATGAACCAAGCTACAATCTATAATCGAGTGTACAAAATGTCAAATTTTGTAGAGGGGTCTTATACATCAGTGGTTTCAAATGTTTGGCTGTATTCAATATTGAAACATCCCATTTGTGCATTATTATCAGGAACAATTGTTAGACTGGCCAAAATCCTACTACGGTACATCAATTTCCTCGCTTTAGCAAATGGAGAAACAACAACTTGAGAAGTCCTCCATACTAAGATTATCCAGTGGTATTTGAGAAGACGGCTTGTGCGTCTCTCTGATTGGCTCTTTATAGTCTTGACAAGGAGGGGATGGGGATGAAGAATTCAGAGAGAGAAGAGTGTATGCTGATTTAACTGTCTGGTTGGAAAAACTTGTGGATTTGAGAGGTCAAGGGAGGTCAAAGGGCATTCGGGTCTCCCTCTAGGTGGTGGATTTCTTCTCCCACTCCTGTTAATACAAAAAAAGATAGAATTTAGTTTTTTTTTTTTACAATAATATATAATAATAATAATAATATATACAATCATTGTAGTACTTTGTGAAATATACCTCAAATCTGTAGTCTCACCTTAGCTTTCTGCAAGACTTTGCCTTTGGTGGCCATGATGGAGGCAGGTCTGCTCTTGAGCGCAGATGCAGAGTTGACAGGGGAGGCCGGGTCCGCGCTGACGTTGCTGTTGGAGGGTTGAAATGATGATGACGATAATGATGCCTGGGGAGCGGGCAGGGTCGCTGCTTTAGGCTGAGGGTAAAATGGTAGAGAGGTAGTGAGGGAAAGAAGCAAATAACAGCAACAGACTAAAGGGCGGTAAAGCTTGGATGTCAAATATTTCATTGAAATCAATTTGCAAGTACACTAACCGTGGGCGTGTCCTGGAGGCTGCTGTCCAGTGTGGTTCCAAGTGTGAAAGGCCCCGACTCCACCTTCTTCAGACTCTCCTTCACTTCTACCAATCGCAGCTCCACTTCTACCCTGTGCCGCTCTGCCTCCCGACACGCCTCCTCCTTCTGCTTTAAACAGGCTTCTAATGAGGCCTGCTGCTTAGGGTCTGAGGACAACACACAGCTGTCAGTCGCACAGATCGGTGCGTAATTAGAGCGCATGTGCCACAAGAAGTGAGCGAGGTGTACCTTGGCAGGCGCTGAGCCCCTCTTTGCATTCCCTCCTTTCCTTCTTTAGATTTGACAGACTGCTCCTCACCTCCTCCCTCTCTTTCTCCAGGCGGTCGCGCTCATCGATGTAGCGGCGCATGTCCGCCTCAGTGCGGTTCTTGCCCAGTTTCCCTTCGACTGCGCCGGGACACCCTGGGAATGATTTTTGCACATTTTAGCTCATAAACAAGGCTAACAACATCCAATATTTTTCATGACATTTGCCCAAGAGTGCAAAGAGAAACAAAACAGAAGCATTCATTATTAAAAAGCACATTTCTTTTATAATATCTATCAGCACTCCACTGTGAAGCTGTGCCTTTGAGCGTAGAAGATGCGTCTTATCACTAGAGGGAGCCATGGTAATGTAAGACTATAGAGGAAGAGAAGCAGTTAGTCTTACTCAGTGTGGAGGAAAACAATTATATGTACATTTAAAACTTATATTGAAAATGTATCTACCAAATATTTGAACAAGGTGTATGTGGAGGTAGTGATAGTGATGAGAGATGGATCTGGCTTTTAACACAGAACCCAGCAAACCCAGCATCCCTGTTTTTTTTGTCCTCACCTATGGTATAAGCCTTGGGCCGCAGGGGCTGAGGACTATGAGGGAGCCCGGCAGCAGTCACTCCTTTATGCATCTGGACCCCGGGGGAGTTGAAGACCTGTGGGATTCCCAGGCTGGTCCTCTTGGGGGTCTCCTGGCTTTGGGATGAGGTCTTGACTGGTTGAGTTTGTGGCTGTGGTGGAGTGAGAGTCGGCGGGAGTTCTTGTTCTGGTTTGCTGGTTGCGGAGGTCGAACTTGTTCCATTTAACACAGGTGTTGAGTCTGGCTCAGTACGGTCAGTTGAAATGACCTGGCATTAGAACATTAAATATGGAATTAAAGCACAAAATATTATGTCTAAATTCCATTTTCTATGTCAATACATCAGTTCCAGTAGACTGAACATGTTAAGCAGTGATCTTTGCTCCAAGTACAGCATATCTGAATAAATCCCTATTACCTACCTCTTTCAATTGAGATGAGGGGTCCTTCTGGTCCTCTACTGTGACTAGAGAATGTCTACAAGTTTCTTTGGCAGGGGGGGCTTTCGTCCCACAAGACGTATGGAGAAAGGAGCGTAGAGGGACGAGGTCCAGGTAAACCCTGTTTTCAGCGTCCTCTTCCGTTCCCACTGAGTCCTTGGTGTCCTGCGTGCACGTTTCATTATGTTCCTGCAGATTGTTGTCCTCAGTGTCTGGCAGGCCGCTATCCTCAGCATCCTGTATTAGCAGAAGTTAAGAGATTGGAAAGTGGCCATATGAGAGCGAGTCCATGTAAGAGTGAAAGTGAAATTGAAAACTGATCTACAGAACGACAGAGATGTTCATATTTCATGGTATCTGGAGTTACTGGATATATTTATAGTATTATATTGGATCATCTATTATCACATTGTCCTTTTCTTAATGTGGTAAATGATGATAAAAATGTTAATTTAAATGAACTGAGATTATAACTTTGATTCCTGTTTGTTTTGGTTCTAGAGAACATGGTGCATTAAACTGAAACATACCTCTGGATCAGCTATAGACGCCACATCATCATACAGCTCATCAGAGTTGTGAGGGATGGAGGGTGGGGTGTCTATGTAGGTGTTTGGCTCTGAATATCTCCTCTCCATCAAGCTAGACAGACACACAGACGCACAGAGAGGTCTGGCTTAGATATTGTGCCCAAGTATGCACACACACCGGTGGGATAAGTGTCCTTTAAAGTGGACAGAGGTAAGGATGCTTACTATAAGGAAGTCTTGGCAGCACTGACGATGCTGGAAATCCTGTCAGCATTAACATAGTCATATGTCAGCTCCTCGGGGTCCGTCTTGCTCCCCGTCTGTGACAGCAAGAGGCCCAGCCAGTGGCCCATGTCTGCGGACGTCTTAGCCTGACAGAGAGGAGGGGAAAGAGTGGAACAAAGTGCATTCAGTACATACCATGCACTTGCAACATCATGAGATAAAAAAAACAGCTTATGGTTTGTGTTGCATGCCATCTGTCACTTTGTATTAATAAACTGATTGATACATTTTCAATTCCCAGCAGTATTTTAATATGCAAAACCTCTCAAGAAGTTAAATGTCTATCCTCAGCTGAGCAGCTCTACTTATCTAAGAAAAGCTGCATGAAACAGCAAGATGTAGTGAGAATGTAAAGCTGTTTCTAGGACTTTATTTACAATTAAGAATATAACTGTTGATATGTAGAATATACAATTAAGCGGTAACCTTGAGAACAGACACAAATTCAGTGCGACTGATGCTTACAAATCCAGCTTAAATTCCACCCACGATGCAAGACACAACAGCCTATGGTTATTTCTGTAGATTCAAACAGCTCAAATTATAGAACTGCATGACAACGTGATTGTATTGACACATACACTATTTCTTTGAATTAAAATAGGTTGTTTTGGTTAATGTTGGACCTGTAAAAAAACAAAACAAAACAAAACCTCATAAATGTGTCAGAGGGAGCCTTCAAGACTAAACATTAAATTCCATTGCCTATGACCAAATGCTGTAGCAGGGTGGTACTGGAAGCCTAATGAAAAAGGGCGAAGCATCAGTCCCCAAAATCCCAGTACATCCACACCCTTCACACACACACACACACACACACACACACACACACACTCATATGAACACAAACATGCAGACCACCCTTGTGCACACACATATATTACATTGGCTAAGTTTGATGTCAGCAGAAAGTGATTTCCAAATGAGGGCATGTTGGTGTTTCCTATAAGTAGCTGTACACTGTTTTGATTTTTGAGAAATGCTGACATTTGTTTTTGCCATTCCAGACATATTAGACATCTGCAGCCTGTTTCATCAGCTCTGTGATAGTTCAGATTTAGCCTTGTTATAACGTGAATTATTACTAATTTGTGATTTACGCATTACAATAGAATCGGTTGCACCACTGAGATATGTTAGGCTACAACATAACTTTAAGAAACAACTAAATATCTAGCTTACTACGATGGTTTCTACGATACCAAGTCACTCATGCTGGCTAGAAAGCTAATGTGCATGGTAATGATGTATGGATGATGGAGCTATTTTTGATTGTTGACTGGGCACATGCCTTAGTTATGACTTTACCTAACTAGTTAGGTGATGCCACAAATATTCGTGGTGCAAGCAATTTTAGTAGCTGATTTAGTTGAAACTAGTTAAGCCTCTAGTGTCGCTGGTTATTTCTCCTACAGAAGTAAGCGCTCATCTGAGGCAAACATGAGTCACGAAACGTACTGTATCACATCAGATGTCTATTTTTTAATCGTCTTCTGTAAATAGTTTATCTAGCCTGTAACCCACCGGATCAGAAAATAGCAAATGAAGTTATCAGCACTCCCAAATAACTGTATGACACTTTTAATGTTGCACTGTATGCACAGTGTGAAAGGAAACAGATGGGCTGACTTCATTTGATATTTTCTGCCTTTTTGGGTTAGCACCCACCACGGGTTGAGCGCATACGTTTTTTTGTTTAAACCCACCAGATCTGACACCCTTAACCCACACACACCCTTAAGAGAGTGACACCCTTTACAGTAAGGGTGTCACTCTCTTGTCTCAAACCATTTACTCAGCAATCGTTAGAGAAATATTTATATCGCGTAATCATTACAATCATACCACAATGAAACAGTCTAATGTTCAAATCCACAATATTTTGCAGGGACGTTGCAAAGCAGCAGGAAAGACAGTGGCTGTCTACCTCTAGGGTCGCCAGCTGTGTGCCGTCCATGGCAATCCGAAAGGAGTACAGGTGCTCAGGGCTGGGGTCGGGCAAAACGCTGCAGCCCCCCAGGTTCACAGCTGGCTGGCTCACTTTGTTTTTGCCCTTGTCCTGGTAAAACCATAGCTGCCCGTTCTTGATTAGACACCAGCAGGTCCGCCATTGGCTGTTCACCAACACGTTGAGGTAGCCTGATTAGGGAAAGAGGAAGTAACTTAATCATGAGGTAGCTTTTTCTCTTCCTACTAATTCATAGTCAACATTTATAGATTATTTACATGTCAGCATGTCATACTGTATTGTTTTAAGTTACCCATAACAAGTTCCACAGCCATTTCCCCTATGTTTGTTTAATGTCATAAACCCATTGATTATTATTGTTTATTGCTTAAATCAGAGCTAATAAATTGTCATGGTGCAATCTGAAAATGATCAAATGTCCTATTTGTCGGAAAAAATCACCCCAACTTTTCCAGACTGATTGTAAAGTACTGATGACCCCAGAGTTTTGTTACGCATGTCTAATTATGACTACATTCTTTCAATCAGAAGGCTGCATATGGGAAAATATTGGCATGTTTAGTCTGGCATAAAACAACCACACATAGAGACCTTCACCAGACATCCCGCCTCCATGAATATCATCCAACAAGAGCTACAGAACAGAAAGTAACTGTGTCAAAGGATAAGAACTGCACCTGAGTGACAATAAGTACATGCTTTTAATGTGTTTCTCTGCTTACCTGAGGTGTCCACGCATTTCTCTGGGCTCTCTAACGAGGAGGGTTTTTTCTTGCCAATGTTCATGAGGTTGCTGAACTTCAAACCTGCACCACTTTTTTTCTTCACTGTGGAGGGCCAGAGAAGAATGATTGATATAATTTTAATTTTTTTTTTTATCTTGGACTGACTGAAAATAAAAAGCTGAAGACTCACCATCTTTGTTTTCGGGAGTCTCTGCATGGCTGTCAGTGCTGCTGCCGCTCTCTGAAGCCACCGAGTGTCTCTCACTCAGCTCTCCCTGAATGTTCATATCAACATTTTAGTCATTAAGTAGGCATGTTACTCAGAAATACAAATTATAAAACTGCTACTGAGCTCTTATAGTTTCAGTAAAGCAAATCAAAAACTCCTCGGCCCTCTTCCACAGGTTGTCTGATCATAGAACGACAGGTACTCTAAAGCATATATATAGCAAAGTGTGTACCTTTGTACAAATGAGCCTTGAGGAGTCAGACACAGAATGCTGGGGGTCACAGTTTTCAGCTGGCTTGGGACTGATCTCCTGAATGACCTAATGAACAACAATAAGTTTGGTTTGCATCAAAATTGCAGAATTAACTTTAAAAAATGATTGTAAAATGTGTCCTTTAATAGTAAATGAAGCAATAAGTTGAGTCATAGTGCTGCTCCATGAGGCATCTTTGCAATGGCTCACCCTCAGCCACTGCTCCGTCTGCTCCTTGCTCTGCAGGGCCAGCACAATGGCCTCTCCTCCCACTGGAATGATCTTCAGTTTGTGCTCTTTTCTCTTCAGCTGTTTCTCCTTGTAGACCACACTGCAGCCCAGCAGACTCACATCCAGAAGAGGCGTCTGCTCCTTGGAGCTCTTATAGCACTGAGAGAGGCAGAGATAACAGTGGTTTTACAATATGAGGGTCGAGTGTAGGCACCAGCTGAACATGTGCAGTATTGTAGGGCAGCACGTTAATGAGGTAGCATAACATATCTTTAACAAATATCAGCTGTAAATAAAGCAAAGTTTTCATGCTGTTCTATCATAATAATACCTTTTGCTTTTATACTATTTGTGTTGTTTTTAGAGCTCATAATCCCTTTATGACTTAGCACAATAGACAGACACTTGTTAATCACAGGGTCAAATGATTCCAACCTGACCCTCATGTGGTTCTCCCTTCTGTGATGCATCCTGGGGAATTTTCATAGAAGTCTATAAATATTTACACATCCTTACATCAGATGAGTCACGGTTACATGGACCACATCCTAAACCACCAGCTACTGTGCTATTGATTATCAAAAGGCTTTCGGTGATGGGGAGGTGAACCCATAATCTCAGTCCAACAGAAATAGGTTAAATTAGTCATACTTTGAAAAGCTAGAGTGAACATACTTGTATCATATGAAACTAGAAGACCTAATACATGCATTGGTGGGGAAGGAGGCTAAATAACGCTCCAAAGTTAGGTTCAATTTTGGCAATGGAAAAACTGGCATGGCTATTTTCAAAGGGATCCCTTGACCTCTGACCTCAAGATATATGAATGAAAACGAGTTCTATGGGTACACACAAGTCTCCTCTCCACACACATGCTAATTCAATGCAGTTTGGGGTAAAAACCATGCAGTTTTGTGCGACTTGTGCCACCCCAGTGAATTTATTTGCTCCATTGTTGATAAGGTATTGATTAAAGCTAGCCTAAACCCAGCTATGATATTTGTTTTGATCTCTAACTCTTGGAAAGAGAACAAATTAGTGAGTTCCCCAAAATGTTTTAATAGTCACAATTCCACTCCAGATATTACGCATTTTGGCTCCTTGGCATGGGTGTCTTTCTCATAATTCTCAGCACAAATGAGGGGAGAACCATGATAGACTATCCCACCACTACATTTGTTTACAGGTTGATTTATTGGACCGATATTTTCCATTCTAAAAATAACTGGCTAAGCAAGAACTGCATGCGACAGCGAGTTTTATATATATTTTGAGGGTTTGCTTACTTTCACATTATCTTTTTCCCATGTTGAGTTATACTGAACTGTCAGTGTGTGTTACCCACCAGCAGGCGATGGTCTTTGATGACACACAGCTGTTTGGCCCACTGGCCCAGCCACTTCTTCCTCCACAGGAAGGCACAGATCCGAGCGTCCTTCATCAGCTCAATGGACGCCTCTGCTGACGGCCACTGGTGCTGCGCTGACGGCGACTTTCCTCTGGTCACCTCCTCCTCATCATAGGACTCGTATGAACTGCTAACTGCCTCCCCATCATCTAAGGAACAGCAATCAGACGTGAATCTATAAACTAAATCAAACAGGCAAAATCACAAGGGAGTTGGAGGGGGGATTAAAAGGCACGAGCAGCAGCGATACACATTAAACTGTTAAATGATGTCAGTGCTTGATTTCTTAAACTTGATGACCGTCTTCAGTGGAAGGGGATTTCGTAGTCAGGCTGCAAATAAGCTATGAAGGCATTGATGAAAGATGGTGACAGATATGATGAAAAGGAAAACAAAACAAAAAATAGGAAATTGATACATTTTGTCTACATGCAAGGCGCTGTTCATGCTGGAAGATGAGAAACTGACGGCATGCCAATTGGACCGTGCACATTCTGGCTTATATGCCTCAAACAACTGCAAGACCACAACATGCCATACACGAACACACGCATCCAGTGATAGAGAGGTAGCTACCCCTGTTGATAACGGCATAGACCACACTGTCAGAGCTCTGCACTCGCATCCAGGGCCCTGATAGGAGGCCAAAACAGTCCAGATCTACACAACGTCATAGGGAACAGGAACAGGAAGAAGGAGGAGAAGAAGAAGAAGAAGAAGAAGAAGAAGAAGAAGAAGAAGAAGAAGAAGAAGAAGAAGAAGAAAGTAGCAAGATTGGAAAACAATGTGAGGGAAAATACCTACTTTTAAATTAGAAAAGATAAATGTAAAAAATATATATCTATTTAGAAACTGCAGTATATAACAACAATAGAAACTCATTTCCTAACCAGAGCTTCAACCTCCACATGCAACATTCTCAGCAAAATCTAAATAAGTAAAACCTTTAATTTGCCCATTGTTCCAAATTACATAAAGGGAAATCCATGACAGATCTTCTTGTTACTTAAAAATGAAATTAAGCCTAATTAACCTCACTAACCTTTGTGAATGTATCATACTATATGATAACTTGTTAATTACTTGAAGTATTGTTTATTACATCAGAGATGTTCAGATGAGGTTTAGTGAACAATAACATGCATTCTGCAATTCTAATGAAATACCTCAAGCATTTGAGCTTTCAGCATTGTACATAAAGTGTCTCACTTTGTTAAATTTGAGCATTGAAAGTTAACCCAACATGTACACAAACCCACTGCACGGTTATAAAAATAAAGAAGGCTCTTTATAGAATATGGTCATGGTGTCTCAGTGCATGATAACCTACAGCTTTTATTTTCAATATGGCATAGCTTGTGGTGCATAAAACCACTTTCTCAGAAGACCTTTTTCCTTTCTCCGATTGCGAGACCACATGGTAGATCACCACTATTCTATCAGTCTGTTTCCACTGTGGTTAACAGCTGAAAGGTTCAGGTTTTCTAAAGAACAGACAAGACATAACACCCATGCTCAGGCAATGCATTGTTTTTTGCTTGGAAATATACTTAAGATGAACAACAAAATATCACACTTATTTCTCAAGAAGGGATGAGCTACCGATATTTTCATGATGACGTGGGTCAAATAAGATGAATTCCTCTTCACAGTAATGCCTCTTTCACAATACTACAGCATCCTACTACTATATCCTTTACAGTAGTATTGCAGAAAGGAGAGTAGCCGCTATTGAATCTAACAATCATTCAGCTGGGCCTGGCTGTAAATTGTTTTCAAGGAAATATAACATTGAACCAGAGCTCTTACCATTTAAAGTTTCCTCATAAGGCTGAGCCTCCTCATAGTAACTCTCTGAAGTGTCTATACAGGCTGGAGCAGGAATGACAGGTAAGGGGAACGGCTCCCGTCCCACCACGCCCTGTAAGATGAGAGAAGGACGGGAGAAAGAGGAGAAAGGCACAAAAAGAGAGTGAGGTGAGACAATATCAGGTTTTTATCCATTAACCTGATCTCAGTGATATGCCCTACAAGCATATAGCCTCCATACACTCACGCACATACACACGCACATCATCAACATGTGTTTTACCCCCGGGCTGAACATGTGGCTAATCCAGCTGTCACTTTCAGGAGTAAGTAGGGAATTCCTCATGTAACCAATCCTCATCTGACCCGGTGCACTAAAGAGTTACATGCCTGCCTTCAGGGAAGAGTGTGTGTGTGTGTGTGTGTGTGTGTGTGTGTGTGTGTGTGTGTGTGTGTGTGTGTGTGTGTGTGTGTGTGGCTCGAGCTTGGAAAAGAGAGGGAGAGCATGTATTTTAATGTGTGTGGGCCCTGTGGCTTTCCTGAAATCAATCAGAAGTCTGGCTTCACTTCTGTCTTTCTTCTCATCTCCTGTGTGGTAAAGACTGTCTGTCTACCCCTTCCCATACTGCTGGAAACAACCACACTCTCTGCTGCCTGGCTGCTTGAATAAGTCTTAATTCATTTAGAATATCTACATTACTTTTATACTTAGCTAAAGTCAGCAAATCAGCCACATGACCCATGACTCCATCTGTCAGCGCTGGAGTCTTACTTTCTTTTTCGGTTTTTCTTAAGGATGGTAAGTTATGAATCTCGAAGGACTGAACTGAATGATTGACCGAATACACCCTTTAAACTGTATGTCTAAATCCAGTTTGTCAAATCACAATGTTAAAAATGTAGAAATGCAAAAGACCTGTTGGCATTTCAGGATACATTACTAGTTTATAATACGTAATATGCACATACACAACAAATTAATACACACAGATGTTTGTGTTACATCATCTATCATCAAGTTTTACTAATCATTCTCTGGAGTGTCAAACATTTACACATCTGGTAGTTGCTGAAAATTCTGGAGAGATTTGGGAGAAAACTACATCTGATCCAGAGTTAAAATGTTTCAGGGATGCAGTCACAGTTATCTGTTAAATAAACAGGTTTTTCTTTGGAATTTTGTAACTGTGCACAATGACTATTCTCTAGTCACTTACTATTAAACCCATGTTCACTCTCCTTTTTATGGGACAATTGTGGGAATTACATCATCAGGTGTTCCTAATTCAGCCATTGAAAGCTCACTTTCTGACTCATACTACATACATATGTGTCGAAACAAAAACTTCCTACCAGTAGGAATTTAAAACTTTATCTCCTCAACTTGTGACCACAGGTCTCAAACTATCTCACATCTGTGGTGGCAGGCAGAAGATGGCTGATATGCAAGTTTTGTCTTGGTACTACATGAAGATGAAATCTATGCCTTCTTTCCAGTAAAAAGAGAGAAACACCATGACGCAAGAGATCGATAATGGAAAGGAGGATTCCTCTGGGGATAAAGAAAAAGGTAGAACAAAAGACACTTGTTTATGTACAAGTATCCATCTTCCAGATTATTATGTACAAGGATTTAAAATATTCTGTTAATGGGGCACAAAGGCAAGGACAAAAAACATATACGCTGAGTCGCCTGAGGACACCAGTCGTACATTCATGTTGCAGAAGTCCTATGTTGCTGGATATTTATTTTTTTAAGTTTTTTTCTCAAGTGAACTCTGCGAAACCCCATGAGTTGAATGACAAAAAGCGATTTCTTAACTATGTCTAACGTTTCCTCCCACTACTGATCTGAACACGCTGTCTGTATTCCTTCATTTCCACTGTATTTCCCCCAAGGCTGTCACATTCTCTGCAAGATCACAGAAATATGAAATATAACCCTTAAGCAGAGGAGCTCCATATATCCTGCAAACCATGTCCTGAGGGAGGCTGACTCTGGAAAAGTATGAGCTTTCACAAAGTTGAACCTCTTTAAGTATCTTATAAGATCAGAGTTTGTTCAATTAATGAAGATCAGTCGGTCAAAAGTGCTTAGCTTATCTGTGTTTAATTTTTGATACAGCAAAAGCTATTTGCTTCCTGCAACATAACTCTGAAATCAACTTTGGGAGTTTAACAATGTTTGGTGTGTAGCAATGCTTATTCTCTGTAAAAGAAAAATTAATGAAATTAAAGAGAAAAGAGACAGTGATATATTGTGTTTGGTGGTTAACACCCTGTGGTGGGCCTTCAGATACCACAGGATAGTGGTAATAGAGTTACTGCTTCAGTTTAGATGTACAGACCAACGAAAGAGTGAAAAACAAATCATATTTGTCTGTATAAAAATTATGATTTCTGATGTGGGCTGTTAAAGACAGTCAGATCCCAGAAAACAGGGCATCCTGTGCTTGTGAGCTCTTTTTCCCACTATATTGTATCAGTGAACTAACACATTTCCAGTAATACATAGCAGATGCAGTAAGCTGTCATCATAACTGGCGTCATGTTGTGGTCCACATACAGTCATAGTGATGATGATTTGTTTTGTGTGATTAGCCTACGTGCCAGAAAGTGGAGGAAAGGACCCGAGAAGTAGTGTGTGGGACAGAGATGTTATCACTGTGGTTTAAGGAGGGTAACATCAGTTCTGCATTATGGAGGTGTTGTGGATTTTTCATAATGCGAGTATCAGCAAATACAAATGTCACTTTGTTATGTGCAATGCAATGATGTGAAAATATAAAAAAAAGTAAGTGGCCACAAGGCTACATTTATTTGACTGTGTAAGAACAGACTTGTCACACACAGGTATAATGAATACCACAAATAATGGCTAAATTCCATGTAGGTGTGTCAGTTACAAAGCCTTCCTGTTTTATTAAAGATTATTTGAGAGCGTGTGTGTGTGTGTCGGGGGGGGGGGGGAGCTACCAGGGCATCTTCAAAGCATGTAGAAACGTGGTGGGTCAACACAGCAGCCTCCATGGAAGGAAACCCAGGGCGTATGTTGCTATAAAAGGTTCGTAAGGTAACAAAAACATAACTATTCTTATTTTCAGGTGATTATACACAAATGAAAACATAATTAGGCATATTATATTCTATTTCTGCCAAAAGATCCTCCTTATGTTATACACTGGACCTTTACGTGGAACTGAGTCACTAATAATGATATTAGTTACACCTGTGCTTTTTATGCTTTCATCCGCCATAAGAAAGCTCTGTACTTTCACTAATGTATTTTGGCTCTTCGTACTGTATTTACGCCCATGCATTTCGGCAAAACACATAATAGCTTATTACCTTTGGTCCTTGGGATGCACACAGACAAACCCTTTAAGCACAACAAAACAAAGACGCCCACACGACTGAGCCCCATAAATACTTTAAATAAGTTAAGGGGACAACAGTGCACTTAATTAGCTTTTTCAGAGACGGGCCCGGTCTAAGCCTTGATACATAACAAGATGGACGATGCCATGAATCACAGAGGAACAGAGTGGAATCAAGCCAGTTTCACAATAATGGAAATAAACAAGCCTTTGGATCAAGGGACCCAATAAAATATATGTGCCCGACTTTAACATAATACTTGCAGATTAATAATCTTCTTTATTTATAGAGCCCTCTTTTGATGATAGATTAGATCATTTAAATAATAAAATATTAAAAAAAATCTTGAAACTAAATCATAACAAATAGGGACTAGGGCAAATAATAATTACAGAAGTATTCATTTGATAAACAATAATAATGGTGTTATAGTGTGCAAGTTGCAATACACTATGTTATGTCATTCTGTGGTTTTGATATGACCACAAACAAGACTTAATCCTTTTGACTGACCATTAAAGAGATTCTTTTGAGAGTATATGACCCCTGAAGTGAGAGAGAGACAGCTACAAATGCTCAAGAGTTAACAGGAACATTATGAGAAGTGATTCTTCTGAGGTTAAGACTGTAAAGTGTAGTGCACACACACAGACACAGACACACACACACACAAACAGCACTAACAGTGTAAACTGCTCCACAGTGAAAAACAGCAGTTCAGGCATCTGTTATTAATTAAAACAAAGAGCCAGGCATTCCAGAGCAGCAGCAGCCCCCTGGACCGCCCACACACCCTTATCTCTATCTTCTTTCTTTCTCTCTCTCTATTTTACTCATCTCTAAAAAAAAAGCCTGTTGTTTAAGCCAAGGCTAAAGAGAAGTATATTGAGCCGACCAGCTGGACTGATATTAAACAGAGAAGGGAAGGGAACATGCCAGGTGTGTGTCTCTAAGTGTATTTTTTTTCTCCCAGAAGACTTTGCAATCACTCCAGTCAGCCCCTTCCTTTCACTTCACTTCACACACACACACACACACACACACACACACACACAGACGCACACTCTCGCCACAGAAACATCGGGTAGAAGGAATGGATCGAGGAGGCAAAGCATAAATAACAAAGCAAGGAGAGGGGCCGCGGAGGAGGAATAGGGGTGTGGTGGAGGGGCTTTGAGTAAAGAGTGGGAAAAAGAACCCAAAAACCGAACAGTCAGAGGAACATGGAAAATCCCTGGTTCCCATGCCAAGAATCCAGCACAGTGAAAACACACACACACACACACACACACACATACACACACACACACACACACACACACACACACACACACACACACACACACACACACACACACACACACACAGTGTATCTGAGAGCCTGTTGGGAGCTCAGAGTAGTGGAGAAGGTAGTGATAAAAATAATCGGTGTAGCTCAGCTTTGGAAGGCCAGATTCAGGAGGACTCTAGGTCTTTGCTACCTCTCTACCACTTGTAACACAGTATATTTCTGCTTAGAAACACCAATGTTCAAATGAAAACTACTCCAATCATAGTGAAAATGAAACCCGAAAAGGGAAATGAACGGCTGCATGGTGGGAGGCAGAAAAAAGAAATCACACGATTGTGTACGTACTGTATTTATTTTTCTTCTTGGGAAGACTTTTACATCCTCTAAACCTTTCATATTTTTGGTTCCAGATTTTGGTTTCCCCCCTCCATTTGTATGCATAAATGTTTACGACTACTAACTATAACTATAAATAAAGTAAATACACATGTATAAAATTGAAATAGTCACGTAAAACAAAACTGGATTTAAAGAGGCCATGCTGGCATATAATGTAATCATGAATAATTCAGCAAATACTTAGCCAGTTATATTGCGGTTATGATAATCACCAGTTGCCTGCAGCCACATTACCGCTTACTGTGCATGTCAACAGTTTTCCTTTCCTTGCCTGACGCTTGCAAGTGCCACAGCTGCTATCTATAGTACAACTCTATTTTCAGACCATGCAGACAGGACGCAATGGAACTCTCACAAACCTTTATTTACCGTCCAGTTCTAGGGAAAAAATGGCTAATCTACACTCAAGTCACACGCTGTATTGTCACTTGAGATCCTGTTATAGGAAGAGAAAAGACCTGGGTTTAAGAGATCATGGAAGCGCTTGAAGGCCTGGGAGTCAGCCGGGATATTCATGCTGAGAATGCGACCCTTGATCTGGAGCGCAGAGAGCACCAGGCGGGCTGGGTGAGAGTGAGGGTTGAGGAGAGCTGGTTCACTGTGGAGCGGGCCTTGCTAGTGAGGCACAGCAGCTACTTCAGTGCTCTCTTTCACTCTGGGATGATAGAAACTCAACAGGACGAGCTCCACCTGAAGGGAGGAGTGCGTGCAAGGGGTTTCCTCATTGCCCTTGCTGTGTGCAGGGGAGAGGTTCCCACTATCAGTGACCCAGATGAGCTCATAGAAGCTGTAGAGTGTGCTGCTTTTCTGCAGGTGGGGTGTTTGGTGCAGCATCTTTGTGACATTATTGACTCAGACAACTGCCTCTTGCTTTACCATGCAGCCTCCATCTTTGGGGTGCATGCACTCTTTCACAATGCTGCTCTGTTCCTTTGTGATGATTTTGATGATTTGAAGGAAGCAGCAGAGAGTACAATTCCTGAAGACCTTCTTCAATATTCTCAAACATTGTCTCCTGCTTCATACATTGCTATAGGCACACACTCGCCTTCGATGGAACTGCTACACGACTCATTTAGGGTTGTTTGCTACCTTGATGAAAAAGAAGGAGAGTGGAAGCATCTGACGAACCTCCCAACGCTCTGTAGCACATCAATGGCTGGAGTGGCGGTGCTTGACAATCGCTTATACATTGTGGGGGGAGTTTACGGTTATGGGAAGGACACAGTGGACAGCAGCTTCTGCTACAACCCCGAGTCAGGGGTTTGGACAGCTCTTCCAGGTCCCCAGCAACTAAGATATGACTTTACACTGCTGGGATATAATGGTCGACTCTATGCAGTTGGTGGAGAATACCAAAAAAGGACCATTTCCACTGCAGAGAGCTATGACATTGAGAAGGGAGAGTGGAGTTTTATAAAACATGCACCAAGACCTGTGGCATCTGCTGCTTGTGCTGTTGCAAGGCGGCGGATGTTTGTTTGCTTCTGGAAACCACCAGCCACGACAGATATCTATGAGTACATACCAGTGATAGACGAGTGGAAACTTGCAACCACCATGATCAAACCACAAAGCTATGGCCACTGTATGGTGGCTCACAGGGACAATTTGTATGTGATGCGCAACGGGCCGTGTGACGACTTCTTGCGCTGTCTGATGGACTGCTACAACATTACGACGGGCCAGTGGACAGCCATGCCGGGACACTACATCAACAGCAAGGGGGCGCTGTTTACTGCAATGATAAGGGGCGACTCGGTGTTCACAGTGAAACACATGCTGACTCTTGAATACACCATCACTGGAAATGGATGGAAGCCCCACAGGCAGATGAAGGGGTTTCCAAAGAGTGGTTCACTGTGGACGTGTTTACTCAGGCTTCCCAAGACAGGACCAGTTATACCACAGCTGGATGGAGAAGGGAAGGAAGGAAAAATGTCTTTGACAGACACATCTGAGGGACTTGTGGAAGCTATACTGCAACTGTGAAATTACTGCTAAGCTGAAAAACAATGGCATGTTTTTTAGGGTTTCTAAACTAAGAATATTGACCCAGATTTCATACTGACACAAATGCTCTTCATTTGAGTGCCTTCACTTTCACAAGCACTCACACTTGTACAGTACACACACACATGCACACGTGCTGACACTAAGGATTTGTTCTGATTAGCAACAGCTGCTAATGTAGTTTATGTTAGGGGAGGCCACTGTGTGTGTGTGTGTGTGTGTGTGTGTGTGTGTGTGTGTGTGTGTGTGTGTGTCTGTCTGTGCGCAAAGTTCAAAGGCACTGACGGGATGTTCTAAACCTCTCATTCTCTACGTTTTTCCTGAAGTCACACTGGGCCAATTCAGGAGCCACCGGCCTCCCAGTCAACATAAAACACACCACAGCACTCTCACACACTCTTGGATACTCACTTCCCCAGGTTTGTTGCCCCATGAGTAGTATAAATACCTGTTTCTGTGGGAGAATATATTTCACATTGCCTCAGGCTTGTAACTCTGAGGGTTGTGGGAAATGTTTTTGGCTTGTATGACCACAGACTGCATTTGTTGTAGTATATTAAAAACCAATGCAATCCTCTGGCAACATGTGATATTAATCCATAGGACTTTGTTTTGGGTACTTACGGTACCTAGTCATAGTAATGTGCTTACAGTAACAAAAGACCAAAATAATGTCAATTACATTTAAAGTTTGAATTTGTCTTTGGGCTCCTTCAGCATACTGTTGAATATCATGATTTCCACTGAACTTTCCCATGTACTTTGTTGAGTTCAGCAGTCCTATTGGGGTCAATTATGCTATTACCATTCCCACCACAGTGGCAGGGACTCAAAACGCTGTGTGTGTGTTAAGCCAAATCATTTTACATGTTAATCCACTCTGACGGAATCGAGCTGGTAATCACTTACTGTTCTGGGGGGCGGCAGGTCGGGAAGGCTCTTCTGCGGGACAGGGACATATTTTGCTGCTTTTCCGTTGACCAGGGCATCTGATCCGTCATCTGGGTCACGAAAACATAGAGTGGGAGGTCAGTGAATAATAGAAATCTTTATGTGTACATTTATAGTGATTGCTGTGAAATGAATGTACAGTAATTGGGGATAAATGAAAGAACTGGTTCATCATGTTCGGTCACTATTTTCAGATGTCCAGATGTCTCCTATATATATATATATATATATATATATCAGTGTTTACTGGTATCCCTAACTCTTGCTGTGAGCACAGACCCTTCATTGTTAGATTACAGTGACCACATAACCTAAATCAAGGGGAAGCAAGTGTATGGTAGCAACAACCCTATTACACAAAACACACACCACAGTACAGGATCAAGAAAATTGAAGAAGACTTTGCATAAGAGACGAATTATGTTTTTCAGTAGATTAGCCCGTTCAATAGCCAGGGTTTAATATACATCAGTGGTTTCTCAACCTTTCTGGCTCGTGCCTGCCAGGAAACAAGGGCAAACACCAAACCTATTTCAGACCATATAATATAAGGTGTTAATCATCGAGAGGCGCTGAACAGCAGATTGAGTAACCTTTAAGTCAAGTTCTGCGGGCTGTAGTTTAATATTTAGCAAAGAGATATGAGAGTAGCATCAATTGTATTTGCCAGAAAGCAAATAAGCATATAACTGCTTTCTTATCTTGTTATCCACAATCTTTAGGGGAGGGGAGGTGGGCCGGACACCCAGGTTGGAATGATGAGAGTTTCACTGCCAATACTATTGACTAGGCCATTGTGTACCACTTCCTCTATCCTCAGACCTTTTGCCTAGTTTCTGTTTGAATAGTGATATGTGGATCAACATAAACATACAAGGGCAGAGTCACTTTACACATCTTCTCTATGAAAGTTCTCAGTGTATGTTTCTCTGGGCCAAACATGAACTTAGCAACAGAATCTGGACATGTGACCCTCATGACTTTGTTGCTCAGCTCATTGAGAAAAAGCTGTTTTGTGTCATCATGAAGATGTCAAGCTGAACCGAATTACATCTGTTAGTATTCCCACAGACTGTGCTTGTAATAGCAGTGAAATTACTGCAGCGAAGATAAAGTCTAAAATGTCTTTCTCTTGCAAGTGAAATGAAAGATAAAATTCAGGTTTAAAACCACATGATCAATAACTAAGCAACATCAACCCTGACATCAGTCTCTCTGCGAAAGAAACCTTGTGGCTTTGCAAGCATCGCTGTTGAAAATATGTGTCTAGCGCTCACTGAAACCACATTCTTCAACACTGTCCAAACAAAACAGGTCAGTCTCAGATTGAGAGGAGCTGAAGAAACAGACAGGAAATGGGGGGGGGGCTGAGGGGTAGGGGCTGCTTGTGGCAGCTAATTCTGTCTGCTTTCACTTGAATCATCTCAAATTGAGCATGAGGTGCAATAGCACAACAAGTATGCAATTATATTTGACCGACTTGGACAACCTCGAAATACCAGTAGGAGCCCTTTTTTAAAAGTTCCAGGTTGCAATGATACATTGTGTCATTATCCCTCTTTAAATATGAAGATTAAAATAGTTTCTTTATAGATTATATTTCAGCAACTTTTCAGGCAATAAATCTTTACAGTATCAGTATCACACTTCAGAGAGGAACCTTTTGAAACTCACACCTTTCTCGTCTTTGTCCTTTCCACTAACAATGACTTTGTTCATGTAGATATACTCCTCATCAGCACCTGCGTGGAAACAACAAAAGGAGGTTAACAGTCAGCATACTTCAGAACAAACAGTGTTACTTCAGGGAAGTGAAGACACTAGAAGAAGACATTCAAAAACCACTCGACAAAACACTAGACACAGGCTAGACGTGCATGTTTTTCATCTGTTATAGTATTCTTACAAATATTCTGCTACAGTCTCTACATTAGATAATAATAATTATAAATAAGGTTGTCCAAATAGTTGCACCTCTTTACCTTGTGTGCAATCTAGTAATTATTTTAGCTTTAATTAAACTGAACAGAGAGTATGTGATTTGTGTCTGTCAGGAACTTTCAGTGTTCTTTGACTCCCAAACCTTTGGGAAAAGTTGCCCACCTTGACTATACGGTACATTCAGGTTAGTGAATTTGCATTTTGCTTGTCGCAAAAACTTTTTGAAGAATGATTAGTCGTCAGATTTAAGATGAGAATCATACGCGATAAAAGGTCATTTGATGTGAATCTTACTGAATTGAATCTCCAATCACATGCTAAAAAAAACGTTCTTAAAGTTGTGCTGCACTATAATGAATATGTTTCAGACCTCTCCATATAATGTACACAAAGTAACTTGCATCTAAACGAAACTAGAGCATATTTTGCTGCCTAAGGCATCTACTTGTAGCACCAACAGGGAAAATCTGACTCCACCTTAGTTCCAAACAAACTTTCATCATGTTTGTCACAAGTCCAGGAATAAAGGGGAACTTGACCCAAACAAGTGGCCTATTGTGCAGACAGATGGGCCCATTATTGACACCCACTTTCACCGTGGCAGGCATTCATCGGACATTACTCAGAAAACTCCTTGCCTGCACAGATAGAGCACTGTGTCACTTCTATCTTTGAAGTTTTGAAGATTGTACAACTAAATATACAATCGATCTCCTAAGGCCAGCCTAGACTTCCAAAGAGTTCACATTGTGACCAAAAGGATGATTTAGTTTTAAGTTAAACTTCCTCTCAATATCTCCATGGAATTTATATCCACAAAAAAGACTTACAAGTGGTCCAAAAGCATCTTTTTTTTTTTGTAGTTGTTGGCATAAAAGGCAAGAAAGAGCAGTATTCAATTAAAGTAAAAAATAAGAAAATATTATAATTATAGTCATAAATGTGGTTTCCTGTGACAACAATAAAAGCACAGTGATTAGGAGTCTAAGTGCTTGATCAGGGCTGTCATTAGAGACTGAGCTTGACTTCTCTTTGCAGTCCAATGTAAATATTTATGGGTCAGTGTGAGCAATGGTATCATTTAGGAAATAAGAGGAGATGATGAAACCTCGTGTCATACACCAACACTGAAGTCAGCTTAGTGAGAAAAGGACTGTGTTTGGTTTAATGTCGGCCTTAACATGGTGGAGTGATTACAAGCTGGCGAAGACAACGCCATAACATTGCCACATAAACAGTTTGAATGAATGTCTTTTCTCAAACAATAAACTCTGTGGTTTTGGCATAGCAGGCTCCAGCTGGTTACTGTAACCTGTTATGGGAATTTGTTCCAGAGTGCAGTTTTGAGGAAGGTTGTTTTAATTGAATTAAATATTTTAGCTGACTAAGATTATACCCTGAGAGGAAATCAAACAAAACTCTAACACTGGGTGATACTCTGGAGAAAGGTTTCTCCTTTGAAATAGATATAGCGAGGTGAAATCAAACAACAGTAGAATGAAACGATGTTTTGCCTGTACAGTGAAAACAGATTTTTCGGGGAACAGAGTTTGAAATGCTATTTATAAACCGCTGCTCAAAGGAAGTGAGCGTCCCCGGAGGATAAATGCAGCTTCGGAAAAATGATACAGCTTGGAGCCAGGAGAGGAAGTATGGAGAGACGAGTCCAGGACCTGAACATGGAAAAGCATGACTGCTAGCTGGTGTGTGTTGGTGAGAAAGACAGGGAGGGAAATAGCAAAACCCTCATTGGCTTTTTCTATCCAAAAGTGACAGTGGATGTAAAATAATTGGGTCACAAAACAAAATGCCCCGTATGTTGTTAAAGAGATCAAAATAAAAAGTTGGCAATTCTCCCCTGCACCGCAAAAAGTAGATTTCTGAAATAGCAGCAGTGTGTCATTTATTGTTCCCAATTAATAACACACCTAGGGGATGAGGCTCAGTTTAACACTGTTTCACATCCTAACTAATGGACTTCCATGCCACCATAAATCACATCAGTCGGGCAGCGGACACATTTTCATGTTGAGTGTAAGAGCCAGTGAGCAAGAAAAACAAACCTGTCTTTAGCTGTTTGACAGGATACGTTAACAGGCCATGCATCATTTTATAACGAAGCAAGAGGCACTTTGTTTGATTATAGCTTGCTCGTAAGCGTAAAACTAATAACCACAAACATTCACAAAACAAAGAACGTCAATCTGATCATTTGCAAGGGACGTAAAAATGCAGGCATAAATATTTAATTCGGCCACCACAATGTGGTTTTCAGCCACCAAAAATGGGATGAAAGACCCCAAATGTATTTAATAGAAGCCTACAAGAGTATAATTATTACATAGTGGTTACTGAGAGTTTAAAAGAGCAAAATAATACCAGAGTGGGTTTGCTCGATAGCTTCTCTTAGGCCAAAAGGCTGACAATGTAAGCTCATTGAATTGTGGGAAAAGCAGAACATGACCACATGTTACATAAGGTGCTTGCATCAAGGCAGACTAACTGCCAATCATAAGTTTTTGAATGTAAAATTAAACATTTGTGGTTAAACCTCAACCAATGTCATGCAATCACAAAACCACGCTATTAAGAAATATAAATAAAAAACACTGAGTAAATGTTTTAGACTACTTATTTTTTAGAAATGACCAAACTCTCGTTGGAAATGGCCTTCTTCTTGAGACCGCGAATACTTCACCTTTGGCTGACAACATACCTATTGGCCTATACGGACCATTAGTATCTGAGAGTTTGCCAATAAATATGTTATCAAATACAAAGATTGAATCATTATTATTGGAGTTGGAACTCTACAGTAAGTCTTCACCAGCCTTTGTGGGAGGTAAACTCACAACACATAGCGGGCAAGATTTTATCACTCTGAGGAATGAAAGATTGTCTTACAGTGAAATAACCCCAGAATGGAGAAACTAGTGTCTTCGAGCTCTGGGGTTTATACAATTAAACAACATTCTGGGAAAACTCCGACCTTTCCTCAGTTCCTCAGTTGGGTGAGATTGAACTAAAACACTACAATAAAAGATGCCTTTGTTTAACTCTAACATTGTTTTACTCTCTTTCAGATTTCCAAATATATCTAACTACTCATTTTTAAACCCGGGAGCAGAACTTTTTTCTTCCTCTATTCCTAATACAACTATTGTGTTATGACTTGTTATAAAACCTCTTTTCAATCTTTCACTTCCTCTCGGTCTTTATTTTTAGTTGCCTGTGTCAAAAAATACGCAAGATTTTCCCTAAAATATCCACCAAACTCAGTTCCTGAATGTAATTTAAACTGAGAACTAGGTCATTATTTATCTAGACTGCAAAGTTGTGATACTAACCCTGTAAAGGTGGGGATGGGGATCATCTACAGGTACATATTGTCCACTGAGCTTGGCTTGATTCAGTGGATGCTTTTAATTTACATTTTTTAATGCAAATGAGTGCTCCACTGTACATATATAGACACTATATTTGAGTGTTTCCTTCATACCATTGGAGGCTCTGTACGACTGGAGGAGATCGGAGAGCAAGCCCTTCTGGATAGTAGCATTCCCACTCAGGGTCTCCTTGTCCAGGATGAGGAGGAAGCGGTGGAGCTCCATCAGGAGCTGGTCCAGCACTGGAAGCACAGACAGACAGACGAGATGCTCTCAGAGGTATAGCAACATAAAAATTCCTTTATCCTTAAACGGTATTAAACATTTCTTGGCGTGAAAATATTGAAAATGATTAGTGTTAAAACAATGGCTTCAAACCAGAGCTGTCACAGATCCCATCAATAAGAAAAATAAGAGCAACATAAAGCCTTAAAGTTTCCAGGCAGAAATATAGACTTTAATTTATAGCTGAGAACAGGGAGTTCAACTCAAGGACTTGTCTTTTAACACTGAATTTAGCTGCTAGTTTGTTTGTTAGCTATTTCATTCTCACTGCTTGACTTTTGTGTTTCAGGCTACGTGCTGTGTGCCAACATTTAACATGGGAGAGACTCTTTAGAGGTTTTTAGCTGGCAATAGTCGATAACCATTCAGACTTTATGTGACTTAGTCATTACTCTCATCCTGTTGCTATTGACAGTTGCAAGTCTGTTTGAGGTTGTTTTGGGAGTTGCACGGGTTTAGTGAAAGGTCAAGTCCAAAGGAGGGAGGAGCCTGGGTCTGCGTCGGCGGGGCCACTGTGTCTGGGTGCAGCCCACACACATCCTTCAGGGGTCAGCGCTGAGCTCACAGCCCTCTCTCTCCACTGTGTGGGGAGCTCTTTGTGTTTCCTTCACTGTCTCTTGGCTTCATGAATAGGCCCCTTGCTACAGTGGGCCTCAGTGTGTGAGCACTTCACCAGAAGATGAGACAGAAGGGGGATAAAGAAAAGAGACTTTATTAAAAGAAAAGGTGGGGCTAATATCAGAGGGGGGGGGTCATACTGTTCTTAGATACTGGAATGTATGAAATCCCCCACACAATGTACTCCATTACCGTTTGATGTTTTTTTTAGATGGGTCTCAGTATTATTTTTGCTTGGGTAATGTTAAAAATAGACAGACATTTAACACCATAAGACAGTCTGGAGTACATACAGTTGAGGTAAATTAATAATGTAAGTGAGTGAACTTTTGCAATAGTATCCTCTGTTAGCATCCAAAACGTTTCCTTCAATCTGCAGTGTATGATAGTACACTGAGTAATTTGACTCACTATTTATGAATCCCTTAATTCACCTAATTTCCTTTGTAAACAGTCTTCAGTCTTCACACTATGGCAAGGGTTACTTGACTTTTGACCCTTTAAAGACTGAAGCTGTGCCAGAGGCTCAGTGTTGATACTTGTATAGTATCACTGTATTTCTACACACTACACAGTCATTTTCTGACATAACATTAACACGTATAAACTAATAAACTCTGAAGTAAAAACAAACTTTAAAAAAAAAAAAACTGAAACAAAACTACCATTCATATGTCAAAATCATCTGACTCTACTCAAGAACTGAACTCTACTCCCCATAAAATAAATCACACAACTATTCTAAGTATAGTGCTTCTCTTCGTTTGAACACTTTTAAAACTGTCTGTCCATTTTAGTGGCTCCTTCCGGCTAAAACTGATCACTTACTTAGCCTTGTGGGTGAGCGCATTCATGCCCTCTCCCCTCCTCCCTACACTCCCACACATCAAAAGGGGAAATTTCTGCAAAATAAGGTGTCAGACCTCAGGGAGCTTTGCCTTTCGGATATGACGAGAGGCTTTCCCAAAGCTACAGCAAGCTGGGGTTGTTTTTAATGACTCCTGCTCAAGCTGAGTCAACTTCTGCTGAGGGGCCCTGTGGTGGGACCTGCACCACGGAAAACATCCCTGGTTTGGACACATACAGTATGGACACACACACACACACGGGATGTAAAGTAATTAAAATCAGCTTAAACCGTGATCAAGATCCTTAAAAACTGTTTCTTACTCCTCTATGTGCTCAAATGTTACTATGATGATTAAAACCACACACATTCACTTTCATTAAATCTCTAATAGTTGTTTAGCTGCTAATGTTTGGCTGCTCAGTGTGAATCTAAACATTTTTCCAGCTTCTCCTCCTTGTGTGTTTGCAGAGATTGACTCTGATGGCCTTTTGGATTGGGGGACCCTGGGAAACAGAGTCAGCTGACTGGACAGGGAGGTCTGTAGCAGACCGTCTCTGTGGGCTACGGGTTGGCCAGACGCCCACTGCACATCCAGTGAGTGAACCGCAGCCTCCACAGCATAAACAATTCACTTCTGTAGACTGGCCAAAAGGAATCTGAGAGACCATCAGCCAGCCAGTACTACAGCATTCAACTAAAGAAATAAAGAATACACGTTGTACTTCCTGGTTTGCTTCGTTAACAAGTTTTTGTTCGATTTGTTTCACACTTGAGCAGTCCAATTATATTGTTTGTGTTTGATATAGTGCTCTGATAAGCTGGCAGATCAGTAATTGTATTTTCAATGTCTGATAAGACGGAAGAATGAAACTGATGCCCCGCCATGAAATCACAATAGATAGGCAACAAGACCAGACTAAAGACTGTACTTAACAAATGTTTCCTGCAATATTAGTTGTATGTTACTGGTCTATTTTCAGTGCTCCTCTCCATCTGTTTACCTTGTCTGACCCTGGATGTGAAGGCTCATTCTTTCTATTTGGCTGAAATCTTTTCTTATTATTTTATTCCAAAAATAACCAACAGACTGTCTTTTTGTAAGCATGTCTATGTCTATGCGCCCATCTGTGCATCTTGACTACACATGATAGTTTCTTTTTAATCTTTAACAGGCTTCAAGGACAGCTGCGAACCTCCTGTGCTGCCCTGAGAAGGAAGATACTTTAAAAAACCTTTAATGTTAACTGTGAATGAAAAACAATGTGTCCATGCGATATTAAATCTTTACTGGATTGCATAGGTCAAAAAGTCCATGTCAACGTAATTTCTGAGTAAGAGTTTTTCATTCAAAGAAGAGAAGGTATCGGACTTGAGTCTCTACCACCATTCTCTTCGTTGTATTTGAACAAATCTTCTGCTGAAAAAAAGGGATCTTGTCAGGATCCTGGCAGAATTTCTTATTCTGAGAGGCTTGAGGTCTTGCATCAACACTGACTGGCTACATATTAGCAGAAACGAGCGCAAGCATATTATAATAACAAGGCACGCATGGCGTCTCATTTCAATCAGACTTGCTTCCAGGTTAAATGGGATTGCTGATACACTTCTACCATTTGGTGGAATCAGTCTCAAAAACATGCCGGGGCGAATGTAATCTGACAAGAATCTAATCAGCTTTCCCTCCAAGTGTAGCCTTTCCAACAACAGCAACCTATACTGAACAATAATTAGCGTTTGGAACGTAACAAAGGAGTCAGGCATTTCGCTTGTGCTCAATTGAGCTTTGAACTGGCGACATTGGACATCACAAAGATAATTTTACATCACTAAACCATTAAATTCTAATCCAAGTCAAACTGAGCCAACTCAAATATTTAATATTTTACCATCTCTATGACTGGTCTTTACTTCTCTAATCAAACTGTCCCCATTTTAATGTTTCATCATCTCCCTTCATTTATCCTTCTTTCAAAACATCTCATCAAATCCCAGCATATCAATTCATGCTTCAGGAAATATACAGTTTTTTTTCACTGATGCAACATTTGTGTTGCTTTAAAGCAAGTTTCTTTGATCAGTGGTGAATAGTCAAACTCTACCTTACATTGTTACAGCCATGTGCAGTGGATGACTGAGTTATATTATATAGCATGCTATCAGTGGGCAAAAACTTAATTAATCCGAAAATAATACAGAATAACACAAGCATGCTGACTTTGCGCTGGCAACCAACAAACCACCACAGTGTTTACTTATCTAACATGATTAAATAATGAAGGAACATTAAATCAGACTTAGCTAACTGCGAAACCATTTTTCTCTTTCTTGAGCAAGCATTTTCTAAACTCATGAAACTTGTTTACAACACAGCTGTCACCATTACTCGTGATAGAGACTAACTGGCAGTTTATTTGAATGTGATTTCATCTGTTTGGCACTCTAGTTGAGCAGCTGCCCCAGCATCTTCTACAGAGCAGACAGCAGTTTTAGACTACTGTACTTTGATTGTAATATCGACTTGCAAACATACTTTGACCCGTTGTTAGATACAAGCTCAAGTTTTACCACAAATGTACTGTAAGTTCTACAAAAGATGTGCATATGACAGTAAAAACTGCAATTAGACATACTACTACTACTACTACTACAATTACTATTACTACTACATATTACTACCCACATATTAACAATTAGTAACAAATAGCAACATTTAAGTTTAAAAAGAGCTAAACAATATAACAGTTCCTGACCATACCATATTTTATTTCAAGTAATTACCCCACCAGTAATATAACGAAACAACACACCCATGGCTACTGGGTGAAGTTAGTTGAGTAACAGTAATTGTCTGTTGCTTTTAAGTAAATTAAAAGTTGAATTAAACAATTCCTCATTAAAATTCATGCTCTGAAAAATATACAAAAGAGACTAATTCTTATGTATAACAAAAGACACTGACATAATTCCATTTTAAAAGAAACCGATGATTGGCAGATGTAGTAGACCAAAGTTACCGTTATTATCAGATTATACACTGAGCCTATCAAGTGTCATCTTGTGACAGAGCTACAACTGCACCTAAAAGGGAAGTGGTGGAAAGAAGGAGAATTGGAACCAGCGACCGAACAACAGTAAAAAAAAAAAAAAACGACTGATTTATACACCGTCACAGGTTCAAGGTGCTTCTGTTTTAGTAGAGAGTAAAAAACTCACAGAAGCAGAGCTCTTACACAGCAAATTTCCAGGGGAAAACACACGAACATCAATGACCTTTGGCAGTTTCAATGCACACAACTGGAAGAAGGTGCCACGTATGATTGGTTAGCTGCAGCCAGGTCTTTTTCTGGTTCGATTGGCAGATAATTGGCTAATGGCAAGGTCTGAATAAAGGATCAAACGCCAGATTTGATTGGTGTTTGATCGCTATTGGCAGGAATCGGTCTGTCTCCCTGCATCATGCTGGGTTCAGCTGTGGGGCAGGGACTGCGTGGACAGGGCTGGATTAATCCAAGCTGTGTTTTGGTGTTATTGCCGTAGAAACCTGAACAAAAAAAAGCGGGTGTCAACTTGATGACTTCAGAAAAGGGGCAGGCTGTGTCTGATAGCAACACTCAAGGAACTTGGAAAGAACATGACAAAGGGACAAGAAAAGAGAAGAAAAGTGGAAGAATATATTGAAGCTTGAAGCAAGATGGTACATTAAATATTACAGGTAAAAGTACACAGGTCCCTTTCACATTAAGTCAACAATCCCTGAGTTTTAACTTAAAGGCAAAAAAAGAATTGTTGTAATATGTCTTGAGAGTGAAAAAAACTCCTGTAATAAGAGTTAGCAAATATTGTAATCACAGGTTTATCTGGAGCAAACAGCACGTAACCTATTAACACCACACTGAACTATAATGTTGTTTCATTTCTTCAAAATCAACTTCCATAAAACTAATTTCTCCTACCCCTGAATCTCAATAATACAGTACAGAACATAGATTGATATAGGGTGAAGAATGAGTGGATTCCATACATATAAAGTGTGTAATATACATATTGGCCATATAGTATTATGAGCACATATCTCTTGTCTCTAAGTGTCTTTAAATTCCGGTTGCACCACATCCACAGCAAATCATTTTAGATTCCTGATGAACTCTACTCGTCAGTCCCTTGACTCCGCAGCATTCATCTGATCAAAGGCGAGCCTCTGGTTTTTCCCTGTCTTTGTCACTTGTCCTTTTCAATCTCTCTTGTAAGAAAGATTTGTATTCATATGTTATGTATCTGCTGAAGGAGAGGTAAGTCTCATTTAATTGGATTTATTGTTGGTAGGCGAGAAGCTGCCTGGGGTAGATAAATAGATGATGTGAGTGGCCACCTCCTCTGCTCAGGAATGGTTGTTCCAGTTCAACATAAATGGATTCCTTCACTGCTCTTTGAAAACCATCTCTCTTCTCCGTCCAATATGCGTAAATCTTTCTGGGCTTTAGGTGGATATCTGAGTCTTGATCTTCGGAGTTGGTTCCACCTTTCAGCAATTTTTCTCTCTAAAGTTCAGGCCTGTGCATTCTATTGCACTTGATGACATATAGCTTTATAACACGGCTCTACTTATGTCAAGGTTTTGGTTCAACTCTCTGGAAGGATAGGAAGCAGACAAAAGACTCACACAGACAATGGGGAGGCAAAACAGACTCAAAAGTTGACATTAATTAATAAATAATGGCTGATTTTCCTCCATTATACAAATTATGGGCACAACATTGGCATATTAAAATTTTAAAGAGATTCAAAAATAAAATATGTCTGTCTCGGGGTCAGTTGAGGTCAGACATGTGGTCATGGCTGAGATTATATACTAGTGACAGGAAGTGTTTTGTACACTGTGGGAAAAGTTTTGATGTAGGAGGAGCTTGAGGTTGTCCAGTGGTTTGGGCATGGCCAAAGAGTCTGCAGAATCCCCTGGTTCTAACACAGCAGCTCGGTGCACTATTTCACGCGTCTTCCACCAGAGAAGAGGAAGCCCGTGGACTCAGTTACAGTATGTGTGGCTGAAATGAAAACCTGCAGGCTTTCAGGACAACTCATGATGAACAAGCCTTTTTATACATTACTTTTCGGTTTGTTTTTTTTCTCTTGCTTTCTTTTTGGCAGATGAAAAATAACATTTCCCTTTAAATTATGCTTGAGGCACACTGCTATGGCAAAACTGAATATTAACCAGGTTTGATCAATGTGATTAGAACACAAAGAGAAAGCTACAGTGTCAAGAGGAAAAAGAAAAGGATAAAAGGGAATGGTGAAGGCACAGGCTTAAGACACTGCAAGTAAGACTACAAAGAGTCCGTGGGCAGAGTTACAGCAAATGTTAAAACACTAGCACTAAGCTCATGGCAGCGATTCATGCTAAGATGCTGAGCCACTGATTGAAGTGTTAAAGGTACAAATACTGAAGACAGAAGCTGTGAAGGACTCACTTATAAAGTGTAATTCCAGTTTGCTTTTCATGTGTCTCCTCTTTTATCTTCCCTCTGCCCCAACTATTGAATATCGCCTTTATTCATCTCACGCTTTATCTTTACCAACACCCTTTTCTTTTTTTCAAGTCTTTAGATCTGTGCTGTCTCAGTAATGTTGAGGCTTACACCTCGGCCCTTAGAGAAATCAGCCAGTTTTTATAGCTAAAACATGCCAATGGGCCCTAAAAATCCAAGTAAATCTTGGCCCTAGTGTACTTGAGCAACTTCATCTTGATTAGGATGCAGCGCATGTTACTGTAGTCCCTGCAGATAAAGGCTTGAGCTGGAGGTTCAACATTCTGGCTGTTGATTACATGAAGTCTGTGTGTGTGAGAGAGTGTGTATGAGGCAAAGTCAAAGATGTGGGAAGTGAGAAAAAGAACAGAATGAAAACAAAGTTTGGAGGATAATGCCAGAATCCTTGTCCATGAAAAATATATCAGCCATTTATACTGACGTTAATATTTTAAATTCTAATAAATTACTTTTCTTTAACACGATTTTGAAAGCGTAGGAGGGATTTTTGTAGCTCTTTGGCTGGCTCAGTTCAATGACAAACGAAATGTTAGCAGTTACTCTATTATTGAGATAAATGTAACGAGCTGCAATGAAGATTGCATTGCAGTTTTAATGTACTGGAATCTTAATAATGCTTTTTAAGAGCTGCGGGACAAACGTCAATAACCTCTTCCACAATGATGATGAAAATGGTGACAAAAATGGAAAGTGAAAGTTTAAATCGCTTAAAGCTGCTCTGATATTTTTATGTCAGCAATGGATCAACTGTGCGTAGAAATGAAAAGTGTCATTTGTGATGACAAACCACAGAGAAATATCACCAAACTCTGCAGCTGTGTGGAGTGTTTTAGCGTCTTTCTTATAGTTTTGGGTTTGCAGCCAGCAACTTTATTGATGAGAACTGTGAGACTCAACCTAAAACTGTACAAGCCCAGTTAGGGACGACAGTTAAAAATGAGCAATAGCTATAAACTGTGCAGCACATGGGTTTCATGCTTTGTACTGGAACTATGTTAAATTGCATCGTCCCTATCAAATAAATAAATTTACATTTAACCGCAGGCAGCTGTTTTGAGCAAAAAAAGCTTTGATAATCCCACTGTAGCTTACATGCTCACACCAAATGCTAGACAAAGTTAGCAACTATCTAGCGAACATACATAGTGGAGCATTTAGCAGCTAAAGAGTCAGATATTCCCCTCAGGAGTTGGTGGAGACCAAAGCAGGACAAAATGGAGAGTGAATACTGGAATTCAGATTTCCAGGTGGACAGAAACACAACTCAAAATGCTAATGTTGCTCTATGTCTGTTGGTTGTGTAAATAACACTAACACATTACCTCGGCTATATGAATGGCATTAGGTGATTAACTGATAGCATTTACTGATCTGTGCAGAGCAGCATGCAGAAAACTCAATGTGTGCTAGCTATCTACTTTGCCAAGAAATTAGAGCAACTCGCAACTCTTTAACTCTCACTTTTACACAGTTTTTTCTTTTTTTTCACACACAGAGATGAAAAAGCTGTCCTGGGCCATGAGGCACAAGAGGCTCAGTGTGGTTCCACCTCCTCTTCTTAATGCAGCATCCTGCCTACATCCCTCCTTCAATCCTCCTCTCTCCTTACATACCCTTGCTCCACGGGGACCCCACCAACAGTCAAAGGCATCATCCTCTAGATATTCTGAGATATGTTGGGCGGTAAATGCATGTATATAACACTCTGTGTGGGCATTAACCATCAGTCATTTTTCAATTACCATATACTGTGTAGTGATAAACAGATTCATGATTTAGAGGCCGTGTTTTTGGAGCTTTACAAGGCTCCACAGTCTTGGCTTGATGAGAAAGAAAGCAACAGACTCGAAGCAGCTGCTGACAAATAAAAACTAACTAGCAATGCCGCCTCAGAGTCACCCACATAAAAGCTTCTTTGCTCAGTTATTATCCCATAGATAAGTGGCCAGGAGGGCTGCAGGGAGAGTAAGACCTAGTGAGTATGCATATGTGTGTGATTACAAGTGAGTGAGCTCCCGTTCTGAGTACAATTTCCTTCAAAAGAGTATACCTGGTGAGAAAAAAACCCACCGCAGGTCTGATCCAGAGCTCCTGAATCCAATAAACAAAGCCACGTTTGATGTGTTGTAAATGAACAAGACCCACAGGGCGAAAAGGGCCAAACTCACATGGAGCTCTGCACTGCCACAGATCAGGAAGACCGTCTTTCTTTTCATCATTTTTATAGCCCAGTCCAGCTTCCTGAATTACGCGCACTCCACGCACTCCCCGTTGGCAAGTACAGACCATGACACACACACAAGTGAACCGGCAGACCACATGCCAGCCCTGATGGTCTACATTTTAGCTTTCCCTCTGCTGAGTTTATGAGAGGTCAAACCTGCTAAGCCCACAGACTCTGTCATGTTGTCATGCTACACTGAAAAGCACCTTTGAAACAAATTTTCAGCTGATATTAGTCAGACTGCACTATTTATTTTGTCATGATCACTGCAGTTGATAGACTGCAGGCTATTAAAACACCAGCATTGAAGGAACCACCACTACTGGGATACACAGGTTAAAGTGAAAATACCTTTTCAGCAACATGTGGTTTTTGGCATTGTGCTTAAATAATACGGCCCACAAACATGTTATAGTTAAAAATCACTGGAAGCTGCATTACTACAGGACGTTTTCAAAACATATTACAGGAAACCATCTGTAAAGCTTGCACTGCTCACAATAATTAAAACAGTCATGGGTGACAGGAACTGGGATAGGTAGGGTGTAATGTGACCACATCCTCACATAACCGCTAGCATGGCTCTAGCCTCGTCCTGTTTTTTTCACACAATGCTGTGCACATAAACATTTTATTGGAAAAACAATTATCTTATCTTCTGCCATTCCTCAAAGCCAGACAAAGTCAGTCAAATTTTCAACTGTAGTTGCTTGTGTGCCAAGTGAATAATCCAATGATTCAAAAATGACCATCAATACATCTGTCAGTCTGTCTCCATTTGTCTTACATTTTATTTTGGCAGAGATCACACAATCAGATTATTGTTGGAGAAGACAGCTGACGCTGGAAGCAAGAAAGGAGCCATCATCGCAAGAGCCCATCGCTTTTCTGTGTGAAACCCGGCTGCAAAGGATGTGAAGCCAGCGCAATGAATTAAACATGGACACGTTTTACCCAGAAACTGGTGGGATCCATAACAACATGGAAAGCAAAACAAGCAAGGGCATGAGCTGGAAGGCACTGATTGACAAGAAGAGGAAGATAATAAATACTGGAGAGGATCTTGCAAAAAAAATAAACATATTCATTCCCTTTATGAGAATATTTAGGGAAATTACACTTTTAATTATTTCTATATATGTACGTGTATATTATTTAAATTATTTTCTTTTTACAGGCTATTATTCTGAAATTCTGAAAATGTATGTAATGCTTTAATTAATTTATCGTCTGATCAAATACAGTTACCGGGGCAGTTGGTGTACACAAAAACATGTGAGACTAAGATCATTTCCCATTTGGTGGGCTGAAACATTAACATGTGGACTGCAATTAGATGCTGGGGCAAAGTAACCAATGAGCCACTAATTACATAAAAAGTGCTCCAATCACCTCTTGGCTGAGCTCCTCAGTAGGTCCTGTACTGTAACAATGATTCTCAAACATGCCCGATGAGCTGCCGAAGTGCTCCTCTGGAATGAAACCTGCATGAGTCAGGTTTGAGAAACAGGGAGCGTATCCAGAATACTAAACAATGCCTTGCCTTGTCATTGGCCTCCCTGGATTTTTCCATGTTTCCCTTTACCGTACCTCCTCCACTGGCTGCCTGTGGCTGTTAGTATCAATTCAGTGTCCTGGTGCTGCTGCATACAGCTGCCAAAAGAGTACACTCCAGTCCTTATTTCAGCCACAAACACCAGCTCGCTCTCTAACTACCCGTTGTTGGATCATTGCCCTGCATCAGTCGACATGCCCTCAGCTCTCCCTTTCTCTCATGAATTACATCATCATTACTTAAGTCTTCCCCCTATATCTGCCCTGCAAAATATATCATGATTGAAGCTCCTGTCTTAAACCAACAGCAGTGATTTAGAAAGCACAACCATGACCTTCAAAGCCTAACCAGCTGATCAGAAACAAACAAATATTGCAGTGCTTATTTTTGAAAACCACTTTAGATTTTAAAAAATGGACTCATACTGTAGAGGCAGTCCATTCCCACTTAGTTTGTTTGGTATAAAGCCAAGAGAGCAACGTAGCTCCCCTGGTGGACAACAATGATTATCCACTCATAAATGCTGAAATGTGACAGTAAGATCCACCACTCCCATAGATTTGGTCAAAATTGAATCCATGCATGCTGAGCTATTGCATTCATCTTGTTTTCTTGGTTTCGTCTAAAATGTTAGGAAACAGTCAAAGAAATTTCCATCACAATTCCCCAGATCCCAAACTGACAACCTTGAATAGCTTGTGCTATCCAACCCAGCAGACCAAAGCGTAAAGATTTTTGTATAAAACTGACAAAAGCAACAACTAGTCACATCTGAGAAGCTGTAACCAGAGCATATTTGACATTTTTGCTGGGAAATAACTCAAACATGCAGAGGAATTTGTTGGACTACGTGCGATGGGTGGATGAATAGACAAATGAATGAACTGAACGCAGACCAACCCAAAGCCTCTACTGCTAATGAAATCCCCTCACAGGAAAAATACACCTCTGCAATTGGCTGCTCACAACACTGGGTATCCACTCTGAGAGAGGGTGGGAGTAAACAGACTGGGCCGCCCAGTCAGCTGGAGAACGGGAATTTTGCAGCAAGATTGTTTTCCTTTCAAATTGTGGTGATCCCATTCTTCCAGTTAAACTAGTCAGCATTGGTTTCTGTCCAGCAAGTCGCTTCACCCAGCTGCCTCACCCAGACCAGGGACAGTGAGGGGGGAAATTCATAGTGTGTTGATAGTTCCTCCCATCAGTGCTGAGGTCCAAACACAACTAATATCACCATTTGATGCTCTGACAGCAAGGTGAGGTGCACTTCATGGCCAAAAACCGCCCTACTAGTACTAAATAATTTCAACATTTTGGCTCAAACTATTTGTTTATATCCATCAGGAAGTATTAAATGGCCGTGCTCATCCCTCATGGACAAATAACCACAGGAATTTGAGGAATGCTGTGAGAACAATGTTGCTGCTATTGGAATTCATCAGTGGCCACAGTGTAAACTATTTTATACAGCCCACTTGGAAGGGAAGGCATTTGGGGATAAGCCTCACATCTTCACAGCCTTGGTGACACACAGGGTGCATTCAGCTCTTGGTAGTTTCTGAGGACTAGTTTCACAAGAAAGCCCAGTAAGCTACCTAACCCAAACCCAGAGGAATTTTAATTATCAGTATTAGTGGCAGGTGACCAGTATCCAAGCCAGTATGTGGAAAATGGTCCCCCCCCCCCCAAAAAAAAAAAGCCAAAACATCATATACATTGTCTTTGGACCCGGTTCTGGCAACATGCCTCCAATGCAAAACCAATACATGTCGCAGGGTGATTCATATCTGGATGCACGGATAAACAATCGGTTCTGCTGTCACCTAATGCTGCTGTAAATCAGTTGTAAAGCACACACTGTCAGCAATGCCTTGGAGACAGGGAAGAAGTCAGCAGCTCTATCAAACTTTGACACAGAGCTCAACACAGTAACCCTCCTCTTTACCTTTGTGCTTCTCCATTCCCTCGCTGTTTCACCCTCTTCTTGTCCCTCGTTTTCCTCCTCTCATAAAAATCAAACAATCCCAAAAAGTTTTGCCGACAAGTTTTCTGAGTGATGGGACAGCCAATAACTTCTTCTTCTGCGGAATGCAGCCCGGCGCTCCACTTTCCAACAATACACTGACTGGCTGGCTGGCTGACTGACTGACTGAATACGCTCGACAGTTTTTTTTTTTTTGACGGAACAACAGCGCTCTCTCCTCTTCTTCCAAATCTGTGCTGCACCTCCTCCCTCCAGTGCGCAGCATCCAGACTGCAGCTTGGTTGTGAAACTGGGGGTGGGGTGGGGGGGCGTCCAGGTGTTATTAAGAGGCACAAGAAACTGAGGAACAGTTTGACTTTTTTGTTGATGACAGGATAGAGTTGTTTTTTGTTTTTTTTTAACCATCAAATCCGCATTAAACTGTGTATAACCACAAAACTACAAGAAACTGCAGCCTCTTATATTAACACACATTTCCCTGTTTTGGCTACTGTTGTTTAACAATAGGTCTTGGTTTGGAAATGTATTAATAATAAGATATTTAAAGGGCAAGGAGTGTCAGAAATATAAGTTCATCCACAAGTAATATCAAACAGAAACATAGGAAGTGGTGTCTGACATGGGACAGTAGGGTATCAGTATCATTACGCATGTGCATGTAGTAGCTTTTCTTAAACACACTGACTAAGTGCTGTACTGTACTTTAACAGCAGTCGTTTTTCTCTCTGGCAAACAGAGAAGTGCTCTGCCCCAAACAGCCGCGCACCTCCGTGGGAGAACGGTGACCGAGTGGAGGTATGAGAGGAATGTGAGGCAGGCAGAGCAACACCACACACTCCAGAAGATGATTAAAACACGTGACCCGCATCCCAGTGCTTTGTATAAAGTCTCCACTTTTATTGCAACCTGCAGGACACACAAAAGCAATGCAACGCTGCAGCTCAGAAAATCAGGGCCATCAGTTATGTGGTGTAGAAGCAATACCAATACCACTGGTCACACAGCAGCCACGCCCCAAGGTAAATAGCAGCAATATAATGTGGCAGGTTGTAGTCCTGTGATGTCATCTGATGCTGGTTAATGATACACTTTCTATAGGCTGACTGCAGCAGAGAGAGAGGGTGGGTGAGGGGCACTGACAGCACCTTCTATTCAGGCCTCCTGATGCCCTTCTGGCACAAAGACACAGCTGATCTGATCTACAGTATAGGGTCAGAGGCAGTGTTTGGGGAGTGGCCATGCTGCCAGTTACTTCACACTGGGAGAAGTTGAACTACAGCAAAGCTACACTAGGGAGAAATGTAGTTTGGTTAACTGAAGCTACTTCGAAAAAAGTAGTTCAAACTGCTGTACACATTCAGATGCAAAACATTAAAAACTATAGCCAAATATTTTCCACCTGTGAGCTAACAATCCAGCTTAGAGAAATTTTGTTCTTTCAGTAGTAATTCAACTATTTGAATCACTATGCAAATATGACTGTAGTGGATCTATCAGCAATCTACTGTATATAGTATAAACTACTAGTTTAAATACAAAGTTAGTACATAGTACTACTCCCCAACACTGATGAGAAGTTGCACACAGCAGAAAAAAGACTTCAACATCAGAGGATTCCAGGAAAAAATGCATTCCTTATCTGAACTTGTGCTTGAACTTTGTTTCTTTTAGCTATACTCACAGCGGGAAACATTACATATCCCTTAGAGAGACATGTCAGTTCCAAGTGTCCCTCTTTAATCTTTTGTTCAAGGTTTCGTTGGTCACGTCCATGTCTGGGTGTCAGCAATTATTACACTAAAACTGCATCAATTTCTAGTCATGAAACACATCTTACATACATCCATCCTCTGTTTTTTATTGCCAGGGTCACAAGTCAGCGGTCAAGGGGCACCCTGAAGAAGGCGCCAGTCATCAGGGACAAGGTCAAGACAGGCAGTCACACTCACAATCAGAGACCTCAATCCACCTGACTTGTAGGCCTTTGAACTGTGGAGGGGGGATTTGTAAGTGTAAACCTATTAGTGTAAGAGCAGGTTTAAATCCATCTCTGCATATTTTCCAATAATAACATTTTAAATGGTCTACTTTAAAACCTGCCAAAACATTGTAATGTAATATAAGACTGTGTACACTGATGGATATAATGAGCCATACCATGTAGCCTTCATACCTTTGCGCTTTAAGTGTAAGCCTAATAATAATACTGAGTGCTTCAAAATTATAGGACCACCTACAGTGTCAGAAACCTAATAGCAATAATGACAAGACAAATGATACAGTGTATACAAAAGAGAACAAGACTGACAGTCACTGTGATTCAGAACCAGAGGCAAACTAGATGAAAGAGACAGAAACCCCTCAGCTGAAGTCCAATGCAACCCTGTGGCTTTTGATACATTTTTAAAAAGCTAGTAATTAGAATATATTTTAAATTCTCTGTTAAGTCGTTATAGCTTTATTGTGTTTGGTAGACTGACAGTTTGAATCAACGCACTTGTCTGTTAGGATAATTTACAGTCAAAACACTGTAGCATAAGCTGATAAGAGCAATAATAGAGAACCATTCAGCAGGGATTTTTCTTGAAAGTGCTCAAAGTTTGTAACTGTGTGTGTGTTTGTGTATGAGTATGTTTGCTGGGACAGTAATTTACTGCTTGAACAGTGAAGGGTTTCATATTAAAATTGAGTATTCTGTAGTTACCAGTGTATTAAGTTGTTTCTACATCATTTGTGGCCATCAACCCTTCACATTTTCTTGAACAACTCAAATAGGTCATGTTAAGCAAGGACAAAGCACAAGTGTTTCCAACTAAAGCTAAAAACCCTCAAGGTCTGTTTTCAGGATGGCAAGCTGAATCAAAATGTTGGCAGAGCTAGTTTTCATTCTGAAGAAACTTCCTGCTTTTGTATCTTCATTTATTGTGACTTCAGTGTTTGTGTCATACCCACTTTGTTTGCCTTCCCTGTGGTTTCAGCAAAGAAGGGTAACATTTCTTTTTCTGAATAAATAAATGCAATGTTACAGTTTGCAGGACTGCGTATGTAAAGTAACTATTGTACCAAAATTGTGTTTAGTTGACCTCATATCAAAAAGTGAATGTGAAAGACAGTGGGGCAATTTAGACAATACCAAATCTTAATTTTCCATTTAGTTCCTTTTTCCAGAGCTTTCAACAGCATCTACGGTCTTCATCAGTTGATGGAGATGTCATCACCTAAGTGTCCTCCGGATAAAGCTAGAAAGTGGACCTTGAATTGAGCTGTGTGTACGTGTGTGTGCGCATGTGTGTCTGTGTCAAACTACTGTTTCCAAGACCAATAATGAACTCTGTCACTCAATATTTAGTTTTTGTTGTTATGCACGAATACAAAAGAAGCACATTTTTTCACCTTCATATTAGGGCAACTGCAATGTACTGTAATAATTCAGTTCTTAGCCTTGAACCTGTCTATTAGTCTAAATCATTTTACGGACTTTCAGAGTGTAGTTGAAAGTCAGCTGGTGATATAACTGTTTTTTTCCCCCCACTCTCTATCATATGTAGCCTTGGGTCAATGTTAAAAGTGTGAATGTGAGTCAGGCATGATGGCTCAGCATGAATTGAAAACAAGGGTGGTCTGGCCTTTCTCTCCTCCACTCTTCCTTTGTGTGACAGCAAAAGAACTGTCTTCTTAATCCAGCAGGGGAATTCCTGTTGTGCAGCAGACCTTTGGATGCCCTTGGCTGTAGGGGTGGTTCCAGGTCTTGAACATTCACATTTGGATGATTTAGGGTCATCAGGCTTGTCGATGTATGTGAGGCATTTGTATCTAGGTGTGGAACAAGGGTGCAAACAGTTCCTGAGTGGGTGAGACAGAACTTGAACTTCACAAGGTTACATTTTTGAGTCAAAGGTGCAACTGGGGACTGGGCTTCTGCCCTCTTTTCTGCTGCTGATTGGACCACAAGAACATTCCTCAGTTGTGAATCAGAGGACAAAGGTCACTGACTCAACTTCAGATTAGCAGTGGACCCTCTTTGAGTCAGGGGACTCGCCCATGTACATACAGACACATAATGCACAGCCAATCCCCCCTGAAAAGAGACCCCCCATTTATTTTGGTATTTTCATCCAATCGAGTCTAAACCATGTGCCTCCTCTTACTGTTGCGTCTGGGAATTTCCAAAGAAAGTTGAATCCACTGACTCTGCTGTACCTCTCTGTTGTTTTAAGAACATTTAGACCAAGAATACAGAGAGCACCGGCTTCAACACACTACGCCTCGTAGAGATGGTGCTTGTTTCCCTGCACCACGGAGGTGTGTGCACCTGACTAAACGCCGAGAGGCTCTCCCGTGGCTTAAGTAGAAGAGTGTTAAGTCATAGCGCGATAATATTGTTTTTAGTTCATGCGATCAGGTTCACAGTAACCCCTGTGGAAAATAAACTGTGGGTATTCAGATTTCAAAGTGATGACTCATGTGAAGGCTGAGAAAATGTTGAAGCGGTGTATTTTCTGCCTGCCAGGTAGATTTATTTTGGGGAACGCTGCATGGAAAATAATAACAAATTCACAATATAAGTAACAATATACAGTACCATGCCCCAAATACTTTTTTTTGCCACTAATACTGTGTTAAAATAATGTTGTCTTTATTACATTGATAGACTCTCTATCAAACAGGATGTTTACTGCACAATTCCAATTAATTCTGTACAGTAAAGTCATTATGTACAATCAAAGACAATATAGTCTCTCTAATATGTAACATCACAGCATCAAGACTTTAATTCAAGTCTTTAGGTGACACTTTTTGGAGTTGAACCATTTGCATTGACTGAGTGAGCTTGCGATGTAATTTTTGAAATACTTATTATATCCAGCAAAGGTTTCCAGCTGTGAAACAGAACAAGTCTCTGTATCGCCGTCACCATGGCTGACATGACAACATGTGACACGGTGTGTCACAGTGCCCCAGTAGTTGCTTTTTTATTATTCGTCATTATTATGTCTGCAACTCCAGGATTTATTTTTAGATTGTCGTACAAAGAGACTTTACATTTACAAGAGGAGCTGAGTTGTTGAGTGGCATAATGTATGTAAATTCAATTTTGTGTGAACTGTTCCTTTAAATCAACATTTTTTTGGGTTGTTTTTTTTTCTCTTGTCCTTACATTTCATCCTGTTGGTTCCTAACATGACTGCACTGCCATTTTGACATGGTCTCTCTCAGGAGACTTATATCTCAGTAGACCATCCTGTAAAGATGAGATAAACAGATGGGGAAAAAACAACCTCTAGTATAAATATTGTTATTAGATAAGCATTCATGACAAGATTTGGTGTCACAGTGGAATATTAATTTGGCATAACCTTTGCCCAAATAAGATAAACAGTGGTTATGGTCATAGGTATTTTGCTGACAATGTGACAGTGTTTGCTGACACTGTCACATTGTCACACTGTCATGGCTTGCTGGGACACTTATAAAACAGAGCCATCATTAATGTTAATGGTATGACAGGTCAAAATGTCTGCTGTGAAAAAGGCCTATTGTTAATCATTTCTTACTAGTACTTTTCAGTTCATTCAGATACAAAGATTGCAATGGTTTTAGGCTCACTTAGCCAGTAGTTTCATATTGATACGGACTATGAAAATTTGACAGTGAAAACAAAAACTGCTGGTCAGTTACTCCTGCTCTATTCCTGTCAGCTGTAGTTTGTGCATATATGGGGTGAAGTCTGTACCCCACTAATCCATGCCTTTGTGTCGCTGTGCAACATTGCCACCTACAGGTGTATGTAGAATTGTGGACAGCTCTAGATAAATGAATATGTTAAACATGCACCAGCCAAATAGTGATAAATAAAGAAGTAGAATTCTTGCATTTGGTTATATTGTCTAAAAACATTATCTTGAATATATAATTCAGTAGATAAATTAAGAATGCTTAAAAATTAAGCATTCTTCATGCTCAGCACTATGTCATTCTGTAAGGACTGTCACTGCTTAAGACCCTATTCAATTTGCCAGCACAGTATAAAAGGCTACAGACAACATGGCAACCTGCATATCACTAGGAATTATTTCAGAACTTTAGAACGAACTTTCCCAGCTAAAGATGATCTGTACAGACACAAACAGAAACACATTGCTCTTAGCCTTGCCGCATTGTACTACTGCATACTCCAAAGTCCTGATCTGTCAGAGTCCTCTGCTTGGAAGCTGGCGCCCCCCTGACATGCCTTATCTGAAACAAAGATAAGTGCTCTCTCAGAGACGTATTGCATCTAATGTTAGGGTAGAGTCAGAATAGAGCCTGCTCAAACACATGAATGAAAAGAGACTTTTATTAAAAAGTGCCTGTCACTCTTTGACCTTCTCACTGATTTCCCCCCAACCGTTACTGTCAGTTACTGACATTTTCTGAGATGTGCCAGGACCTCAAGTGAGAACAAGATTTTCAATTGACCCAGCAGCCCATGTACTTCAAATGCAGATGCAGGCGTTCAGCCTCTCTCCTTTGGTTAAATTCAGCCAGGAAATTATAGCTGTGAAAATGACTTCTTCAGGATCCCAACCACTAGCTGTCATACACCATCACTGACTATTTTTGGACAATTTTGTTGACAGCTTCTACCGTCGTCACTGTCACCTCCTTGGTTACAGTGTCCAATTATATGCCATTAAGAGCCAATGAATGTAAGATAAATACAGACTTTAACAAATAACAGCAGGTTATTTCACTAAATATAACTTGATAATATTTTAGCTTTGTTTAACATAAATATTGCAGATTTGCAATATAGGGAGATCTAATATTTACATATAGGCCTACATATAGGCTATTTGCATGGGCTAATCTAGAGAATTATTGATTGTGTGGCAAGAGGGTAAAAAATATATTTATTTTGTGATTTAATCACAACAATCATATATATCAATATTTGTTTGGAAAAGACCCCAAAGGAAGACATGTCAACTCAAAAACATGACATTATTGTGGCACATATTGAAGCATTGAAGAAATATCTAAAGGTGGTATTATCCAATCCAATCCAACTTTATTTGTTAAGCACTTTAAAAAACAACCAAAGTTGACCAAAGTGCTGTACAGGAGAATAAATAGGACATCATAAATGTAAACAGTGATGGTGATTAGTATCAATACGTTTCATTCACACACCTAAGACATCTTTCCATGTCTTTTTTCATTGAATTTAAACCTATCACATAGTCTAAAATGTGGCCATAACAGATAATTAAATTGATTTCAATTTTGTAATATGTTATTTATATTTTTTTATTGTTTAATATGTTGAATATTTGCAACATACCACCTAATGCTACTTTTCATAAATTGTTAAAAGTATCATCTTATATAATCCATATACGGTATGCCAACACAAGGCAATTTTGTTATCCACAATCATTATATCTTTATCATTTAATAACATTTAATCCAGAGTACGTTTTAACAATAGATGCTACTGCAACATTAGAATTTTGTATCAGTTTTGTTTATTTTCAAAGATTAAAATCAAACAAATCATATGGCCTAAAACTAACAATGGAAATGATTGTGCATGAGAGGAAAAAAGCTTCATTGATTACATAAACCTAAAGAAATGAAAAACAAATTCACACTGAGCTCAAAGCCTTTCTAAAATATTCTCTGCGTCACTTTCAGGGCGATGATGATTTAACCAAATGGTAACAGTTTATTAAGTTAGTAAAATCTTATTGTTTGTGTATTTTATATTCCAAGGTCCAACAACAATGACAACAGATGTGGCTCCATTATCTGATGAGCATTTTGTAACCAACTCTAACTTTTAAATGCCGCATAGGATAGTTCGGTACGTTTCTGACACTGTACCTTTAAATAGAAACCATTTGCAGTGCGCATGCGCATCCTGTGTTTAGTTTTTCTCCAACCTGAGGAACTGTCTAGTGTCGCTGCGCTAGCAAATCCATCGCTGCCAGTTCTTGTCATGTTTTGAGAGCACCAGCGGTGTTTTTTACCCCCCCAGCTCACTGGAATACAACGGGACAACACCACTCAAGGCTGCCAACGAAGTCTACGTCTGAAGGAGCTTAAATTGCCGTGGGAAAAGACCAGTTAGCAGTTCAAAGTATTCGCTCAATGCCCCCCCAGTCGGCAAGAATAGCCTTTCCAGTTCCCACATCACATCCATGTTGACTGCGGCAGCCTTCGCACTGGCTCCTGGGCTACAAACACCACAAACCTCTTTGTTCTTCTGCGGACAAGATCCGGCTAAATTGTCGCGGGTTGTGGAAGGACCGTTGTATGTTACAGTGTCAGTCTGAAGGATTGTTTACGCGTTAAAATGGCTGCTGGAATAGCATTTGGAAGAGAGTGATCTTGGATCAATGCAGTAACGTTACATTACCCAGCAGAGGCCAAACTGCAAAATAAGCTACACAGGCTAACAAATGATTTATTAGCTAGTTACAGTATTCAACGAGTTAGCTGCTTTTAATCGCTTTAATCGATGGTCGGCTTTTTTGGTAGGTTCCTCCAACAAGAGGCAGGGTGAGGGGAATTCATCCCACTCCAGATCTATGCATGCGGTTAAACAAGCAGCCTTTTTTTTAAAAAACAAAAAACACTTAGCGAGCTAACATTGCATTTTCTTAGCCATTTTGTTCCAAAGCTTTGCGACCAGGCTTAGCTCAAGCCTCAATTTCAGTATGCATAACACTCAACGAATATGCAGGACTTCTTTGTTATAATAGAAACAGCCTGAGTAGCCGAGGCTCTCTCCCAAAGCAGACCCAAAGGCCCCGGTGTTACACTCGCCTTGGTCGACCTGGGGGAAGAAAAAATGGATCCTGGGGGGAAATGTAAGACCAAACTCTTTCTTTTTGGACCCAAACTAGCCACCCACTGCGATCTGCGGGGTATCAACAGATACTTAGTGGTGTACGTTTTGTTTTACTTTGTGCTGTTCACTCACGCCTCCCCGGCAAAACCGTGTGACAAGAATTGTCTCTCTGGAAAATGTGTCAATGGATCCTGCATCTGTGACCGAGGATGGGTTGGAGACCAGTGCCAACACTGCCAAGGGAGGTTCAAGTAAGTCGCTGTGCTTTTACATCTTTTGTCTTAACTGGCATCTGTGCGACCGACATCAGATTGTCATGTTTGACAGTTTCAAAATGGTCTTGAGTCACCCAAAGTAAATTGATCCAGTAGTGGCTGTTTTTCCATTAAACAACAGTGTCAGTAGAGATCATTGGCACTAAGAAAACACACCTGTGTGCACCCAGCTTTTGGGGTTATGGGTTGCAGCTGTAATGTGAGAACTGGTTTTTCCCTGTAAACACTTTGATTTGTGCCCAGCAAAGAGGCTGATTGTTTTTGAATGAACTAGCAGCCTGGACAGATCTGTTGAGTTAAGTTATAAGAAGATGCATTACTCCCCCCCCCGATCTGTGAAAGTGTATGGATGCTGTAATAGTCATTATTTTTATCAATTTAATTAAATGATAACTTCCTTGATTAATCATTCATGATTGGGTTTGATTAACAGTCCACAAACGACAAAGAAAAGCAGAAAATCTTCACAATTAACAATTAAGAAACTGGAACAGAAGAATTAGCATACTCAACATTGGATGGATTATTCAACTAATTGCTTTTCTCTGGTTGTCTGTAGCTCCCCTCAGGTAGTGGTTCGTAATTTATGTGCACTCACTGGATATTGGGACAGCATGGGTGTCAGTGAGACGAGTAAATGAATGAGTGCCATTACCTCGTACAATCCAATCTGCACATCTGAGCATGGACCAGATAACCAAGACACTAACATGCATGTTGACTTGTGGCCTGATGCGGTTGCATTGATTTCAAGTAAAATAAATAAATTCCTTTAGCTTTTACCAGAGAAAGGAGCCTACAGTGGCAATGGGGAAACATCTGCAACTAATTGATTTTGCACATGCCTTGCAGCCTATGTGGTGATGCAATAAATGTCTATAGTTCCTAAATTGGAAGAATATGCCTGTTAATAAGCACAGGAAGATGCTATGGAAAGCCCCCCGCTAGGTGCAATGAGTTATGGATTGTGTGAAATAGGTAGTAGTTAGGAAAAGGCAAAGAAACAATGGCAAGTGACCAAAGAATAAATGTCAAACTGCCATATTATTATAATAATAATAATGTCTTTTGAGAGGAGCATCTGATGGATTTTCAGTACAACCGAGGTGCACTCTGGTACAGACGTGCTTTGATCACAGTAATTACTATTGGTGTTGATGTGTCTGTGGTTTTTGTGTGGGTTGTCATCAGGCATGTTGTCAGGGAATAACCTCTCATCACCTAGAGACGAGCTACTGAAATGTGAGTTAGCGTCCTTGGAGTCTTGATATGTTTAGGGACAGACTCTTGCAAGGGATAGTGTTTCCCTGGAAAGTCTAAAGTGCAGCATGAAAGTGGCCCTAACTCATGCTGCTGGGTGTTTTATATGATAAGCGTTCACCTCAATCAATCAGCAAAACACAAATCTAACTGTTCGTCAATCAATCTGTAGATGCATCTCAAGCATATCTGTTATAATACATGCTTTTGTAATGTTAGTAGTAAACAAAGAAAAGTTGGGGAAAATGTTTTGAAGCAAATGTCAAGATCAAATCTTGTCATATGCATACCATAGCATCTTTATGAGATTATAACCCATCTTTAGTCCATTATTCTGTCTGAACTAAAAGTAATCTTGTGTCATGTTATACATCTAAAACAACTGTCAGGGGCATAAAAGGAAATGCAGTTCAGTTCCTGTGTTGCTCAGACCACCCATGAGAGCTCACTGTGCATTTGTTTCTGTGAAAAAGTAAGGCCTAAACGTTATCAAACGGTCATTTTGTGTAATGGTGTAAAGTATTTGTCTCAACTTTGACATCCAAATGAGTTTTTATCAAAGTACAATCTGTTGCAAGCCAGAAGATACATCACTGTGTCAAGAAAACATTTTTAGTTACTCTGTCTCCTCATCATTTTAAATTCATTCAGTGTGATCGCGCAGTTTTGTGGGTGGGATTTGTACAACTCTAATTTCTTGTGATATGGGACAGTGATGAATGTCTGTTTTTAAAGCCATCTATCATTGTGGCACACTGCTGCGGTCTTCTTCTGTGAAAAAATACTTTGCTGGAAATAGTTTCCAGTATCAGACTTGAGACATGAGCAGAAAGGAGCAAAGGAACTTTTTTTTTTAAGAGACAGCTGATTAAATCTTTTCCTGTGCAGGGACTGACCTTGGATTTTTTGGCTTTGTGTGTTGAATCTTGGGAAGGGAGTTCAGTGTGTGACACATACATTTATAGTATGGCTGCACAATTAATCCAAATGTTATCAAAGTCACAATATGGCTGAGTGCAACATCCCACCCGCAAAAGCTGCAATTAAGGTTAAATGTGTGAGAAGACGGTTAGAAGATGTTAAAAAAACATGCTTGTTTGGTCCACACTTCAACAAATATCATCATCATCATGATTTTAATAGTTGTTTTTTTTCAGTGAAAATTAAAATGTATTTTTAACCATATCGTGCAACCCTAATTTATTTAAGAGTTTGTACCAGGACAAGGGAGATCTGTTCATTATAACATGACACCTCCGTTTCTGCCAAGAAAGAACTTTGTTTAAAAAGGAGCACTGAGAGTTTCATGAGGAAGATGCGTTTGTCATTTTTTAAAACTTTTTTTTAACAAACATTTTACTTTTATAAATGAGATTCTTCACCTGCCACTTGTTTCCAGTGACAGTGATGCTGGTTTGGGCCTGCAAAATGCAGTAAGAACCTAGAAAATCGTATGGATTTTTAAATCTTTTTGATCACCAAATGAACAATCTGACCACTGATTGGGTGTCATGTGGCTGTAGGGCTGTTTCAGGAACACAAATACCAGGAAAAATGCGGGAGAAAGTTGATTGATTGTGAGGAAGGAGGATTTTAATAAGTGACATAGACTTTGGGCTAACTACTTACTCCCTATTTTTCTGACATTAGCTTCCTGTTAAAAAGCTATGCTCACTTTATGAAATGCTATACCGGAAAGAATGGATTTTAAACAACAATATACAGTGTATTACTTTACTTTGTAATTGATGTCTCAGGGAAAGGTCCTCTGTCTTTTAGGCAACAAATCATATGATAACGTGTGATCAAACATGCTCTTGCTTCCTCAACTTTAACTTGGAATAATACTTTCCTAGAAACAAAAAGAAGTTATTTGAGATATTTAATTTTATAAATTCTACATGACATTACATATTGCTGTGCTCACTGTGCCGACTTCTGTGATCTTTCAGGTTGACGGAGCCTTCAGGATACCTCACCGATGGTCCAATCAACTACAAGTACAAAACAAAGTGCACCTGGCTCATTGAGGGCTAGTAAGTAACTTTTATAAATTTGTATGTTCTACTGATGCTGAACACGCGTGGTCTAATTTAATTATGCAGCACAAAGAGATTAATGCAATCAAATCAAATCAGGCCAGCATCTGTGTTGAAGGAATGCTTTTTCACTGTGGTATAAAGCGTGGTCTAGCATTTTGAGGGTGCAGAATGTTTTCAGAGGGGGGTTTGACTGCTACGTTTTAATCAGCAATCATTTAGAGAGAGGAAGCCTCCCTGTACCTGTTGATGCTTTTAACTGCCATGGCAACCACGGTCACTGTGAGGACAGAGCTGTTTGGAAACATTATTTCCCGGATTCGGAAGAGAGGGCAGCCTGTCAACACTATTTGTCTCTTTTACAATAAAGCAGTATACTTTAATGTACATTTTTTGTGACACCTTGTAAATAACAATTATAATTATACTACTGCAATTAGAAGTAAAGCCTGCGTGTCTGAATCCTGCACTGACTTGACAAAACAAAATGTGTTCGTCCATGAATCCCAAACCCTGTTTTTTATTGTTTCTTCTGCAGTCCAAATGCGGTTCTTCGGTTAAGATTTAACCACTTTGCCACAGAATGTAGTTGGGACCATATGTACGTCTATGATGGAGACTCGATATATGCTCCTCTGGTTGCTGTTTTCAGGTGAGAAGCTCCAAAGTGAGAGAGTGGGTTTATAATCAGAGCTAGGTCCACAGTGTTGTCACATGACCTACTATATTGATGTCTTATAGTGCACCCCACATCATAACTATATAACGGTGGTGACACAAATCCATGGTCAGTATCTATTATAACTTAAATAAGCATCTTTATCAGAGCAGATAGAAGTTTTTATATGTATTGATTAGAAGACAGCAAATAGGTATTGGTTGATGTTTTGTTTAGTCTACTCTTCACTGAATGTAGCATGTGTCTAGTTGTTGTGGTTTAGAAGAGGGTTAAGGGTTTGTAACTGTAAGTTGGTATTGGGTATGAGGTGTGATAAAGGGATGCCAGTGAATTTTCTGCACTTCTACAGCGGTCTGATCGTGCCAGAGATACGAGGAAATGAGACGGTTCCTGAGGTTGAGACAACTTCAGGCTATGCACTACTACACTTTTTCAGCGATGCTGCCTATAACTTGACAGGATTTGAAATATTTTACTCGTAAGTATCCAGGCTCTAGATTTGTAGAAGCAAAACATGATATATAAAACCTTAAATTGTTCATATATTTAATATTGGGCTCCTCCAGCATTGAGGTATTTTAAATATATTTTGAAGGTATTTCTCAGTTTTTTTTTATTGATGTGTCTAATTTATTATGAACTACAGTGTACTGGTTTTCCAGGTCCATTTATTACTCCTAGCTGTTGATGGATGGTAACATGTTTTTGCATCTCATATTTCAGCAACTTTTTTGCTGAACTGTAACCCACAGCAACAATCAGCGTCAACTGCTCTATAGTTTCTCATCTATTAACAATCTTTTATCCACCTCACCTTTGCCAAACACTATATGATGCTCATTAATCTTACTCAGTCTCCAAGTAAAGCTCTCTGAGTGGCCTAAATAGCGCGTAAAGTGTTGGCTAAATGAAAACACCTTTTTATCCAGGATCAACTCTTGTCCCAATAACTGCTCTGGCCATGGGAAGTGCACCCCCGGTAACTCAGTCGCCAGCAGAGTGTACTGTGAATGTGACAAGTACTGGAAAGGCGAGGCCTGTGACATCCCTTACTGCAGGAACAACTGCGGCAGCCCCGACCACGGCTACTGCGACCTCACCGGGGAAAAGTTGTGCGTCTGCAATGACAGCTGGCAAGGTAAGAATAAGCTCTCTTCAAACCCAGCAGACGTTTGCAAACATTCACATCCAAAGGAATGGCTTTAAGTATTGGAAGCAAGTAGAAATACAGCATTCACACCTAATAATAAAGACATAGTGAAGTATATTTTCATTCCACCACATTCCAAGCACTAAGTAATGAGTCACATGCATCACTTTTGCAACCACAGGTTGTAAAATGCCGCCGCCCCTCCCATGTCTGCTGCAGCAATTATGTAGGAAGATGTAATGAAGGCTATGTCAGCAGACGAATGTGAACAGCTGTGTTTTGTTATCATAATGCTGATCAGTAACACGTTGATAAGCCCTGTGACAGTGCATTATTATATGCCTCCAGCTGGAGGGAACCAAATGCTTTCATGCGATGAGACTTGACAGAATCATTAGCAGAGGCATGCGCCTTTTCAGCACAACCCTCACTCACACAGTTTAACATATTCACACCTCCCTGCCTGTCATGTTCGTTTACGGAGTGGTCATGCTTTTGTTTCGGTTTGAGAGCGACATCTTTGGTCTTAAAAGTTTCACTAAGTAGGTATGAAAATATGTGTCGGATGCTGCTGAAAAATTATGTCCTAAAAAAAAAAAAAGGTTCAGCATCAAATAAATGTAGTTTCATTATAATATGTTGTATATGTTGTTTATTTTCCATTTGAGTTTTTTTTAAACACCTTTTTTATTGGGATTTTTTCAGGGATATACAACACTTATAACAGTGAGAAATACAATTGCCTTTTATAATGTGCATAGAGGAATAAAAAAACATCTATTTTCATAAAGAAGTGAGCATTAGGCACTTATCCTGCTAGGCCTGGAACCGTAACAAACAGGCCCAATAAGAAAACAACAACTTCCCACTTAAAAGCAACTGTACATGAACATAAACGTACAAATGAGGATGTTCAATCACGCATTAATGTTGTCCATTTACTCCTACAAAAAAACAAAAAACACACCTTACAACTCCATAATTTACAACTTGAGAAAGGGGGCCCCACCTCAGCTGTCCTTTCTTTGTCATCCTGTCTTGTAGGCCCGGACTGCTCTCTAACTGTACCTTCAACGGAGTCCTTTTGGGTCCTGCCGAGTGTCAAGCCCTTTGGCACATCACTCGCCAGAGCATCCCATAGGGCTGTTGTGCAGGAAAAGGTCATGTGGGTTGTGGGTGGATACACCTTTAACTACAGTTCCTTCCAGATGATTCTCAAGTAAGTCATGACATAGCGTGTCTCAAAGTATTGATTTTTTTCTACAAGCAAAATGTCTGCTCACAGTGTACTGCTGAATGGAAAAACATCATTGTGCATTTATCCTTACAATAATAGGGATGTTGTTAGTTTAAGTCCAGTGTACAGTGAAGATCAACTAAACATGCCCTGCCTGCCAAATGTATCATCTTTTTTCTTATTTTTTTATGCTTCATTGAAAGCCCCAGTCTCAGACTAAGTACTGACAAAGATTAACTTTATTAATCCCCAATGAGGAAATTCTTTCTTTTGATGACCCAAGCCACTAAAGGAGGAAGTCAGAAAAAGCCGTTGGCTTCCCAGAATACTTTCTGTCAAGCAAGTCCTGTGAGAAAGCCCAGTGTTAGAGCTACCTGTTTCTTTTTGTCAAAACTGACAGGTGTGGGAGTCAAGGGCTGTGAGATGTGTAGATGCATTCAGTAAGCTAAATTGACGATGAAGTATTTAATGTTCTTGTTTCTGCAAATAAAATGCAGAATTGACTTCTGTACTGAGTCACATCCTGGCTCAGAGTTCACTGACAGTTTTTGTCGTCACTGCCTGGACAAGCTCTCTCCATCTGCTGAGTGTTTGTTCATCATTAGGTGGAAATCAATTGGGAAATTGACGTTGGGCTCCAAAAGTATTTTGAAATAATGGCCAATGTGGGATGACATGACCAGGTGTCTGGTTTTATTGTGAATGCCTCCAAACATCCCCCAGTGTGCAAAACCTTTAGCTAAACAAAAATACTTTTTTGTGACTGGAAGACTAAAGGGGTACATTTGGCATGAAGGACGCTGCTGTATTTTCTGTGCCTTGATTCAATTAAGCTGATCATGAAGTAAAATATGAGGTTTGTGTGAAGTCACAGGACAAACTAAGTGTGTGCAGTGTTTTTAGTATGCAGGTAAGAAATAGCTTTGGTGTTCTATACACATTTTCATACACCCAGTTGTAATGTTCTGTTGATTTGCTCTGCAGCTACAACCTAGAGAGTGGCATCTGGAACACAGTTCCCATCAATAGTGGCCCTGTGCCAAGATACGGCCACTCACTTGCTGCCTACCAGGTAAACACACACAGATATGCCTCAACCTCCCTCGGTACAAGGAATTTAGAAAGCCACAGCTGTTAGTAGGAGGGAGGGAGAATTAGGTTGGTGGGGGGGAGGAGGGAAGGAAACCACAACTGTCGCTTTCAAAGGGAAATTGCTTCAGTGCTAACCAATGTCATCATCTTTGAATAACACAAAGCTGAGAGATATGTTTTCTTTCTCATGACTATAAATCCATGATTACTAGAAAAAAGACTATTTCATTTTGTACATCTACAGTATTCCGCTTATTTAAAATAAGCAAGCTTTGTGGCTCTATAAACTGAACAGTAAATAGATGAAGGCTTGTTTGAAAAGGAACATTTTTATGTAATTATGTTTTTGACACACTTCCGCCTTTTCTTTCACTTTTATTACGGCATGCATCAACTTCTCTGCTTGCTTGTCTAAACATACTAAACAAATCCCTCCTCTTCTTTTCAGGATGATATCTATATGTTTGGTGGGAAACTAGAGGCCGGCTGGGGAAATGTGACAGACGAGCTGTGGGTGTTCAACGTACCCAGTCGGGTGTGGCAGCGTAGAAACCCTGTGGTTGGCCCACCGGCCCAGGCTCAGATTTACGCTGTGGAGGGTCACTCAGCCCACTGCGTCCTGCTAGACGAGGGCGAGGCCGTTATGCTGGTCATTTTTGGCTACTCCCCCATCTACAGCTATGTCAGCAACATTCAGGAGTACAATCTGAGTGAGTTTTAGCGTTAAGAGCCGACATCGTGACATGTTAGATTTTAGTTTGTTTATTCAGGCAAAGGAAAGTTCTGATTAGTGGCCCTGATTTTTTCAGTGTTTGAAAGTACCAAGCATTTCAGGAGGCTTTAATTGGCAGTAATGTGCATATCCTCTTCAAATAATTCAATTTCAAAGCCACATCAGGCAAACTGAGATATGTAGTGGTTTCAAATAGTAAATTGTGATAACTGAGCATAATTTACTGAGTGCTTTGAAGAAATGTTTTTCCTTCACAACTGTTTTTGATACTAGATGCTAAGATATATTGTGGCCTATTTTTTTTATTGTCAGAAAGATGTAAAAAATTTAAGTGAAAAAAACCCAACAACCTAGAAATCAGATTAAGTGCACACAACAGTCAACGTTTGAAGGGTGAAGCGCTCAGCAGTCTCCAAATGATTATGGAAAAATACTTTTTTGCTTTCTTCTGCACTAAATGCTTCCTGTGTATGTGTCCTTGTCAGGGTCCAACACATGGTTGGTGCCTGAGACCAAAGGGGCCGTTCCTCAGGGAGGTTACGGCCACAGCAGCACATATGACACTGCCAGCGGCAGTGTGTATGTTCATGGAGGCTATAAGGCTCTGCCTGCCAACAAATACGGCCTTGTTGATGACCTCTATCGCTATGACGTTAACACCCGGACATGGTAAATCAACATGACACAGACCGCCTTCTTTATTCATTATGCATTCATGTCTGTGTATATATGACACGGTGTGTTACATGTTTTTGTGTTACACTTGCCCTTGTCATGCACATGTTCCAGGTTCATTCTGAAGGAGAGCGGCTTTCCACGGTACCTGCACTCAGCTGCGCTCCTCAGCGGCACCCTGCTCATCTTTGGTGGCAACACACACAATGACACGTCACTCAGCAACGGGGCCAAGTGTTTCTCTGCTGACTTCCTCGCCTATGACATTGGTAGGACTCTTGACATTATGCCACAGTTTGAATGGTGACCTGGTTTTATTAGCAATCTGAATAATGTTTGTCATTATGTCATCCCAATTATTGTTTGTAAAAAAACAGTATTTTATACATAATACTACTTCTGTTAGTTAAAGTCAAGTATTTTTGGAGTACTTTGGGTGTTTTAAATTACACCTAATATGATATCGAGTGTTATAATCAGATAAGGTGATTTTGAGAATTATTAGCTAATGTGTAAATACATGTGTTTGATAAAGCTACCATATTATTCTTCAGTTTGTCCTCACTCTTTAATCATTCATTTTGTTCTCAACACAACCAAAAATTCTAAAAGGAATCACAGTGAAAAACAGCACCATGTATGTTACTTGACACAGTCGTGACATAACAAAAAACTAAATTTAGATTTGTCTTAACAAAAAGAAAAAAACATGTAAGCACACAGACAAACCAAATGCTCCCTTACACATGGTCTCATGTTTTTCTCAGCTTGTGATGAGTGGAGGCTCCTGCCTAAACCAGACCTGCACCGGGATGTCAACCGCTTTGGTCACTCTGCCGTGGTCAGCAATGGGTGAGTCTCTCTAATGGACTAAAACAAAGGGACAGATGCTTCATATAATGAAATCAGCTGTTGAAGCAGCGATCTTTTGTCTTCCTGCTGTGTTTTAGTTATTGTGCAAAGTGATGACACTTTTATGTTGCTGATACTTTTTTTTTTACTCATTAATTGCCTCAGAATATTTATTTTGTATACTTAAATTACAGTACTTTTGCATAGTATTAATTCACTAACTAGTCTCAGCAGTGGTGCATCTGTAATATGTCATGGCAATATTTTGCTCAATCAAATTCAATCAAATGTTTCTAGAAAAAAAAAAAAAACACTTTAGCGTTTGCTGCCTTTTCATTATTATTACTTTGCTTCACTTTTTTTCCTTAATAATTATATTAAATTAATTAATTATATTAGAGACTATCATAATATTTTATAAAAATGTGTCTTTATTGTGTTTCTTATAGTTTACACTCATGTTTTCATTACCAGGTCCATGTATGTGTTTGGGGGCTTCTCCGGCATGCTGCTCAACGATGTGCTTGTTTACCGACCCCCGAGCTGCCAGGCCTTCTTGGCAGAGGAGGGGTGTACAAAGGCCGGGCCAGGGGTCCGCTGCATCTGGAGCAGAGGCCGCTGTCTCCCCTGGGAACCCAGCATGGCTAATGGAAGCCTCAATTCTGCACCATTCTGCCCCCCTAAAGCTAGTGAGAAAGACATCCAAACCTTTTTTTGCATACTTGTCAGAGTTTTAATTTCTGGTTGATTCCTCCTTTCCAAATCTGCCAAAGAATGACATGTGGTACCTTTTATGCAGCATTATTACATCCCTGCCTATCTGCTCCTCCACACTACTCTGCAAACTGGAACTATTCCTCTGGAACTATTTATACCTACTAATAAATGAGTACACCTTATGTATTCCAGAAAGTGTATAATTTCTGGACCAGTTTCACACATGTACACTAATTCCTGCCCTCTGTTGTCCCTTTTTCTTATATATTTTTAGTCACAGTGGACGAGCGGTGCTACCGGTTCTCAGACTGTGCCAGCTGTACTGCCAACACTAATGGGTGCCAGTGGTGTGATGACAAGAAGTGCATCTCTGCCTCCAGCAACTGTACCTCTGTGAGTGTTCCAACAGGGGGCGTCAGAGCGCTTCTGTTCTTGTGTTCAGCTCACACAGAAACATCACAAGCCATGAAATCAAGTGCTAATTCAGGTTTTAACTTGGTGATTACAGTGCCACTGTTTAGGAAGAGAACAAACTGTTCTCCTAGTTGGAGTAATTGTGGTACAAACAGGGTTGTGTTTTAGAGGTGGAAGGTATTTATTGCCTTGAGTTTTCTCCACAGATCAAAACTTTTTAAAGCTTGTGTAACCATCCTTGTGTCCTTTCTGTTCTCTCCTCTATCGCTCTAGAATGTGAAAAACTTCACCCTGTGTCCGGTGCGGAACGAGCAGGTGTGCAGCAAGCTTGCCAACTGCAAGAGCTGCTCGCTGAATCTCAACTGTCAGTGGGACCAGAATCAGTCAGAGTGCCACGCTGTGCCTGGTGAGATAGATGTTGGATCCCTGTGCACTTTTCCATACACACAAACAGACTTTATCTTACTGAAGGATTCAGTCCTCCCACATGCTTGAGGAGAGGGTCAGGTATTCAGTATGTTCCAGTCAAGGATTTGGAGATTGAGGGACTTCAAAAGATAAATATACTGTTTTTTTTCTTTTTCTTTGTTGCTGTCTCTAGCACTTCAATCAGGATTTGTACATTTGAACATTTTACTGCACATCTGATTCAAACACAGCCTCTGGTATTTGCGGAGATGTCATCCTGATGTTGTTTATCAGGTCTGGCAGTATATTTAGTTTGTGCCTCGCCCTCCACCACCCATTTCGACATGTTGACTGTGGCTGAATCTGAAGAATTGGCGCAGTCTCTTTATCCTTAATGTTCCGTTCTGAAGTCTCGTCGCCTAAGGGCTTGTTACAGCATTGGGAGCTGCAAATCGTGTGTGTGTGCGTTTCTGATGCCTGATGATCTGCACGCGCTTACACACACATACAACTAAATGAGCACCCACCATATTTTTTATGAGGAGCAGTTATTAACAGGCAATTTTGACTCCAAAAATCTCTCCATCTCTCTAAGGCAAATAAGTGCTGATAACACTCCCGCTAAATCTGTGACATCCTCACACACACACACACACACACACACAAGTCCTAAATCTTTAGTCCCCTGTGGTTTTGAAAGAAAGCAGACTTCCTGCAATCTGCTTTCATAGCTATGTTGTCTAGTTTGGCACCCCTTGTTGAGCGGTATTTGACTAATTTTCTGATTTAAAGTGGATATAATTGATATTTTTATAGCAATGTATCAAATGATAATGTGAAAGGGTCTGGTCGTAGTGATGAACCTACGGAGAATTATCACCTAAATCTGCAGCGCTTCTCAGCTATAGAGAGCTTCATGAGTTTCAGCTCACTCTCACCACTCTCATAGCATTGTTTTCACATGCAGCAGTCAACTGTTGTCACTGAAAGAACTTCAGAAACCCTCTGTATACTCTCTCAAGATAATGCATTTCTGACAATTTTCACACATTTTGAGGGAATCTTATCAAAGTAGTTTCACATGTAAAGGCTAGAGGAGAATATATACTCACACATCTTCTCATCATGCTCCAGCCCAGCAATGCAGTGAGGGATGGAGCCAGGTGGGAGAGGCCTGCCTTAGGATCAACTCTAGCCGTGAGAGTTATGACAACGCCCAACACTATTGCAAGAACCTCAACGGAAACATCGCCTCACTCACCACCTCCAAACAAGTGGACTTTGTGCTTCAGGAGCTAAAGAAGCTACAGCAACAAGACAAGGTAAACCTACATTCCTAAATAAATTAAGTTTAATTTAATTAAATAAGTATTGACAATACATTGTTAAGTCATGGCTGCAGTAAATTTTGTATACCAAATATTTAAAGGTATCCTGAAAGCTTACAGCTGTTAAGGTTACAGCTATTAAGTTTACATAAGAAAACAGGGAGTGGTTATCTGTGAGTGGAGCCTGTCAGTAACTGATGAGTTACGCATTCAGAGATGATTTTCTCCTGATCAGTTTTGTATCTCTGTGCTGCTGTTTTTCTGTCTGATTGCGGCCCTCTTTTGAGCTGGTGGAATTTGTGTCTTTCAACCATTTCTCATCAAATTGTTTTCCACTTGGCACAAACTGTCCTGTTTGTTTTTGACTATGACGCAGTCACAAGTAGACATCAATGCTAGGCCTTACTTTCTGCAGAAACTGTACCTGATGAATCAGACTGTGATAATAACACTTCACTTAGTTTTGTTTTGCCGTTTTTTGAAATGTTTTATTCTTTTGTTGCACACTCACAGTTTATCCTTTCCGCTTTATATAACAAACCAGGGCCACATGACTCACCGTCTGTAGGAAACATAATAAGCACTTATAGCATGTAAGACATTGACTGCTGAGTCTGGTTTGCTTATAGTTTTTACTTTGGTCAGAGTAACTTCCAGGTTCCTTTTCGTTTTTATATTGTGCATATTTTAAACTTTCTAATCCATACTTAATCAGCAAAATTATATCAGCAGATTAACAGAAATCTGTGACACAGATTCAAAATGTGTGTGTGTCAAATTTTCAGACCTACAAGGCATGAAATTATTTAGTCCAGTTTAGCCAGCAATACAGTTAAGAACAGCTATTACAATATGAAGCATAAATGATGATTTGTGTATAGTCCTAACAATATCATAATTCAAGCCTCTTCATCTTTAATGGAAATGATTAAATGCGCTTTTGGGCAAATGTTTGCCTTCTCCTCTCACCACAGCTACACACCCCCCTCGCACTGAAAGAAAATTGTGGAGCCTACTGATGATTTTAGTTTGGTCATGCTTGTTGTATTCATAAGGATATAATTTGTTGTCAGTCTGCTTGGTTGAAACTCGCCTGTTTGTTCCATTCACAACCTTGACATGCCATTTCCCGTCATTTTCCCATTACATTAAAAGTTGAATCCTGAAGGCAAATAAGTAATCATATCTGTGAAATTATTTTCAGTAGACTTTTAATGGCATTCGTGGTTCCCAGGTGTAAATGTAGTAGCCATTCATTTCTTAAATGGCATGATGAAGCAGAAAGGGAGGAGCAGTTTTATCTCACATTTGAATACCCAGTGGCTTTTCAGGCCTTTGTAAGCCTTTTTGCCGTGTCTCCACAGCGGCTGTCACCCTGGGTGGGCCTCAGGAAAATCAACGTGTCATACTGGGGTTGGGAGGACATGTCCCCTTTCACCAACAGCAGCCTGCGCTGGCTGCCTGGCGAGCCCAGTGACTCTGGTTTCTGTGCCTACCTGGAGGAGCCTCAGGAGTCAGGACTTAGGGCCAATCCATGCACTGCCACTTCGCACGGCCTCATCTGTGAAAAAGCCACAGGTGAGAGACGCACATGCTTATACTACGTGAATATTACAGTCTGATTTGAAAGAGACTCATTGTCATTTCCTTCTGTTTTGCCCCTATTCTGTCCAGGAAACCCCAATCAGAGTACCCGTCCATCCTGTAAGAAGCCTTGCTCGCTGCACACCAACTGTGCCAACTGCACCAGCCAGGCCATGGAGTGCATGTGGTGCGGCAGTGCGCAGCGCTGTGTCGACTCGACTGCCTATGTCATCTCATTTCCCTATGGCCAGTGTCTGGAGTGGCAGACTGGAGATTGTGTGGGTAAGTGTCTTTTACTGAACTTAATCTAGATGAGGCTTCTCCTGCAGTGTAGAGTCTGGCATTAAGGTTGCCGGCAAATAAGCTTTCCCAGATTGGCTTCGGTAAGCAGTTAATATTCATCACTGAGAGAAAGGAGGTTAAGGGAGGAAAACGGCTTAAAGTGGAAGGTGTTTGTGTCAGTGGGAAGATGGTATTAGTTTCCTGTGATTGGCTTTGGAAGCTGTTTTTAGTTTGTAATGGCCAATTACTCGCATATATATGCCCCAACTGTTAGATTTTCCTGTTGACCGTGCTGCAGCTGTACCATTATCTGAGTTAAAGTGTTTTAAAGAGTTACGTACCAGGGAACATTTTCAGAGATGCCTACAAATAACTTCACTCTATGAATGGGAAGAGAGCATAATGGGTGCACATACTGTATAGTAGTGTGAATGTTTTTTTTTTTTGTTTTGTTTTTGGACTAGAATTAAGGAAATCACCCCGATCTCACCCAAGATGTTTTTAAACCACTAGGATGTATCAGAAATAAACAGACAGTGCCTTAATTAACTCAAGCTTATGTTCAACTTACTGTGAAATATGCCACCTTTGAGGTTAGTATACTTATTAGGTCAAAGGTCAGTGAACTTTGCTTTCATTGCGTTAACAAAGCCTCCATAACATTAATACTAATAATAACCAAGATTTAATAAAAGGTTTTTACAGTTTAACAAATGTGCACCCACTCATTGAAATACTTCTGACAAAGCATTTTTTTTTTAAATAACAAGATAATGTAAATAACTTAATGAATAACTTCTTTATTCTTTATAAAACACCACTTACAAGGTGCTTTACACTCAAGACAAACAATTCCCACGGCAGTGAAGAAAACATCAGCAGGAAAACAGATTACCAATGAGGGTTGGATAGATTGTAATAGGCTAAAACACATTTGATTCCTTTGTCATTCTTATTCATTATCATGTCCAAAACTAAATTAAAGTAGTACTGGACACAGGTGATGAATGAATTATACCTGTAGTTGTGTCAGATCATAAAAACATCTCAGATCAGTTTAGTGAGTAACAAATTTAGGGAGCTGAAGGGTACAGTCTCAAATTCATTTGTGTCAGCTGGTGTTAGGTTACCCAGAGACGTTTCTGTACACTGTGGATATTTGTCTTGAGGAATTTGTCCCTTTTTGGCGTGAAGGACACAGAAGGGTATCCTATAAATTCTGTCTTTATTTACAGCTCTTTCTGTTTGTTCTGCTCCTTCACATTCACTCTCAAAGTTTCAATCACCACTTAAGTATTAAATTATCTCACCTACTTTATTCCTTTCCTCCTCATTTTCAGTGCATAGAGAGGCATGCTTTATGCTGAGTACACTGCATAAATGCACTTAAAACCATAGACCTAGGATAAAATATTCTGTAGTGTCATTGCCTGCAGGGGGACTTTGAATAGGTTGACTGGGTCGTATTTGTTTCTCTCAGTAGAGAATTGTCTAATTTTGCAGATCTGAGGTTGGACAAGTAGTTATTATTTGTGAGTTGCGAGTAGTTTGTTGCTTTGCTATGGGGAAGAACTTTATATATGGCCTTCAACAGTTGTTTTAGTGAATTCTACGAATAAGTAATCCAAAATGCCTCTTCACCTTCTTTTGTAGCCATATCTTACCAGATCAAACAGTCGAACATTTCGACATCACATCGGTACTATGAACTATCTGTTTCATCAAGATGGGCCAGAAAAAACGATTCCCCTCAAGCTACATTTAGTTCAGACAGAATTTTAAACATGCAAGGTCGAGTTGACTTTCCCTTTTTCCTCATGGCATTTTCCTCAGTCCTTGATTTGATCTTTTATGTTAGGACTGGCCTGCATGTTCCCTAGTTCTTGCAGTTGTGATGTGTAGACTTGTACTGGGTGTACTGTCGGTGGGTAGCTGAAACAATTATTTGAGTTAATTTTTCATGCACAAATGACAAAAACTAACAAGCTCCTGCAACATTGACAATTTGAATATGTTACCTTGGGGCTCTGGGAATTTATGATGTTTTGGTCATTTTACAGAAGAAAAAGATGAATAAGTTAATTGAGAAAATAATTTGGAGATTTAACTGGTGATGAAAATAGTCATTTGTTGCAACCCTAGCCTAGAGACAGTTGTTAACATGAGGGCAGCCCCTTGTTTTTAGTTTATTTATTGTGTTTTTATAGCAAATTAAGGCATTAGCAAGTACTGGAAAATAATAATTCTGTATCTCTGCAATCACAGTATTTACACACAGTATGCTTTGGTCTTTAAAAATAGTTTTCATCATATTTTAAGAGGCCCTGGCCTGACTTCGAACTCTGTATAGAAATAGTAATCGCTCAGACACAGAACTGGTGAGGTTTTCATTTTGAACAATTCATCTTAGTAGTCCCTGTGAAATCCAGTAACAATACTGTGTAAGCCTGCAGACAGAGATGTAAGTAAATGTAAGCACAAGTGAATGTACATCAAACTGATCATATAAAATCTGATTACAGGGACACCGGTTATATTTGCTTGGCTGGTGAAAACGACACTGGAAGAAGCATAACTTGCTTTGCTGTACAGCTACCATCCAATGTATATAACAGCTCCAGCCATCAGATTTAGTTGTTTACATTCACCCATTTCGAATATCTGTCAAAATTCAATGCGAAATACAGTATGTGGATTATTATTTTTTTTTATATGGAGGATTTTGTATTTCAACATGCTTTTGTGTTGTGGCAAGACACAAGTGTTCATCCAGCTGCTTCTTTTCTCTCCGAATGTTATGTTCCTGAGAAATCTGCCACTTACGTTCTGTCTTCAAAACACACTTAAATGGCCTTACTTTGTACTGATTGCCCTTGCGTTGTCATGGTTTCACATCCATTAGTAGAATAGCTGGAGATTTGTTTGACATAAACTGAGGTAAAAGCACTCAATGTTTGTCTCCTTAAAATAGTAGTGGCATTCCCCCCCCCCCCACAAATATCTGTCTGGCAGGCAAGAGTGGCGATGCTGAAACTTGTCAAGCAATTTAGTGGCCTGAAAGTTCGTCCCCCAACTGACAAAACGGCATTGCTCCCTTGGGTTTCATTTAGAGTGAGGCACCACTTCACACATCACTTTTATGTCTTCCATTGAACTCTGCTCAAATCACAAACTTTTCAGCTGGCTCCGGTTCGCTGACACATTTTCGGTTTCATTCCACGGCTTTTTCCCCTCTCGATCATCTGCTCTCAGATCTGTTCAATGACATCTCACTAGCTAACCAGGTTGTGTTTCAGTGCAAAGCACATTAAGGCGGCTCAATCTGTAGTTTGCCCTAAATTCTAAGAAATTCATGAAATCCAACAAAATAAAATCTTTAAAGCAATATCTTTTTATTTTATAAGATTGAATTTGCTGCAGCATTGGGCCTTGTTTTTAATGCTTTGCAGTTGCTTACATTTTGCATGCTGCTGTTTGTTTCAAGGTGACTACAGGTAAATAAATGTTCAAATGAAAAGACGTGGACAACTGTGACTAACACAGGAAAATAAACAAAGTAGTTAAGGTAGAGTTTGACTATAAATCATTTTGAAATGCAGCAAAGGCAACCGTAATGGAAACGTTCCAATATGATATTGGTAAGAAATGCAACACAGGTCTCTCACCTTGCTTTTCCTTCTTTTTAGCCCAGAACTGTTCAGGCCTGCGGACATGTTCCCAATGCTTGGAGCAGCCTGAGTGCGGCTGGTGCGGAGATCCCAGCAGCACGGGGAAGGGTCTCTGCATGGAGGGCTCCTATAGGGGGCCGATGAAGAGACCGGCAAAGCAGGGCCTGCAGGGCCAGTCCCTGGACATGATCCTGGAACCGGGCAGCTGCCCCAAAGACAAGGGCTATGAGTGGGCCTTCATTCACTGCCCTGGTAAGGGATCTACTTCCTGTCTGTCTTACTGAAATTACAGATCACGCCGGGAGAGCTTGTCTTGAGAGGTTGTTATTACCTATCGACTTTCAAGTGTTAAGTTTAAAAATATGTTCTTATCGAGGATTTGGCTTACAGATTTCCTATGCAACCAATCCCTCCCTGCTGACTCTATGCAACCTTATGCTAGTTTGCCATTTAATGCTTTCATCAAGCCCCAGTCCATACAACCACATCATGTAAGATGATAATATACTCAGTGCTACAGTAGTTGTAATTCGAGAATGTGAGGCGTGCTCAGTGGCTCAGTGGTATCCGTAATGTGTACAAACCTTTAATCAATCTGAACTCACGTGTTTTGGTGGTGCAAATAAGGTTTAAATCCATTTGTTTCACAGTAGAGAGTGAACTGATGCAAAAAGACCAGGGTAGGAGTGCATTTTTAAAGTACATTTTCCAAGCACTCAACTGTAGTGACTGCCCTACTATTATGCAAATTTCAGTGGTAGAGGTGAAATGGTATAACTAACTTTAAAGGTGGAATTAATTGTAACATTTCATACTTAGTGTGGCTGGAAAATCAACACAGCCGACTTTGATTTCGTGTCAATCAAGATCATTTCCATCAAACGTAAATTTTTTTATTTTAAGACACATGGATGTAGGTTTATTTTAAAAACTGCAGCCATTAAAACAATATTTTAAAAGGCGAGTGTATGATTTAATAATAATTAATCTGACATGGCAGACACAAGAACCAATAGTAACAACCCTAAGGTGTAAGTTGTGTTGGGCTGGTGTCAAATCCTAGTTGTTTATTAGCTACAGGGAGGATGATCAAAATTAGACACAAATTATTCAAAAATGACTCTTATGTGACTGCAGACGGGGGGAGAATGTGACTGCAAGCATGTTAGTAGAAATTAAATCTTCTTGACCTAAATCATTAAAAATGAATATCCTTGTTAATTCCACCTTGCTCTCTGCCCCCGCAGTATACCCCCCAATAAGGATATAGTACCTATAGTTTGGCTTAGTTGAGCTAAGTGTGACTTATTTCCAAAATATTTATCTGAAGGGAAGTTGCAGGAAGTTAAAGCAGTGAAGTTGACTGTAATCCTGCTGTTGCACGGATCCTTAACCTCGCTGTTTTCTCTCGCAGCATGCCAGTGTAACGGCCACAGCACGTGTGTGAACAGCAGCGTGTGCGAACAGTGCCGTAACCTCACCACCGGTCCCCACTGCCAGACCTGCATGCCTGGTTACCATGGAGACCCGACCAATGGCGGCAAATGCCAGGGTGAGTGCCGCAATCGCCACAGAAATTAGTTATTTTGCACGCGTAACACTTCATGGATTTACTTGTTATCATTTCGGTGAAGCGGCCGACTGATGTAGTTTAACCCTCTTTAATCTTTTCTCAATCATCTGTATACATTTAATTTCAGTTAACAGCAGATCTACATTAAGTTTAAACAAATACAACACAAATTACCTTCTCTATTAATTTGGACTAGACCTGCTATGTGTAAATGATAATTAAAATTTTAGAGGAATATAATCTACTTATTGAATTTTAAATAGTATGTTGCGTGCTCAACATATATTAATACAGCATCATATCCAACAGAGGGCACTATTGTTTATTGATTAGAATTGGTGACAATTTGCCTGTCCTGTTTGATTAATGGGAATATTACTCCGCGTGTTGTTTTCATAAAGCGTTGAGGGAAAAACACCTAAAGGCCAAATAGACATCTGGTCTCTGTTGGTTTGTTTTTGCTGTGGCAATGCAGTTGTATAACCACTACATACAGTGTCAAGATTAACTGTGTTTTCCTGACGGTATAATGTAGAGCAGAGATGTGGTACACTGGGAACTGCAGGTGAAGCTGAAGGTCAAATACTGACTTGTACTGTACTTGTATTACTGTGATTTTCCACACCTTAAAACCATACTTTGCTGAAAATAGACATACCTCCTGTATCTTGATTGAAGGTATACACACACACACACACACACACACACACACACACACACACACACACACACACACACATGATGCATACAGGACTATTTAGACATGATATGAATTCCAACAAATGTATCTGCAGTTTTAATTGTTTTTCAAATTTTCAGGATGTTATATTGAGGTTCTCCTCTCTGGATATAAAACAGTTTTGAGTTTTTGAATAGCACATGTAGCAGATTTATTATCTGGGTCTCCTGCTCAATGCAGAATAAATTTCCTTGAGTGACTGCAACCCATAATTTATACAGCATTCTTGTTTTCAAATCAAAAGCACATAATGCTTGCTAGGATTTAACATGAGGTCGTTAGCATAGGAATGGGCATTTAACCAAAGATAAAAAATGACTGCATGTGCATTTGATAACAGTGTCAGAGTGTTTTTTTTATTATTTGATAACAGTGTCAGAGTGGTTTTTTTTATTATTAAACGAATTGGAGATTATTGAAGACTGGTTGTAGAGCTTCCTTGTCAAGAGATTCACCCACACATGTCCCTTATGAGACATGAATAGCATTCCTGAGAAATTACATGAAAGCTATTGTTGAAACACACACACACACACACACACACACACACACACACACACACACACACACACACACACACCTTTGAGCTTTATGGTCACAGATACCATCTGTTAATGCATAGACTATAGCTGAAACCTGTAAAGTGAAACTACACAGGTGAGCATCCGTGAAGGGAATCGTCTTCTTATTCTTTCGGAGCCCGGGGGACGAAATGACTCAAAATCATTATGTGCCATTACTACATGCTAATACATCCATTCTCTAATGTGAAGACGGGGGATCCATTACATCTTCAGTGTTTGTTTTACGCACAATGAAACCCCTTTGATCACCAGCTGTCAATAACAGCAAGTGTAAGAGAAAGTGCTAAGACACTCAGTTAAAAGCAGTCCTGTCACCTGAAATATTAATATGCCATATTGGGAAATGTGCTAAGAAGAAGGTTTGACATTGGGAGGGGACACTGTGTCCACTGACCCTTCTGTAACGCCCCTTCTCAGTGTTTTAATGCTTAGTCAACTGAAAGGAATAGGTCAGTTTTTTGTCCCACAAATACAGACCTGAAAGGCTGCCACACTAGAAAGCACTTCAGAAGCCAATTCATTCATCTTTCACACATCTATTGCTGCACTGTTTGTATTCCACAAACATACACACACGCATGCCTAGCAGGTATCGTGGTGTCCTATCTGGGGGTGGGGGGTATTTTTTTCCATCATGTATCAGATCTTTGAAGTTCATCCAATCTTTTGGGAAATACACTTGTTTACCATCTTACTTGGATCAATATCAATTTCATCTCTGCGTGTTCAGTACAGCCGAAGAGATGTACCCTAGCTTTGCACAGACACCGCAAAGCAATGGGAAATTGCTAGCCTAGTGCTTAAAGGTATGAAAAACAACTGTTATGGCACAGAGTATGGGAATTTAAGGCTTTATTGTGCCCTCAGGAGATCCCGAACTCAAACATTTAAACTGATGTTTGAAATTCCCAACTGAACATGAGCACAAACAAACCAAATCTTCACTTAATCCACATTTTCAGCTTTATTTAATGCTAATCAAGAATGTCTCTGTTCTCTCTCTGTCACCCTCCCTCCCTCTCCTCCATCTTTTTCTCCATCTGTGTTTTGTTATCCCCTTCCAGCCTGCAAGTGTAATGGTCATGCAAGTGTGTGCCAGGTGTTAACTGGCAAGTGCTTCTGCACAACCAAGGGGATCAAAGGAGACCAGTGCCAGCTGTGAGTACACACACACACAAACCCACACTTACAAGCATGAAAAAATCAGTAGTACCTTGCTGCCTTGTAGTGTTGTAAATGGTTGTGTTTTGCAGTATTTCATGGTAGAGCTTTGTATTAGTACCACGCTGGGTCATGGTCGGTTCAGCATCTCTAGAGCTTGTTTCCAAAAGTTCAGATCTTTGACACAGAGGTCAAAGGAGAGATACACCGTCAGTGTTCCTACTGAAATTCACTGACTTAAAGTAATGCCAATCAAAAGGGAGTCTCTGGGCTGCCTGTCACCGAGCCAGTAATCACTTGGGATGGAGCCCTGATGAAACGCTCGGGGCTATTTTAAGGGAAACCCAGTTTGACAAGTGGGACAGATACATATGGGATGGTATTGTGAGCTGTTTATGCTATTTTGCTTAAAAACCCCTGAAAATGGGTTCGGTGATTTCAACATATAAATAAAATCAATCTTTATGGACGCCCTGCAGATTTTAAAGAGGATAGTAAAGACATAGTGAATTTCCCCAGTGTGGGATCAATAAAGTCTATCCTATCGTCAATACAGATGCATGACAGTTGGTGTGAAGGTAATCAGCCCCTTGCTTGTGATTTAATATTGTCGGACAAAATGATTGATAACATGACATTGAAACGAATTACAGTACATCATAATGGATGGTAGGAGGACCAGATGAGTTCTTTTCTTTCTTTCACCAAATGGTTACAAACGAGTACCTAACATACAATTATTAGATTAGGATTGTTTCTCTCCAAGTGGATCAGTGCATTTGTAATTCTGTCTGTAAAGCAATTTCTTTGGCATTGGAGAGCTGTCAAGACATAAGAAAATAAGTATGTACTCATTAAATGGAGATAAACTTTATTTCATTGTGAATCATGGCATAGTCTGACTTTCAGTAACCTCTTTGTTTTTATTATGTGCTAGGATTCATGGACTGTGAGGTCACAGTTCATATAGAAAACATAGCAGGCAAACTAAATTTGCAAATCAAATGATTCTCACAGTGCATTTATGAGCATCGATTTCCGAGCAGCCCTTCTCCTGCGGAAGCTTGCATGCTTTTATTATTCAGTCGTGTAAAAACAGAACCATCAGTTGGCATTAACTTGGCCAGAAACTCCCCCTCCAGCACGATTTCTGCTGATGCTGTGGATTCCCCAGGTGTAGGAGGACCATCTCCACTTAGCTGTCAGGTTTCCCCCCTCCCTCAGTTGTAAGCAGAATGGACACTGATGTTTTTAATACCCCTAATGCAGTAAGAGTTATGGTGGGGTCACTGGGAAACATTAGTGCACATACACCCCCCCCCCATACCATACAGTGGGCTTTCTCTCTGAAAATCACGCATTCACGCCGTTCTCCGTTTGTTCAATTGCACATTTCACACCGTATTTATCATATTTATACAACTGGGACGTTTTCCCGCTGAATACAGTGACTAGATTAGTCAGCAAAAGTCCCATGCAGTTGTTAGGGCGAGCTTAACCTGTGGAAAACAACATTTTTGTGTGAGTGAGTAGACAAGTGGGGACTTTTTACTCAAGTGCTGTGTTTCTCATCAAAACACATTGTGTGAATTTTAATACATCCGACATAATTGGTGGCATTTTTATTTTATTACATATTTATACTATAAGTGACTGTTGAGAAGAACTGTAGTTAGTCAACTTATAGTTATATAAATGAATATAAAATGTTCCTGTTACACCTTTTGTGTTAAGAGCAGTGGTTTCAGAGCAACAAAAACGCAGACAACCAGCATGTTGGAACAGACAAAAGAAAGTTTATCAACAGAGTTCATCTCTTCTGAAATGGGGAGGTGATGTCAGCGCATTGGAGACATATTCACAATATGCAGGAAAACTCATAGAGTGAGAGAGCATGTGAATGTGATGAGAGCAGAAGCAAAAGAGGGAGGAAATGGAGAGAGAAAACAAAGGGAAGTGCTCAGAACGAAGCTACGCTGGAGGGGGAGTGAGACCTCTTCAGAACCTGCGATGCTCTCTGTTGACTTTGACAGTAAATAAATGACAGTTAGCGCAAACGAGAAAATGTCACATTCATTTGCACTACCAGATGGAATGCGGTGCAGTACAATGCCGAGCAACACTTCAATGGCAGGTGGCTAACAGTTGATACAAATGACACAGTTTCTACCCCACAAAATCAGAGTGAGATACCAGAACAGGCCAGACACCAGCAGGCCAATCATCATCAGCCATTTAGAGGGAGGATGTGCCCATACAGGTCTGATGCCAGCTTTGGGGAAGGTTCCTACAGTCCATTACTGATTATCCGTTTAGAATTTAGCCAGCAACATAAACTACCAGAATATGTTGTTAATTTCAGTCCCATTTACAGACTGTAATTAGATTGGTGTTGTCATAATCAACAATTGGTGCCTTTAATCTCAAGATCAAGATGCATTTTCACAATAAAACATGTTTGAGTTATCAAGTAATCACTGTTTTTTCCAAGCATAATCTAATCAGTTTGTGTATGTATTGACTGGCAGTTGGGGTGGGGTGTTTGCCGTTCCCTTTTTGTAATGTAATTTCTGGTATCTCATTACATGTAATCAGTGTCTCCCTCAACCGATGTGAGCCACTCTCTCGCACCATCCCCAGCAGTAACCCTTTAAACAAAGACCTCTACACAAGGGCACTCTGTCTTTCCAGTGGTGTACACAAAAGTACACACATGCACACGTTCACACATGCATGCACCGCAGACACCGATGCCATTAGGACCTCCGAATAATAGCTGTCGTAATGAAGTGAAGGGTGCATCGGTGCAGAATAGAATTGTTTTTGAAAAACAATTGATGAGGTCTACACTGCGTTATAGTGATGAGTCAAACAAGAGCGGTTAGGGGGAAATATTTCTTATTATAGTGCTCATTTGGATGCATACATTATTCAGGACTCTTCTTGCGCTGGAGGTAGCGGCGTGTACATGCGTGTGTACATGCGTGTGTACATGCGTGTGTGCATGCGTGTGTGCATGCGTGTGCTTCACCCTGCGTATGAATGAAGGACATTGTGTAGGTTCACAGCACATTTCTTCTGTTGGTGTGGGTGTGTGTATTTTGCCGGCTAGATGTGTGCGCAAACACAGATGAAAGGTTCATGTGTAGATCAAATTAAGATACAGTGGAGGGGGATCGCCTGAAGTTCAGATGTGTGCACGCATGCATGCAGGTGTAGATTAAATTAAGATACAGCGGAGAGGAGTTGCATTATACACTCCACGATGAGTGGTGCATGTGCGTTTTGCCATCTGCAAATGCCAGGCGGCTGAAACACCCCAGGAGCCATGTTCCGTAAGGTTCAAAAGCCCGTGGAGGCATTTGTCCTCCGTCCTTTCTACCGTGGTAAAAGAAAACTCTACCAAGTCCTCGCTGGCGCTGGCTCCTCCCCAGCTCAGTGCCCTGCCCCCATTAGATCCTTCATGGCACTGATGTCCTTCAGGACTTGCTGGTTGGATATAGAGACAGAATCTGTCTTGATCAGGTCAGGTGATATTGTTAAAGCATGCATTTACTATGCATGTCTGGGACATGATGTCATCAATATTAACAATTTAAAATGAAAACATTATTTTTTTTTACTTCACAATATGACTGTATTTCTCCCTTATATTTAAGGTGTTGGAAATCGTTGTATGTGTTACCTCCACTCGCATCCGACTGACATTTTTTTGTGTAGCGCCGTTGACGGTGACACCGTCTGTCTTGTGAATCCAAAATGCTACAAAATAACCGATGTTGCGTTATTTTTAGAGGCAGAGTCATTCCTCATTCACTGTAACATCACTAACAGCCACCTCCTCCTCCTCCTCTGCAGCATTCGTGTCTCTCAGTGGGTTTGCTCTGTTCCCTTGTTCTTCGCCCGGCGCGCTCTCTGACTCCTCGACACAACCTCTGATATTCACATTTCAACAAGTTTAATTGGTTGTACTTAAGATATGACAACTGTGGAACAAATTTGGTGTGATAATAGTGATCTTATATGTTTTAATTGCCATGTTAATTCCACTTTATTAATGCAGTTCTAGCACTCGTGTGTTTTTACAGCCGAGCAGTGACATAGGTTTTCAGAGTAAATTGTAGACAATTAAAGATTGAGAGACAGAGCAGTGAAAAACATTAAAAAAGGAGATAAAGAACACTGTAATTCATTGAACACTGCCATATGTTCCTCCAGCCCTTTGGAAAGTCATGAGCCTGATAAAACACACTCATGCACACACCTTCCCCCAGAACAGTCGATTGGACGCTGTGGACGTTAACTCGGTAGCCCTTCATTTACAAGTCAGACTACTTTGGCTGATACCACGATGTCTCTGTTGTTGTGTGAAAACTGTGTATAGTGTTCAGCTACAGTGGTTTGAGCTAACTGCATGAACTTACAGCACCTTCTATTCAAAAGATGTACAGGAAAAAGAGGGACTAAGCGGTTGCATACGTTGTAGAATCAAGTTCATGCAGCACTGGACCACTTTCATTGTCAAGAATCAGTTGGCATTTGTGTCTTCCATTTTTGAGGAGAGTGGCGATGGTCGAGGCTCTAAAATTAGAATGTATGTCAACTTACGACAATGGATCGGAGGCAAGTGGAACCTAGTAATTGTCCAATTTGCACACCCTGTTTGGACCCTCATTAGCTGGAGTTATAGATTCATTGAGCCTGGGCTTACAGTCATTTCACACTTTTTTTTCACCCAGAAAATACAAAACATGGGCTTAGTGCATTTACAGCTTTAGTTTTCTGGAAATTACTACTTTTGTTTGTTACAGTTGCATAGTTGTATTGTCATAAGAATTGGAAAAGCTATCTTGCGTCACTGTGTGGTACACTCAAACTGTATATTTCTTCGCTTGTGAGTATTTTTTATTCCTGTGTGCCTCATGCATACAGGTTTTTAAAGTGCGTTGGTAGTTTTGTGTTTTTAAAAAAGTTCAGAACTCTAACAGACTGAACAGCAGAATTAAAAATGCAAAGGTAAGTACAGTTGATATACATTTTAAATGAAAGATTGAAGTACTCAAAGTACTACAACGTGCACTGCTTTAAGCCCATGTAGCTGCTGTACACGGTTTTCTGTTGAAGTTTGCTTTTTTGTTTTCAAGCCGTTTTAAAGCCAATCACATTTTTGTTTAGGTTTAGCTTTTGTTCTATTGCCACATTGCATTATTATTATTATTTTTATTTCCCTTAAGCTTTGATAAGATTTCGGTTTTGTTTACATGCTAAACAATTCTAACACGGGTTAAAAGATATTGTACAATGCAGTGGATGCTAAACTCCGCTCCGTATCGGGGTTATCTTTGATCTTTTTGGGTTATCTCCAAAACCACGGCTTTAACACTGCTAGGAATCGAGGGGAGAATCAAAAAAGTTGTGTGACGATCATTTGGCAATCAAAGGTAAACAAGCCATGTGCCGTGAGCGTCACGAGGATGCCTACCCTGAGCTCCGATTATCAAGTCTGACTCCTAAACCTCTGAGTTAATAAACATGAGTGTGAAACAAAGATAAACTCGCCCCGGGCTTTGTCTGGCCTCTTGTGAACTTTGCATTCCCCCACTCTCTTGCTGTATATCTTGAATGAGCACAGTTTGATCTGATCCATCCCTTAAAAAAAAGGATTCACTTTAATTGGTGGTTATTCTTGATTTGGCTTTCACATCAGTTTCGGATTATGTATCTTAAATAATCAAGTAAGAATTCATTTACATAAGTTGTGTTGTTTGCTCCAAGGATTTTAAAGGATAAAGATACTACACTCTCTGCTCTGGGATCAGGTGCTACATGAATTTTGTTGCATGTCACTGTGTTGCTTTGATAAACAAAAACTTGAAAAAGAAAAAAAAAAAAAAAATCTAATTAACTTTTGCAAACTATCAGATTATTTCCTCGTTGTCAGAAGGAAGGCTTGATGAGGCGCCAACAGCAGGAGCTAATGCGCTGGCACTTGGCATACACTGCTCCCGATAAGAGGCATTCTTGCTCTCAATCTGTTAGCACTCTTCTTCATCTTGTTCTCTCCTCTCTGTTTTTCTTCACTGCAGATGTGACTCAGAAAACCGTTACCTTGGCAATCCACTCAGAGGAACCTGTTACTGTGAGTAATTCTCCACTGGACAGCTCATGCACTCACACCGACGCACACATCGACACAGACACGCACACACCTCCTTGATTATTCTTGGCTATTCTCTCTCTGCTTTTCTTTCTGTCTCTCTCTCTCTCTCTCTCTATCCCCACTTCTACACTATTCCGCTCAGGGCAGATGGAGCATTTTAGCACTTTGGCACCAGGGGCGCTTGTTCGGTGACAGAATGACTTGTCGTGAAAATGTCAAGTGCATCAGAAGGAATGAGTGATTGAGCTAATCAAGGAGACGGAGGAGTAAAAAGTCTCCACTTGTCTACTCACTCACTCAATCACCCACCTACTCATTCATTCATTTAGAAAGTTGACTAAATGTTAGTTTGACTTGAGTGTGCAGTACAAGGGAAATATATATCAAGGTGAGTGATGCAAAAAGCTGCATTATGAAACAAAAATGACATGAAGTTGACACCCTGTGCTGACAAGCGGTAGCGGCTCTGTGCCTGTATTCCTGTCTGCACATGTTGGCGTTTGGGCTTTGTGTGTTTATTTGCATGATGCGGTGTCCTTCACGGTGCTGCAGTATGTCTCTCTTTCAACACTCTGCTACTGACAACAGAGCCTTTGCCAAGGTTTTGTCCCTTTTTTTGAAATGCCATAGCCTGACAGCCTGCTCAATGAGGGGAAGATGGGAACTAAAAGCCTGGAGCTTGCTTTAACCTCTGCACACCACTGGGACTTTTTTCTTGAGCTCTGTTACGCAGTATTGTAAACACAGACACTCCCGACTAAAAAGCCACAGAGTGTGGATCAACATGCCGCACTCATTGTTATCCAGCTACTTCGCCGCATTCATTAGCCGACTTGTCACTGTAACCCGTAATTTTGAGCTCACTTCTCTTATCTCCCAAACAGTTTGTGCAGTTCCAACTGTTTGACTGTCATATGCGTACGTACACACGCAGTCAAACGGAAAATCTTTTTTTTTTATTATTATATGCTGAGAAAATCACATAAACACAGTTGATGTTCGACAGCTTTGTTTGTGGATGTTGCAACCACTTACTTACAAATATCCACTACAATATTTAGCATTTAAAGTTCAAACCTGCTAAATTTCTAACACGGCCTTCTAATGCATGATCTGCTACAACCACACACACAATGACATCCAATCACTTTGACCTGAGTATCTGTAGAAGAAATCATTTTAGTTGTATTTATACAAACAGGTTTCAGATTACATCATCTTGATTTATTGTAATGTCGATACCAAAAGATGTGCCTACTGGAAATGTAATCTACTGCCGCCCCAGTGCTTGCAAACAAAAAATGAAACATTCATAATATAAATCTAAAATGTAATGTACAATCTAATCCAATCTACAATACTGTGTACACTCGAACTTTATACTCAATCATTATTTGACTCGTGTTTGTACTGATGTTTATCAAATTCGTATGTGACCACTATTAATTAATAATTTGCATACTTTATTAATCATTGCAGGGGGAATTTTTAAGAGCTAGCTGTCAGGGTCAGGTATTCTCACTTGATCTCTGCTTGATGAGAAAATTGTACACCCTGATTGCAGTCATTGGATTTGATTACAGACATTTTGATTTCACTTGTCTCCATCAGTCAGCCTATTGCTCGGAAGTTTCTTTTTATCATATCACATAGCACACATCTATATATTTATGCTGTCATAAGAGTGTCTAGTAGTGTAAGCTGGCAGTTTAGATTGTGTGTGTATATAAATCAGAGAGTTGCCACTCCTCATCATGTACAATGTATTGTTGAACGATTGGAAAGGATTTGAGACTTTTCTTCCCTGTCTGATTTTCAAACTAGACAATCTCCTGATCGACTACCAGTTCACCTTCAGTCTCATCCAAGAAGATGATAATCACTACACTGCCATCAACTTTATGGCCTCGCCTGAGCAGGTAACTGGTCCAGTGCTTCACTATAATGAGGCTCTTTTGTCTATGTGTGTTATATTCTCGGTTTATCTTATATTTAAATGCATTAATGTTGTGGTGCTTTTTTTTGTTCTCCATCCGAAGACTAACAAGAACTTGGACATGTCCATTAACGCATCCAACAACTTCAACCTCAACATCACCTGGTCGGTGGGATCAACAGGTACTTTTTGAAGTGTATTTAATGTGTAGTAAACATCACTATTTTTTTTGTCTCTCTGTTTGACATAGACCTTGATGAGGGCCAAATTGTGTGCACAGCCAATTTGCTCATGTTATTTATATTTTGATTCCCATTTTGTCAGTGTGGGTTGAATAATCAGTCCATTTCCAAGCAAGTTTAGTTTTAAATTAACTTTTGGTTATTTTCTTGTTCTCATTGTGTTGTAAATCCACCCATTCATCTGTGAAAATACGTATTCCCAGTTCAAACACTATCTTCTGCACAAATTTGTAGAAAAGAGCAAAAATAATTATGCAGTGAAAACAATTTTTATTCTACACTTAACAAATGGCTGAGGTCACAAATGCAATTAGAGATTTGGGTCAAAGGGTATCAGAACTGTAAAATTGAGGATATTGTGTCAAAAGTTTAGTCATATTTAGATGTTTTAAACATTTATACAAAAATATTAATTATAGTTTTTAGCGTTGAAAGGTCAGAAAGCAGATTTTTAAAACAACTTGCCACCAACAAACAAAATGACATACACTCTGTCCTAACGTCAATAACAAGCCATTTTCATCCAATGATATAATATTTATTGCAAATGTATAACCTACTTCTACAATATTCAATGAAATAATGGAATACACAATTCAAATAGACCTAAATATTATATTATCACACACATGTTTAGTCAAAACCACCTTTTTTATTCATTTCCATGCTGTTAATATCATACAATTGTTTCTAGCACCTTTACTTAACTGCAACTGTAGATGTCTGAGACTTTAGAAATTGAGTTTCTAACAGAGGATTTGCTTTAGCTCAATAATCATTTAGTCAGTTGGTATAACAGGAACAATAATGTACCGTCTTTTGTTAGTGTGTACTGTGTCACTGTTGAGTGGATATTATAGGTCCCCCGAGGAAAGACACCCAAGGACACTGCAGTTGTCCAGTGCCACCATTTATCTCCTGCCCTCCCCTCCTCTCGAGTCATCTGCCACTTTCCCTCTCGCCACAACACTGACATTTTCCAACCGCTAAACCACGTTAACCCCCTGCGCTCCCCATACGCCACCTTAACCTTTTTCAGAGCACCGTCATTAATATTTGAAGTTGGGTCCCCTTTCCCCCGCAAAGATATTGTGTCTCAGAAGGAACAGGAGCCTCTTGACAATCGACAAGAGCGTGAAGCGCCTTTGGGTGGGAGGAGGAGGGTGATTTCAATTAAGATAAACATGCTCACGTAGCCACACTCAAGCTGTCATTTTCAGTTCTTTTGTTTCAGAGCTGTGGGTTGGAATGTCAATGTTGAGGACCCACTGACATGAGGAAGAATAAGAAATGGCTTTAGATGGATGGAAAATAGACTTATTTTTGCAAGAGTTTTGTTTGGAAATGCATTAGTTTTTATTTGATGATGGGCATTAGGAATTGTATGTAAACAAAACACTCTTTTTTACACTTCAGTGTTGAACCCCAGAAATTAAACAACACTCTGCTCATTAATACTTAACATAAATGGACACAAACAAGTATTCATAATAGGTAATAGTTGATCTGTGCAGATTTTTGCTGCCCTCGCATAGACTGCATCCGCCCCAAGGGCATTAAATGCTACATTCTAGGTCTCAAATATACTAAAACCATTAGCTGATAGTGGTGCAATGGATTTAAATGATGACTATAAGATAATGTAACTCAGTCATGACCTATGGACAGCACACATTTCAGTCCCTCTTTCAAGCTGTGCTTTTCTCCCACATCCATTTCATAAAATATAGACGGCGTGTGTAATTACACAATAAAGCTCTAGGCTGTTTTAGGTCAACCAAAAGGAAGTTTAATGCACTTAAGACATAATAATAACTGCTTATGAGAGCTTTTCTGTTGTCCCAAATGGCTTGATAAACCCATTAATGGATTCATAATAATATGTTGCAGCCAGTCCAGCTCTATCTCTGCGTGTAGGTGTGCTCTCTGAACGCCAAATGGCAGTGTGCTGAACATGAACTCTTTGCCCAAACAGCTGGAACCATCTCTGGAGAAGAGGTGCCCATCGTGTCCAAAACCAACATCAAGGAATACAGAGACAGTTTCTCCTGTGAAAAGTTCACCTTTAGAAGCAACCCCAATATTACCTTTTATGTCTACGTCAGTAACTTCTCATGGCCCATCAAGATCCAGGTAAGGACTGTGCTTATGACCTTGGACTGACTCATATGAAGCAGATAACACCAATGATCTAATCCTGTCTCTGTTCTGTGTTTTGTCGTCCTTGCTTTCAAAATTGCTCACTAGATGTACAGTATGTGTTAGTCATCTCATTGATGAACCATTGGTCCCCATCCTACATATGTAGAGAGAGCAGGAGCAGCCATTTCTGCAGACGTAGAGCTCCGTTGTTGCTCAGGGTGATTTGAAGTGCACTTTATTTTAATTACAGATTTAATGAGCAATGGTTAGCGTGCATAGGTGCACAGCTGTTTTTTAGTGGGCAAAAGCAAAGCACCATTTAACCTTTTCTACCCCTCTTTCTGAATGGAGGAGATTGAGGCTTTGATGTGGTGAATGGGGTGAAAATACAACACGGTGAAAAATAAATACTATTTGCTCTCAGTTATTTGGGGTTTTGCGGCAAAACAACGATTAAGCTTTTGTCAAAAATATTGATCGTTTAGTTTTACAGGCAATACATAAGAAGGGCGAGAGGCCACATAGCAATAATGTGAATGTAAATGAAAGACTAAGAGTGATGTGCAGTGATTTCATAGTAGAGAAAACACTTAAATTAAGGGAGAACACCACGCCGTTACTCTTTTAGATGAAGGCAGTGCTTTTTGAGCCACGATGATTATGACAAACAAATACAGTCTCACAAACTGTTGAACACTATAAATTGTAGCACTTGTGCTTCAAAATGCTCTTTTAGATGTGCAATATACAAATATATTTAGTGTAATAAGTTACTCTGTCTAGAAATGTCAGCAAGATCAAATCTCGAATAGTGGTTACACTATATTTGGTCACTCGTAGCAACAAACCCACAGAAAATTATTGCCCGACTCAGAAGTTCCCCTTTGTGCTATGGCTCTTGATAGCCTCTTTTAACTCATTGGTTTGGTCTTCCAGCCTGCAATTTTACTGCTTTGTTTCACTGTCTCTGCTCTCATTGTTCACTGTTGTCAGTAAAAATGCTTTAGAAAAGGAGCGGGTGGAGACCAAAACAGAGCTAAAAGAGAGTAAATATCAGACTTACATTTAACAATGTATGTTTTTTGCATGTTTTTCAAACAGCTTTATTTAATCATTTATTAATAAAAACTGCCATTCCGTCTGCAACAGTTGTTGTACAAACAAACGTAGATACAATTATCATTCCTAACAATAGCACACAATTCCCTTTTTGCTAATGCAAGTATTGATTTTTACTTTCGTTCTGTCCCTCCTTTTCACTCGGTAGATGGGTGGGCCACGGTGGGGTAATACTATCTTTGGGGTCAGTCCATCTCTGGAGGTGGCCCAGTAATAGTTTTCTATTACATTTCCTGGCCAACAGTCACCTATTTGTTATGGACTGGCCTGAGCTGTTAAAGCAAATAGCTTCTATAACAGGATAAGGTCTCTCTTCCCTTGCTTGCCTTTATGATACAGGGGTGAGAGCATAGACCTGAATGAGATAAAGCAGAAGTTGAGAATGCACTCACGGGCCTTTTGCGTTCAGGGTCCGTACCCATAAAACAAGCATATAAATATGGGTAAAGATAGTAAAGGTAGGCATTGGGCTAAGATATTTCTGTGATGTCATTGTGTGTCAGTATAATTGCTACTATCTTCAATGGAATAAAACTCCACTTGTAATAGAAGTACATTCTCAGATGATGCTATTGATCGGCTGAGATTGATGAATTGAAATTGAATTAACCCTGAATGTATTGCTTTGACCTCCATATTATTTGAAAAGCAAGGTTGCAAGCACTGAATAGGACTGCCCCACTTACTGAAGAAGCCAGCAAAACATCTGTGTAATGTGTGCTTTTGAGTCACGTTAGCCATGTGAGTGAGCATCTCATTTCAGATCAGCGATTCTCATTTTCTACTTAAAAAAAGGTCTAAAAAGTCAAAGGTTTGGAGGATGACGAAGTTGTTGATGAAGAGTCAGTTTCGTGAAGACTGTCCTGCTGCATAACCTGAAACATACTTCTCACCTGATCACTGCTCTCCTTAGCTTGTCAATTACAGATAATTGAGGGATATTTTATACTTTTCTTCTTTTCTTGTTTATATCTACCATCGTAAATCAGTGCCTCTGTCCTGTTGTAACAAACAGTGTGTCTGAGTTCTGCACTGGGACGAATACATCATCTGTCAGTGATAGACTGAATCACCAAAATAAGTGCTCCTTTTTTTTATTTATTTTTTTTATTTCTGCCTCATCAGCATTCAAAACGTCAAACATGACGCAAATAATCCACCTCTAAAAGCACAATTTGTGCCCTATTACCCAACCCTACGTGCTATTAACCAGAAGGGGCTCAGTACTGCTGCAGATGATGTTGTGTTTGTGTATCTAAATGCTTTCAGGGCAAAATGCCTTCAAAGCATCTACAGTAGATAATGACGTGTGTCTATGATGTGGCCTATCAGACGTGATTTAGCTGCTAGGACTGTGTAATCCCTCTTTTAATGAAGGTAAAACATATTTCTGAGCAATTATTCACGGGCCAGCTATATCAGAGACACACTATATGTTATTTACCGCAACAGAAAATGGGTTGTTGTGGATGTTACTGAAGGACAATGACAATTTTATTATAATATTTAGCTTTATTGGATTGGGATGTTTTGTGTTTTTGCAGCTTGTAAAGCAGGAACAAAACTATTAAAAATAAGGTTTGTAAGTATTTTTGGTCTCTGGCCTCAAGCCAATAAAGATGAGCTTGTTGTTGGCTCAGAATACATACATATTTGACTCAGAAGTATGCCAATAGATGCATTATTTTTCAGAAGTTGTGGATTGTCTGTACACAGAAAGCATTCTGCCCTGTTTTTATCTTCTTCCACTATATTTAACCAGACATTTCCTTTTGTTTTTGTTTTTTTTACAAGCAAAAGCTTTTACCTCCAGACAATCTTGTCGGTGACCTTTCAGCAGGTCCATTCTGCTCTTAATGCAGACTTGAACTGTCTGCACCACATCTTAACCCCTTCATAATGTCACAGATGAACTGTGAGAGCTCAATGAATGAATGAAATGAAACTTTACTGGGCTGAGTTGTTCCCATTTGGAATTAAATAATTGCTAATAACAGATATTTTTTGTTTTACGAAAAGAGATTTTATATCCAAAGTTCAGGTTTACAGTGACTGTGAAGGTTTCAGAAGCCTCATTTACCATCAGTATGGTGATTTAAACCTATGTTCATATCATGTTGGCTGTAACATTTTGTTATTGTGACCTGGCATTTGTCTGATTTTGTAATGTCTCTTCTTTTTCTCTGACAGATTGCTTTCTCCCAGCACAACAGTATCATGGACCTTGTCCAGTTCTTTGTGACATTTTTCAGGTGAGTGATTTAAATATTTATACAACTTTAAATATACACACTTGGTCACTTGTTCCAAGCGGTTCCAAGTGTTTAACATTATCTAGAATTTGACCCACCACCTCTTAATTTTCCACTCTTGCCTCTTATTGAGTTACTTGAGCCTGTTGGACCAGTCCTGCTAACAATATAAATGCTCCTTGTGTCTTCAAGGTAGTGATTTTTCTTTTTCAAGTGGCAAATGAACCGCCAGTAACTGTTTGAATAGGTGCATAGTGCTGTGCAAGTGCCCTCTAAAGAGAAGGCCCGAGCGATCAAGATATGAGGGCTCTTAATGATTTTTCATCCTGAGAGCTGTGATGGAAATCTTTTCTCATTGAAATAGTTAAAATGAGTCAATTGAGATCTCTCAGTTGCACATCAAAGTCTGAATATATTAAGAGGATGTGAGTATAATTGTAAAATTTATGCTTTAAGTTAGATGTTGGCATTTTTAAAAAAGCTTCAAAAGATCAGCATCGAAGCCCTCTCAAAGGAGTTTCCTCACAAAGCTTTGGTTTCTTTAGTCATGCCTGTCGTGCTGCTTCAAGCGTCTGTAGTCTATAACACAGTGTCACAGGCTAAATATTCAGACTGTGATTAGTGGAATTTAAATGTTTGAAAAATAGACCCTCCCTTTACCATAACTTTTAAAATAATTGTCCAGTGTAACATTTAGGAGTATCTATTGGCAGAAATAAAATATAATACGCATTTTCATTAGTTTATAATAACCTGAAAGTAAGAGTCATTATGTATTTGTTACCTTTTGTTACAAAATATATTCCATTTCTGCCAGTAGATTCTCCTAAATGTTACACACTGAACCCCCAAAGTAAATGATCTTGTGTGCAGTCATTTATAATGCTATCCTGAAAGACCTGCAGTTAGGGAAAGCTGAATTGTCTTCTTAGATTTGGAATAGAGATACATGTCGTGGATAAGTTGGTTTTAATCATTAGATCAGTGTCATTGGTAAGGACAGTTATTTTCATACCTAACACCGATAAGCAATGCTGCAGTTATTGTGTGTGTTATTTTATTTCAAGGTGTGCTACCCAGAGTGGCTGATGGACTAACATATTATCTGTGTAGCTGTCAAGGTGGGAAAAGAAGACAGGCTTTGCCCAAGGCACCTGCCCATCATTGCCCAGTCCACAATAAGTTTCCCGAAAAGCTGTCACATAATCAGTTATCTTCTGCCTCCATCCGATCAAATTACAGTTGAATAGCCAAATTCAGGAATTCTTGGAAGGAAAGGGGAGAAGGACAGAGCGTATTTTATCTAAAATGTGTCTCACAGCTACTTGCATCATTCGCACAGGAAACCATTTAAAATAGGGTCACAGCACGGACACAGGAAAAACAGTTTTTAAAAGTAACAAATGAGTGAACACTTTCCATGTGTCCATTACGCAGCAGCTCATAGCTTTTTCTTGTTTGCCTAGCTAATTTTGTGCATCTTTTCCATTAGTATGCCACATATCTTTTGTTTCTTTTGTTTCTTTCCATTGCTGTGCAGCTTATGCTAATTCTCTCGAGTCTTTCCTGCAGTCTCGTTGTCCAGTTCTCACTGACCCATAAACTCAGGAAAAAGTGAAAGGCCCTGATGCAGTCACAAGCGGTTGCGTGCGTGTGTTTGTGGGAGGTTTGGAGGGGATGAACCTGCGGGAAACATAATCAGCCTGATGACAAAATGTCAAATCACCCCACAGGGTTTCCGGACCTCCTTGTATGAGAGATAGAGGGTGAAGAAATGACGGCATGACTTGGAACAAGCTCTATTTTCTCCTACTCTTGTTTTCTTTTCCTCTTTATTCAAATATCAGCTCACCTTTTTCACAACAAGCCTTTCAGATACCAAGCAATTTTTCCTCATTTCCACATTGCTTTTTTTTTATCTTAGTAACTTCATAAACAATATTTACTAGCACAATACTGCCTATGTTGTAATCTAATTAGAGTGTGATTGTTTTATGCATTCTGATTAGATGCTGTAGAAACTGTCTAATAGGATGCTGTGCTATACTTGCAGTGGAACCCCAGGGTCTGATTTATACTAATTAACAAAATCAGCTTCATTCTAGTCACGTCTGTGTCATCTGTGTGTGTGTGTGTGTGTGTGTGTGTGTGTGTGTGTGCGTGTGTGTATATATATACATGCAAGTGTATGCACATGCACATTAGTGTCACTATTTGTTAACGCCATATGTACAAGTGTGTTATAAGAAACATGCATTTATCACGAAATTCAGTCACATGAACAGTTTTTTATGCACAAGTCTACATACTTTTTGAAGCTTTTTTAATTGTATTAATCACATTAAAATAGTTGAGCTGTCTTGTTATTTAGCATTTAAAAAATGCTTTTTACAGACCTTCTTGGATCATGTTTTCATCATTTTCATCAGCAGCCAGAAAAGCCTGTAGAAAGCAGGTATAGATAGTATTGATAGTTTTCCCTTGTAGTAACTGTATCCTTGTGTTTACAGAAATGAGCATGTAATTAAAAGAAAGCAGTGTTGAGTTCAGTTTCCTTTCTATTAAAGGCCTTAAATTACACATTGTGCGACATGGCTGTGTTCAGAGTGCAAGCCAAAGTGACCCAAATCACATTTATTTTTATGACAGTGTGAACTTGGGCTGCAGGATATGATAAAAAACATCATATTGCAAATATTTGGACAGATATTGCAATATTATCTGTGATTTAGTGTGGGAATTATCATTTTTGCATCACAAATGTAATTTTGTAATTTTCACTGAAAAAGAAAATTGCACATGGCACTCGGCCATATTGTGATTTCGATTATAATTTGATTACTTGTGCAGCCCTAGTGTGAACTGTCTAAATCACATGGAATCTTTTCGATTCTGAATTGGGCTACGTAACATGTGGTCCAAATCAGATTCCGGTCATGTTACTCTAGATTGACATTCTTCATACGGGTCACTATAGGTCCGTGACCTGTTCACACTGGAATCTGATATGGGCCACATTTTAAAAAGCAATGTGAACAGCCAAACAATTGAGCGCTAAGGCTGCCAGTGTGAACGGAACCTATCCCTAAATAAAATGACATAAAACAACAAAATGATGATAATAATTTAAGATTGTTCATGAAATGAATTATCATGCAGGACAGCTTCCCGTCATACTTTCGTTGTGAGCATGTTTGAATGAGTGAAAGTTCGCATCTGCTCTTACTAGATCTACACATCAACCTATCCCATATCCATAAGTACTTGTAAGCAATCTTAAGATAATCTTTATGTAAAGGATTTTTCATTTGTCCGTAAGGAGTTAGAACATGAATGATTGTAGACCTCCTTTTTAAAAACAGCAGAAGGAACAGATTTAAGCTTCTCTACTGTCAAAAATAGTGACGATGAAAGCTTAACATCTGTCTAGGGATTTTTGTCACTTCTGCCACATGAAAATGTCATTGAAGCCCCCACAACACCCCCCCACATTCACTGTTATCTTCAAAGGTGTCTCAGATGGTGAAAATACTTCTAAAAGAATGAAAGGGTTCCCAGCTTGTGCATCTAAAATAAATTCCAATGATGAGATTTTTGAAGCACAGAGTTTCCCATCACTCAACACTTTAATCCCACTTCCCTTCATTTTTTTTTTTTTTGGCTTGGTAGCCTCCGTTTTGAGAAGCTGTATTTTCCAAGTGTTACCACATCCCTCACAGGTGTTTTCAATGTCCTAAAAGATCCTGGCCAATGGATCTATCAGGTGTGGCAGTCAAATTGAAAGCTTGTTCAAGCTTAAATATCTAACAAATTGGCCCTTGAAATCAGAGCTAGTCATGTGTTTCTGGTGAAATGTGCTTATTGGACCAGACTGCCCTTTTTAGAAATGTGGCATGTCCCTGAAGACAAGGGCTCATTGGTCATGTTACAGTATGTGTTTCAAATCCAAATATGATTTGTCTTTGTTCCTGGACATCAGGACCAGGGTCATGTTCCTTTTTAATTCAGTGAGTGGAGAATAATTTGTGGGAAATGATAAAATACTTGTTGACGGAGCAATCGGTTGAATTTATCATCATTTTATCTGACCTTTTTGTTTTGTTGCACACTGTAGGTATCTAAACCATAAAAATATCCCCTTTTTGATACTAACTACCCCACAGAGACCGATGAAGCATCAGCCATTTTCAAAAAACTTGGCTCTTTAGCACATAATAATCTTAACATTCTCATCTGTCACCAGGATAATGAAGTGGAAGCTCTCAATCAGTCATAGTTTTCCATTCCAGTAGCACTTGGACCTTGCTGAATTTCCCTTGACTAATGATTTTACTGCTGGGTTATTAATTGAAGTAATCGGCCAAAATATTCAGCGTACTAGGAAATGAATGTGCCATCTCTTCATATCATCTCCCCTGTTTGGTCTTTTTTTAAGTTTGGAGAAAACTTTGAATATTTAAGTCCACCTATTTTCAGCTAGTAATATTGTAGCTATTTGAATATATGAAGAAAATGTAGTGGAAATACACAAAATTTCAATTATTGGTTGGTTAAAGCCAATCCCGACCTAAAATAAAGGAAGTATGTCATGGTTACATCATACATCAAAACTTTATTGTTTTAAATCCAGTTATATATATTTTTAAATTTGTTGTTTTCTTCTTTCAAGAGAAATTATAATGTAATTGAGAAGCATTTTTACACAATGTGAAGATCAGGATTTTTTCAAGTGGTAACATGAAACTCACCTTGGTTAGCTTCATGTTTATATTATATTATATATCTACTGTTTAATGCGAAAAGTGCTTTAAATATCCAAGAGTTGACTGTTCCCTGTATGCAAAGAATATATTTGTCACAGCTGTTATGAAATGAATTTTGCTTGATATTGTTTCCTCTCTTTCATTCCAGTTGCTTTCTGTCACTACTCCTGGTGGCAGCAGTGGTGTGGAAGATCAAACAGACCTGCTGGGCTTCACGACGGAGAGAAGTAAGTCCATAAAACAGTGTTTACAAACCCATATAGGGCCCACCACGATGGAGCCCCAGTTTTTCTGAAACACAAAGAAATTTGCATTTCAACAGACGAGTATACACAGATCAGAAAAAAAGACCATAAGAGCACAATTAACACCGCATTGTTTTAATAGCATAAAGGAAAGAAAACCTGATAGAATAATCAAAATTACAGTGAATATGTAGTAGTATAGTGTTACACAAAAATGGCCAGAGGAAACATTTACGGTTTCAGTCTTTCAGTTTGAATTTCAAACCATCCTCAGTAGCAGGTAGAGTTGTTGGAAAAAAAGTAGTGCTGTCAGTTTAACACGTTCTTACCAGCGTTAACGCAAACCCATTTTAATGGCGTCAATTTTTTTAAGTCATGGTTTAACTGCACTATAGGCTGAGTCCTAGTTTACCTTACATGTGCACTTTGTAATTTTATTTTGTATCGCCCTGTTTTGATCCCTTGGAAAGGGCTGCTGAAGGGGCTGTTTGTGTGGCAAAGTATTTATTATTTTTATTGATGGACAGTGTCACATTGTGTGAGAGATTATTTGCTCCAAGTGAGAATGTTAGTGTGAAATTGAACACTACAGTATATGCCAATGTTGTTTTAAAAAAAACAACATTTGCACAAAGCAAGCCGATCCACTTTTCCATGTTGATAAGAGCATTAAAATGAGAAAAAATAATGGGACAAAAAGAAATCAAGGGACATTTAGAATAGATAAAAATGTGCGATTAATGGCGAGTTAACTATGACATTAATGCGATTAATCGCGATTAAATATTTTAATCGTTTGACAGCACTAAAAAAAAGGATAAATGATACCAGTGGTTGGTCAGTTTCATCAATTGGGGTTGATGATGTCATAGGCCTAAACCTAGAGATGGAACATCAATACATATGGACACTCAATGCTGTCAGTATTATGTTAACAACTTCACTTCCTTAGATGCATTTAGACCATCATTAAGAAGCTATGTTTCTTGTAATGACAAATGCTTCTTTAAGAGTACGATCTCCCAGCATTTAATTGACTATTCTGTCAGAAATAATTATATAAAAAAGTAGAGATGCTAAATAACATGATACATTATGGATTTAAGTCAAGGGGACTAGTGGAAAAAGTATGAAGGAAATGAGTAGAGATACCGTGAAAGGAAAAGCAGAATAGAATGAAACATTAATATTCAGTGTTGGTATGAAAGTTGGGGTTGAGAAAAGATGGAGATGAAAAGGGGTGAAAGATGAGATGATTGGCAGTAGAGATTAAAAAAAGAGGGTAAGAAAGATACTGTGCCGGAAATTGAGGAAGAGAGCAAATGTATGTAAATTCACCTCACTGCCCTTAACCCACACTGCATTGGGTGGTTGCTGGTTTCTGTACGAGCAACCATCATTTCCATCTCTTCAGAGTGAATCCTATATTCTCCAAGATGCTGTTTGATACTCAATAGCAGGAAGTTTAATTTGGTTCACGTCCAGCCTTATGACCTGCAGTCTACTAATAAAGCTCCCACAATTTATTTCCCCTTTGGGGATGACATTGATAATCATAGGATCTGAATTTTATATCCTCTAATTGATATATGAAAATAAACAAGAATGATAGCTACCGTGACAGCGAATTATGCCTATCCAAAGAATTAAAGTCAATAAAAGTTAATGCAGGCAGATGGGCTCACGTCATTGAAATTCTTCTCACTTTTCCTGTCTGCTCTTGGCATTCCTATCATCTGTTTGTCGCTGCCCTTCAGCTGCCAGATGAAAATAGACAAATGGTTAAATGAAAATCTCCATCTCTTAATTACTGGTGATTGAAAAGTTTTGTCACTGGTAGAACAAAATACTTGCTGGTTTTCAGTCTGTGAGATGGAAATATTTATTTGCAGATGACACGCCAGTTCATATGTATGAATTAATCATTTCCTCTATTAATATCTATATTTGTACTGTATATTTTTATTGCTCTGCTTTAAGTGCTAATTCCGTGGAGTCTGTTAGGGAATCCCTAAGAACCTTACATTCCTCACTGTGCTCATATTCCAGATAGAGATATCTCTCTATTCGGATCTGTCACCGGCTCTTGTTGGCTGCAAAGGTGAACGTATTACAGGTTTGATTGAAACCTGTAGATACAGCCTGAGATCTGACCATCCTAAGATATTAAATTTTGCTAAAATATTTTTCACGTACACATTTAAACACCAAGAGTTTTGCATATCCTATTTAGGATTTATTTCAAAATGTCCCGTATACTAATCAACAATTTTCTAGAACATTTAGATTTTTGGTACATGACATTAAAAACCTGAGAAAAAAACAATGCCTTAAGGTTCCTGTTTTGGCATTTTCTGGTGCCCTACTTTTGAAAAGAAATTGTAAAGAAAAGCTGTGTGTTGGTCACCTTTTCCTGAAAGCTGTAGCAGCCTCGAGGGTGTTCTTCTGTGCTGTTATGCGTACTTGAGCTTTGCAAGTAGTCTTTAACTGCTTCTTGTGTGGCAGCTCTCTTGGCCACATTTCCATAAGGTCAAAACCAGTAGAATCATTTGTAGTGATTATTGTTGAAGTAATTACGGCCTGTTTTATATCCTGTCAGGGTAAATAGGTTTTATGTATGAGATGGGCATCACTTATGTAAATTTTCGTATCTGAAAATGCTTTTTTGGGGCTACAAGGTCAACTAGAAACTACTTTTAATCCTGCACACCTCACACTGCAATCAATGTAAGCTTTTTATGTTGACCCAGGACAGTTGGCTCCTGATACCACCATTTGTACTGATCAAAATATCCCCATTAAGGATCACACCAAAAATAAGCATTTTAGTATGAAAGGGATCCAACAATCCTGTGAACAACCTCCAACTTGGATCCTTTTCTCACTTTTGTTTATTAAGCCCTATTATCAGTGTCTGACAGGTGCAGACATAATCAATCTTTCTCTACAAACTCCCCAGAAAACAAGATCTTCTGTCTGTAGCATTGACTGCTCAAAGGACAATTATACGCAAATCCATCCATGTGTCCTAGAAATAACTCTTTGCTTTGGTGGTTATGTTTTGTTTGTTTTTCTCAAGTGATACTGGACATTTTCTCCATTCTAAAGTGGGCTCAATAAAGTGATCCGAGAGAGATTGCAACGGTGTTATTAAAGTCAATTTCTGATGTGCATCTGTTCAGCCAACCATGGATTTGATCATTTGTAAATTGACACTGTGATTGTTACAGTAGGTCCATAAAATTGTTGACATTACACAATGTCTATAGCAGTGCCTATAATATTCAGTGTTGAAGTGAGTCTCTCTCACTGCATATGTGAAAAAAGCTGTATAAAGTATTCATGGCTCTAAAGGGAGCTGCACAAAATCTGATAAATATCCTCCAGTGATGTCTTTTGAGGCAAAATCAGTTGCGGCTGAAGGGAAAAAAAACTGGGTGTGGAACAGAAGTGAGGTTGCCAGACCTCTGTAGCCCGCTCTTAATCTCTGCTTGAGGCTAATGGCTTTCGGTCATTACTAATGTGAAGTAAAATCATAAGAGTGGAATTTGTGATCACTCACTTGTGATAAGACAGCACCAAGTCTTGTATTATGTTAGATAAACTTATTCGGTTCCACCAATCTTTTCCATTGGTGAACTGATGGCTCTTTACTGAGCATTGTGTCTAGTTAATTTGAAAGGGCTTGTCAACAGCCCGTGCACTTGTCCAAATATGGAGTGGAAGGATTTCAGCTGAACGCCATCTAAAGCTTGCAAGCCCCCATCTGACATAAGGACATGGAATAAACGATTCCTAATGAGGCTTTGAGAGATAGCAGGAACAATAATGAGACACTGATCCAGCCAAGTGGCATATATGGATGTCTGGTACTGATTGAACTTTTGAAAGTTTTTTTTATTGGCTTTCTGGTGTGAAGTCTGTGTTACTACTTTTGGCTTGTGCTAGATCTTGTGCACAAGCAATGTGTTATGAACCAGTTTCTCTAGGTAATTTTGGATTTTTACTAGAAATACATTCGTACATAAACAAAAATTGTCTGTGTGTAATTTTGAAAATTAGCTGTGGATGGAGAATATAATATTAACCACTGACAGCCTCTCAGACACTTAAAGCCATAAAGGTGTAAGTGTGTAATTCCTGGTATTGACTTAATCCTGTAAAGCTGATCTTTAACCGCACTAATGCACTAATTGAATAAGGGCTTTCCTTTTTGTCAGGAGCTGAAAGGACTTGGAAAGGTGCAGCTGTTGCATTTGAATAATTTTAGTTGAGGATATGTGACGAGACTTGGATCCTGAGTGGGGGACAAAGGGATGAAAAGACAACAGCTGTAAATGCCACGGAGGGGGACGAGGGCTGACCTCTTTGAAGCTACCTGTGGGGGGAACAGATGGGAGGGGGCGCTGACATTTCACGAGACTGCAACACGGAGATGTTTTACACACAAACATGTGGCTGTGTCTAATGCAGCTCCTATCGCTTTCACACACTCCTACAAACACACAAAGACACATCCCATACACAGTCGAAAACATATGTACTGACCGTCATGTTGAGAGGTGATGTTTAACTGGCACTCTAAAAGCACTCAAAACTACTATTTAGCAGTGGTTTCCATAAAACTGACCATTATTTGTTATCGTTGTTGTTGTTGTTTTTTTCAGTATATTTCAGCATACCATTTATTAAATCCTCTAAAACTAATTAGCCTCTGTTTATTGAAAGCTATCGTCATCCCATAGAAGTTGGCGTGGCCATGATGCCATGTAATGGCTGTGGGTTGTTACTGATGTCAGCTGTGGACAAGATAGTGATGAATGTAAAGGCCATGAACAAGGGCTATGTTGTATTATCTATAATGGTGTGTCACTGATGTAGTTTAATTCCTATTTAGTTCTATATTTACAAATGGGTTCTGTTATTTATTTTGCATAATAAGCAGTTATAAGATTGATTGCCATGGAATTTGGTACAGACCT